TGGTATAGGTGAAACTTCTCTTTATTTAAAGTCCTATTTTGTGGTCCTATTGTCAAGACAATAGGTGTGGGTATAGTATAGTATCCATGAAAGTTAATCGTCAAATTAACTTAACAATTGAAAAATTGGCGCTTATTTTGTTAGTATTTTGGGCTTTAAATTAACTGCTGGTCACTTTGAAAATGATCCATAATGTTGTAATGTTTTATTTTTTATGCTTATTTAAAAGTTGAGTTAATTATTTTATCTATGCCAGTGAGATAAGAACTTCTTATCCCACTCATTTTGAGTGAGATAAGAAGTTCATTAACGCACGCGTTTTTCTCTGCTTTTAACCAATCAAATAAAAAAGTCAAAATGTCAAAATGTCAAAATAACCCTAAATTAAGTCTTAGACAAAAATAATTACCGTTTATTTTTTCATTTAGAGGCGTAGATAAAAATTTGTACAATATACGTGTGATAACGCTTTATTAACGTACTTTTGCGATTGCCCAACTCGTGCTACGCACTCGTTGGGCAAATTTCGCATGCGTACGTTAATAAAGCTCTTATCCCACTTATATCGTAAATAACTATTATATTTTTTTGGTGTGATTATGGATAAAATATTTTTTACTCAATTTTTTTTAATGTCCACAAAACAAATAATTACGGTCTTGAAGCTTCACTAGAATAAGTAAACATTTTTTTAAATTGCAAATAAACCTTAACTGATGATTTTAAATCGGTTAGCTTGCTGATTTATTGGAATATTCGAAAAGTCGAAGAAAAATTAAAAACTGTAAAATGTTTCGATAATTTTTTTTTAAACGCCTTGATGGTGCCGTTAAATTTTATTGGCCATTTTGGTAGAACTTTTCATGCTCTTTCAGAACCTGACTTTGGATTTTAGAAAAAAATATATACAAGGTGTTTTTAGTGGGAAAAAAATTAAAAAAAATTTTAGGTCCGGTCCTGATTTTTTTTTTGAATGTCCGATACAGCGCTGTGCAGGTATACCTAAGTATACTTTATACTTAAGTATGTATATAAAATTTTATGCGATTCTATTGATCCATTCCCAAGATATGATTTTTCAAAATTTTCGACAAAATACATAAATCACCCTGTAACTCTTAAACGAAGGACCTCCGAATTTTTTCAAAGCCAGATTCGGATTCACCTCTGAAAACTACACCTACCCTTAAGCTATGTCGGTTTCCTCATGCAACACCATGTATAGAGGCTTAAATTGTTACACGCTTGAAAAAATTGACATAATCAAATTAAAGCTAGTCCGTCCCTGGCGAACTAAATACGCCAAAGGTGTTTAAAAGTTAACTATAGTTATAACTAGTATTTTTTATATTAAAAAATTATTAAGTTACTTTAAAAGTTAATAAACAATTTTCACATAAGTTTTAAAATAAGCAAACTGTAATTTATGGATAGCACCCAGGACCGGATCAAACCGGATCCAATTTTTCATGGTACTAACACACCAAGATACTAACTTTCTGATCATGACAAAATTTGAGCTCCGGCTCGTGGAGGTCCTAAACAAAATCATTTTTTAAAAATTACAATAATTTTAGAAAATGCAGTTTTACTCAACTAACTTTAATTAAAGATAACATAAGTTTGGTTACATATATAATAAATATGTTTTCACTAAAAAATCGTTTTATCCACCTAAAATAAGTAATTCATTTAAAAATAGCATATACTTTAATGATAATTAAAAAAATAATATTTGAAAAAGTACCTTTTTTACTGGTTACTTGAAATGGAAAAAATCACTTCAAGAAAGTTCAAATTTGCCCTTCTCTACTAAATCAGTTATGAAACTTAAGAAATTTGTTATATGTTTTTAACATACCTTTATTAGTTTACTAATGAAAAAAATTTAAATTTACTCAAATATATTAATGTAGATTTTATAGGTTTTGGCCAGCTTTTTGGGCATTTCCAACACTGTGTGCCAGTACATTATTATATACAATACAATAATTGACTAATTAAGTGATCAACTTTTTGTTATGCACCTATTTTAAAAATAAATTTCATTAAAAGTCTTGTCAAAGAGTATCTATTAGATATATACTCTTTGATCTTGTTTTGAATCTCTCAAAATGAGTAAGGTATTTGATTTTTTTTTTACTTAAATCTTTTTTTTTCGACTTAAACCTATAAAACGACTTAAATCTAAAAACGACTTAAGTATTTTTAGGGACTTAAGTCCCTAAAAATGACTTAAGTCTTTTTCTAGATTTAAGTCGTTATATATTTGATTTAAGTCATTTTTAATAAGACTTAAGGCTTAAAAAAAAGACTTAAGTCTTTTTGAAAGGCTTAAGACTTAAATCTTTTCTGTTTTATAGAAAAAATGACTTAAGACTTAAGTCATTTTTATTTCAAAAAAGACTTACGACTTATGACTTAAGTCTTTTTAGAAGTGACTTGTGGCAGCTCTGGTTGTTATATGAGAATATATTAATTTTTGTTAAAAATACCTATTTAAAAATAAACTTTCATTTGAAATATGTGAAACTCTTTTTTATCGAAAAACAACAAGAAAAACCTACGAAAGCTGTCAAATTACCTACTTGCTCTCAAGTTTTTTCGTTTAATTTAATTGAAATTGAAAACAACTACCAACTAAAAAATGCGATTAATTTGTATATTTTGCAATGAATTTTGTAAAAATCTATTTATCATAAATTATATTTGTTTCAAATGGTTTTGTTGAATAGAAATAAGAAATAAAGAGCAAACAAAATATTGAGATAGAAGCGACACCTACTTAAACATTGCTGAACTAGATATATCGCTAGCAGGGATTTTGCTGCCAAAACTGTAACCACTTTAGTTCAGCCATACTTTTATAGACTGCGCGGCATACTAAATTTTTAAATATGAATTTTTCACATACTTCCACACTATTTGTGTGGAAGCACAGATTATACAACTTTGTGGAAGTATGTGAAATTAGATACCAAAATTTAAAGACTAAAAGTCAATAATCTAAAAAAAAGATACTAAAACTTAATGTGCGGGATTAATTTGATTCAGCTACATGTGGCGCTACTTTTTTACATTTTAAAAATGATTTTGGATAGGCAACCATCAGAGTTTGAAAATAACAATTTAAAACAAACAAAAAAAATTGTTTAATTATCAAATTTTTATAGGGTTGGGATAAATATTTGAAAGTAGGTTCATGGACATATTAAAAACAGAAATACTTTAAACAAGGTAGGTATTTTCTCTTAATATAAATGCATACCAAATTGAAATAATTTATTTGTAATATTTTGACAGTTTAAAAACAGGTTTTTGACATTTTAAATTGATAAATTAAGGCTTAAACTGTACAATTTCTACCCCAATTATATATAGATAGAACAATATCCATCTTGAATACTTAAAACCCAGATAGCACAAGTACGTTCGTAGGACGTTCGTAGGACTTCCACCCAGGACAACCCGAACGTCCTCAGGATGTCCGGGGTCTGCAAAAGTACGTTCGTAGTACGTCCACAGACTTCCGAAATAGACTGTTTCAGATGTCCTCAGGACGTCCGTATTTGACCGTCCACAGACTTCCGAAATAGGATGTCCTCAGGACGTCCGTATTTGACCCCAAGCTGTCCAATTCGGGACATATGAGGACCGAATTAGGACATAGTTTTATTATAATAGGGAAATGTAATACAGTGTTAACAAGTGTTTTGTTAATATATATATATATATACAGGGTGTCCGGGAAAAGGAGGTCAATCCGTTAACCATATATTCCTTAAGTTAAAACAATAAACCTTTCATAATACTATTTTTATTTATTTCTCCATTGAATTTCACATACCTTCATATCTCTAAATTATTTAAAAATATCAAGTGAAAACTTAAATTTTGTAGGGGTTTTTCCATATAATAAAAGTTGTTTTCACTTATATCATATATTTAAATACACAGAAATTTAACTAAACAGGGAGCTAACTAAAAACAGCACACGCTGTTTTATGAACAATGCCAACATGGCGGATTTCAGACTGCCAACTTAAAGTCACTAAACTGGTTACTTCCAATACCAACTGTTTATTTGGCGGTAAATTTGAAATAAACTCTTACAATTTATTGCATTAAAAATATTATAGGACAAATTAAATAATTTAAATGTTAAAGTGGAGAAATTTCTCCAATGGTATTTTTAATTCGTATTATACATTTCTCATATAATATTATTAATTCAAATTATTAATTTGGCCAATGTGATATTTTTTATTCAACAAATTAAAAATATAATATACCTAATATATATAATATAATTAAAAATAATTTTTTAAAATTTGTAATGATATTTTTAATGCAATGAATTAATTAATTTTACTAGATATTTTTAAATAAGTTAGAGATATGGAAAATTGCAATTGCTAAAAATACTTGACAACTAAAGACACAATTCCACTTAAGTGGATAAAGGGTCTATCTATAGACATATAAGTGAAAAAAAATTGACAACTTTTTTTTAAAATCTTTTATCGTGCTTGATTAAGGAGTATTTTTAATAAAAAACAAGGTGTAATTTTTTTTCACTTAGACCCGGGTCGCGACCAGAAAACCGATGGACGTCCTGAGGCCTAGGCCTATGGACGTCCTAAGGCCTAGGCCGATGGACATCCTGAGTACGTCCATCGGTTTTTTGCCTGCGACAATAGTTGAAGATACAAATTGATATATCACCTTTTATAAAGGCCTTTATAAAGGGTGATATATCAACTTGTATCTTCAACTATTGTCGCAGGCAAAAAACCGATGGACGTACTCAGGATGTCCATCGGCCTAGGCCTTAGGACGTCCATAGGCCTAGGCCTCAGGACGTCCATCGGTTTTCTGGTCGCGACCGTCTGTAAAGGATTTAAACCGGATGTCCTCAGGACATCTTGTGCTATCTGGGAACAAGACTAACCTGAATAAAAAAAAGAAAATGCAGATAGAACACTATAATTCTCAGGTGACGAATTGTAAAATTAAAAAAATTAACTGTTTACAAGTTATTTTGTAATTCAACAAAACCTGTTCGAGTAGGGCAAAAAAATCATGTTTACTGTACTTATCAATTCGTTTTATTCTTACAATATTTTTAATTTTTTGAAATCACTAGATCCATGTTATAGCTCCTTTTCAACCATGCACAACATGGTATTTTAACCATCCTTCGTTAACCCATCAATCTGTTGTAGGTTATGTATTTTTGTACTGACCAGCTTATTTTTGTGCTATATTGTAACTGTTTCATCAGCAACAGTACAAAACTGTTCAATTATAATAATTATTAAAAGTCAATTTAGTCAAGAAGTCTTAACTCCAAAAGTAAATTTAATAAATGCACAAAATGGTTTCCGATTCTTCTTTTATATCAAAGGCTCTTCTTTAATAAAAATTTCTTTTTCTGGTTCTTCTTTAATATGAATTTCTTCTTCTGTTTCTTCGGTTGAATCTAAAAATTGGGTAAACAAAATCAAATTGCACAATTTGAATTCCATGTTACAATATATATAACTCCTAATTATTTTGTAAACAAACCTTCAGCATACATATCATACAGCACATCCCTTGTTTCCATTTTAATGGGTTCTGGTGAATTCGTGGTTTTCAATTTTTTGCTGATGGAAGGTTGGGCTGGGGCCTTGGCCGATGCTGATGCCTTTCTTAAACAGTTACCCACCGTGTGGATTGAAATGTCCAAGCCATTTGCCACTCGCTGCAATCAGAAGTTGTGGTTGTTGCAATTGTTGTATCAATGGTTATTGCTGCTTTTAGAGACATTACCTCTTGGATACAATTTAAAGGGAGCAAGGGACCCTTATTCTCTAGTTCCCTTTGAAAATAGTTTACCAAATTACGCACAAATCGCTGTTGATTTTCATTTAACCGCTTTCCGGGCATTATGTTGAAAATGGCAAGTTTTTGGGCAAATATCGAATACTTGAAGTTTATAAAACCAAACCATATAACAAATATAACCAAACTTTCCAGATTATCAGTGTTACCAACATGGATTAGATCACAATCCACACATGTGTGGATTGTGGATTAGATAAAATACCAATCAAACCTTAAGAATTCTTACTTACCACTTCAAAAAGAGATCCAATTTTTTTTATTAGTTGACAGTTGTCAAATGTCATACAATCGTTAAAATAAAGTGCCTTTCTTGTAAAATAATACTAAATGTGAAAATTATTTTATTATCTCAATACAAAAATACAAAAGTATTAAATAGTTTCTCAACGCCAATATTTGAAAAGTTTATATGAACATTGTACTGACCTTTTAATTTCGCCGGCAGTAAACTTAAATTAGGGCACGGATTCTACTGTAAAGTCCTCATAAAACATTTTCTTTACTTTCACTGTGAAAAACTGTCAATTTTCAAGACACATTTCGATTTATAACCTTTATAATTGTGTTTATAAAATGTAAAAATGTGACATTTGACAGTTTCCCCTGTTGTTTCATAGATGGCGCTCTATACAAATTTTTGATTTAAATCATTTTAAGATAATAATAAGTATTTGTCGTAGAATAAGTATAGTATGCACCTCGTTTATAAACTTTTCTATACACTCATTAACTTAAGCACTCGCTCGCAAGCTCGCTCGTATCTAAATTAAATTCGTGTATAAAATGGCGTTTATCAAACTTGATACATAATATACTATTATCAACCACAATTTTAATAAGAGTTTTATAAAAGTTGAGGGATATAGAAAAAAATGCTCTTTTTAAAGTAACGTTAACAGATTTTTCGTAAAATACTTTTTAAAAGGTTACGAGGCTTTTATAAATTAATCCTGGCGCATTCGCCATTTTTGCGAAAACAACAATTTTGAAAATTTTAGCTTACCAATTAAATAGGTACATATTTTTTTATTGAAAAGTATTCCCTGAAAATTTCATTAAGATTAAAGCAAAATTTTAAAAAATATACGTTTTTAAAAAAATAATTTTTAATTTTTTACATAAAAAATTTTATCAACCACAATTTTAATAAAAGTTTTATAAAAGTTGAGGGATATATAAAAAATGCTCTTTTTACAGTAACGTTAACAGATTTTTCGTAAAATACTTTTTAAAAGGTTCCGAGGTTTTTATAAATTAATCCCGGCGCATTCGCCATTTTTGCCAAAACAACAATTTTGAAAATTTTAGTAACGTACTTTTTTTATTTTACGAGGATTTTATAAATTAATCCCGCCATTTTTTTCAAAAAACAAAATTTTTAAAATTTTCGGCATCCGTATTTTGAAAAGTACATATACCCTAAAAATTGTATTAAGATTAAAGCAAAATTGTGAAAAATATAAATCTCACGTCAACTTTTGAGTTTAGAAAATATGTATTATACCTAATTCAAATTGGTTTGTCCGCAAAGAAATGGCTAAAATCTCACTTGAGGGATGGGGGGATCTACCACATCTCACCAAGGGAGAGGGGGTCCAAATTATAATAATTATTATTAGAAAAATGCCTCACGTAATTAATGGATGTCCCCTTACTACAATCTTTAACAAGCGTTAAACAATTATTTTTATGTTGATAATCTGTAAATACTTAAATTAAGATTTTCTTTATCTGAGTGTACCTATGTAAGTATTAAAACATAAAATCACTTAAAAATGATCATTACTAAAAAATATTTAAAAATCACTTACTACTTTGTTGCTGATTGCCTAGTTAATCAGTCCCGTACTGGACCTACCTGTAACAAAGAAAAAAAGCATTAAAAACAACTCAAACAAGCAAAATCACAATTTTTACCTTTAAAGCCCTTTCGCTGTCACCATCGTTGTTATTGCATCTCCAGACAAAAAAAGATCACTCACGCACTAAAATATCGCACCGAAACTCACAAAAGTCAATAATATCTGGCATTTTTATCAAAAGGACGCCAAGCCAAGCACTTTGCCGATCGTTTTGAAATTATGGCTGCCAAAGTGACAAAAGCGAATCGCTGGCCGGGCATGCGCGGTGGCTCTGTCAAAGATGACGATTTAAAACAAATGCTTCTGAAACTTGGACCTTATAATGTTATATTACTTTAATATTATTTTATCGATTGCAGTTTTATACGACAATTGCCTAGGTACACGAAATATTTTGTTTTATATTGTCTTTACACTGTAACAAATAAAAAACATTAAAAAACAACTCAAACAAGCAAAATCACAATTTTTACCTTTAAAGCCCTTTCCCTGTCACCATCGTTGTTATTGCATCTCCAGACGAAAAAAAGGTCACTCACGCACTAAAATATCGCACCGAAACACAAAAAACTGCAATAATATACTCATTTTATCAAAAGAACGCCTAGCATGTCAAATTACCGGTTGTTTTGTTATTATGGCTGCCAAAGTGACAAAAGCGAATCGCCAGCCGGGCATGCGCGGTGGCTCTGTCAAAGATGACACGATTATACCTACAAAAAAAATGCTGCTGAAACTTTATTATTTTAATATTATTTTATCGATTGCAGTTTTATACGACAATTATCCACACGAAATATTTTATATTTTATATTGTCTTTACACTGTTAGTGACGTATACAAACAATAATAATTATTATTGTAAAACAAATGTTTGTTTTTTATGTAAACATGCACTAACAGCTGTTACAACGAAAATTTGGGTGGGGCTAGAAACAAAAAATGGTCTATATTTATAAAAGGCTGTTTTATAATTTAACCTACACTTAAGATGTTTAACGAAATTTAGTTAAAAAACCGAAAAGAGTAGCAAATAAACACTTGGGTATCTTTTTTTAAATACCTATGTAAAGATGAATTCTTTCTTAAAAATGCATTGCTGCGTTCTGGTTAGATCTTGTTATGTTATCCTTAAGGCGATAACATATTGGTTCTACAAAAAAATACAATAAAAAAGTAAAAAGTCCATTTGAGGGTTTTTTTCAATACCTATTCAAAGACATTTGCAGTATTTTTTAAGGTAATGGAAATTTCGCTAATAAATACGTTAGAAATGCAAGTCTATCTAGCAATTTTTGTAGATTTATATCCCTTTAATCATAGAAAAAGGATAATTAAATTGGTATGCAACTAATGTTATGGCAATGTTATTTGATTGCCTAAGATACAGGTCAATTATAGCTTGCGCGGTAAAAAAAACATAACCTCAAAGAAAAACAAACAGATTTCGCAATGTTGTAGGAGTACTATATTAAAACAGTTTTTTTGGCGGATAAAGCAGAAGAATTTTTCTTAGTGAACAAGAGAATTTTCGGGATGAGCACGATAGATATGGGGCGTTGCCCTGGATTCCCCTTCGAACCATACGAGTTACAGAGAGAATACATGGACAAGGTGATTAAATGCCTGCAAAACGAAACAAATGGCGTTCTGGAGTCGGCTACTGGGACCGGCAAGACCCTCTAGTTGCTGTGCCCGACTTTGGGCTGGTTGCAAGTGAAGAAAGCGCAAATTCAGGCGCAGAATATGAACAGCATTGTGGAAGAGGAGAAGCAGGCTTTCATGGGGAATCTGCTGAAAGAACTGACTGGAAAAGTGGATAAATGGACGGTACATAACGCAGGCAAAGCGGACTGGCCTTCATGGGCTTACTGACCATCATATACGCTTTGAGAATGCATACGCAGTTATTGCAGGCAATGAATGAACTTAAACGGAGTGCATACAAGCACATAAAGGCTTGCATTATAGGATCAAGGGAGCAAATGTGCATACATACATAAGTGATGAAGGAACAGAACAGAGTAAATATTTATTAAACAGAAAAAGTCTCAGCATTGTTTTGAGCAACAACTTTGTCAAAGGTAAATTTTAGGTTATTTTTGACATTTAAAATGTGGCAAGTGTCATTTTAAAAAATATAGCCTACCTGTATTCAGTTTAAAAATATTTCTGTGCATTAAATAAAATTTATATTTTGCCCTTTACTACTTAATATTGCAAATACGGACAAAATACTGGGTCTGTAAAAAGTTATTTTCATTTAAGTACAAAAAACATTCATTAGTACACAGTTCACTTACAAGATCTTTAGCTTCCAAAATAAAATCTTTTAAAAATTCATTAAAGTTTTTGTAATATTAATTTGTTAATATTAACAAGATACAATAATTTTGATGATTTTTAGTTTTACAACAAAACTCCATACTACTCTCTAGATTAAAAAGATGTGTGGTATACCAGTCAAAAAGTCGGTGGGATACCAGAATATGACTACAACGATGAAGTACCAAATGAAACTTTATATCCTACATACACAGATGAAAACAAAACTTTGGCCCCAGTTAAAAGAGTAAAACAACACCAAAAAAAAATTAAAAAAACATAGGATTAAAATGAAGAAAAATATACCTTGATTATTATCTGTTAAAGTTTTTCATTAGTTGCATGTAAAAATAAAAAAATATAAGCTTACCATAAGTACTTACCATATTTTCCTTATACTTACATTAAATTGTTTGTTCTAAGGAATGTGGGGATTTTTGTATTTAAATAAAACAATAACACTGTTAGGGTAAAACTGTTTAAATATATTTACAAGAACAACTTTAATTTCATAAATTTATTAACAAACTAATTAAAAAAATCGATCAAAAAAATCAATTTAACAAATACATAATAAATTACATTACAATCACTTCCTTATGTATCACTTCTGCTGTAATATTTAGTAAACGGCGGTAAGATACAGTCCCTTACATCATTTGTTATGCGTTGCAGAAAATCACTTATATACAGAGTGTTGACGCAATAAATGCCTTGTTTGGCCAAAATTATATAATCCTGCATTTTTTCCATGCTAATCTTCCTTGGTTCCAACAGACAATGTGTTGCGTTAATGGTGACAGTGTCGTCAAAAGGAGGACTAAAATACGGTAAAACATTACTTTTTACAACATATTTACACATATACACATGCATATGTATTTATCGCCCTAAAATCGTTTTTAGAACGATTATATAAATAAATAAGATTTTTGGTTCAAAAATGCATTTTTGTGAAAACACATTCACCGGCAAAAAAATTGGCCAGAATTTTAATGTTGATTTATGCTAATTTTAATGATTTTTTTAAATCTTCAGTTACATTTAAAAAAAAGGCGTCGATAGATTTGGCTAAAATCTAGGCCAAAGTCAAATGATGTTATATTCACATTTTGAGAAAAAAAAATTTAACTGTCCAGTTATTAACTAACAATAATTGTAATGTGGATGTTGTTACTTAAAAATATCATAATAGAAAAAATATAAAGTTTGCATAATCATTTAAAAGAAAATTAAAAATCTTTTGTTTGATATAAACACGGTATATTTTTGTCGAAAACAAACGAAATATGGCTTAAAATGACAATTTTGTAGAAGTCTATGCCTACTACATGGATTTTGTTTTTCAGGTGTATTTTGTTGTTTTTTAAGAAAAATGTAGTTTGTGATATATCATTTTAAAAGAATTTAACATACTAGAACCTAAAAATACAGGGTGTTGTGTAATTAATGCAATATATTAAAATACTGAATACCTTTTGACATAAGGTGTAACGGAAAAATATGTAAAAAAATATTTTCCCAAAGATAAATAAAAAATATGCAATAGAAGTTTTTTATATTTTTTGTGATACGCCACTGGTTACACACTCGTGTTCTGTGATTTGAAAATTTAGTACCTATTTTAAAAACCCCATAACCACAAAATTAATTTTTTCATCAGTTTTTTTCTTTCTGTTTACTCAGAAGAAATTAGGACAAGTTCACAGATTAAACTTTACATTCAATTTGGGTAAATAAATCGAAAAGTTAAAATATTTACAATTTAAGCACATAACCTAAAATTTGAAAGAAATACACTAAATTCTGTCGTAAAAGTTGACAGATTTTGTTTGAATTCACCTTCATTACAAAAACGAAATCAACAATTAATAAAAACGCCAAATTAACAATTTGCATTGTTGATTTTGTCATTTTTGTAATTAAGCTAAATTTCAACAAAATCTGGCAACATTTTTGAAACGCTGCTTGTCACCAATTATAACATAATAAATACCTATATTCTTATGGGAAATCAAATGCTCTACAAAAAAGTCTCTTAACATTTTTGACTAATTTCACTATATTAAAAGTTATTCAAGGTTAAATTTGAAGTCAAAACGAAATTATTGTTTTTTCCGCTCTAGATTTTTTTTTGGGTCAGTTAAAAAATTGAATTCTTTTATCGATGATAATCTTTATGTTATTGATAAAATTACTGAAAATTAAAAAAAAATAGTTTTTTACGGTTTTTTAGCTTTAAGAAGCTATTTTCTTTAGAAAATTTTATTTTCACTGTTACCTATTTAATCGTTTAAATAATAACAATAATGTTGTTTTTTTTTATTGGAAATTGTTAATTAATTATATAATACATAATATGTAATATTATTTATAAAGAAAAAAATTAAATTATCACCCTTAAAAAAATAAATCTACAGAGGAAAAAACAAGAATTTCGTTTTGACTTCAACTTTAACCTTGAATAACTTTTGATTGAGTGATTTTAGCCAATAATGTTAAGAGGCTTTTTTGTAAAGTATTTAATTTGTCATAAGAATATTTATCAGTTTTTATGGGTAGGTACTGATTTTTACATGAATTAAAAAATTCCAAAGTTAAAAGATCAAATTGTAAAACTATACAAATTTTTAAGGCATGATTTTAAGGAAACGGTTCATCTGACGGAAAATTTCATTTTAACCTTTTTTGTAGAGCATTTAATTTTCTTAAAAAAATATTTCGGAGTCAATTTTGTTAAACTCAATAGTTTGGGAGTTCTGAGACAAAAACTTGCTGAGGACAAAAAATTTTTTTGACCCAGTAATGTTACTGAACAATTTATGGTTTTCCAAAAATTGTTAAAAAATTATGACAAAAAACTACAAAACTTATTAAAATTTATTTTTTTAGAATTTTCAATACTAACAAAATTGTAGATTTTTAAAAATTTATGAAATATTAAAAAATTTTGGCCAAAAAACTATAAATCTTATGGAGAAAATTGCTAAAATTTACAAAATTTTTACTTTTTAGAATTCTCAAAACTTATAAAATCTTTAAAATTGTCCAATTTTCAGACTTGCAGAAAAAATTAAACTTTTTGGTTTTTCAAAAATTGTTAATAAATTATGATAGAAATGCAAAAATTAACCAAAAATTAAAAAAAATATTTTTCGGTTATCCAAACATTTTAAAAAGTTTTAATAAATTATGACAAAAAAACTATAAATCTTATCTATTAAAATTTCCTAATTTTTAAAATTTCCAAAAATACTAAAAAATGTTTAATGCTTAGCGAATTTCAACAAACGTTTTGTAATTTTCCCAAATTGAGTTGTAATGAATCGTGTAGTGAATTTACAAAACTGAGTGGCGTAGACGATAAAAAACACTGAAACAAAAGTAAATTGAAATAAAAACTCACCTCATATCTACAATGACCCCGCCTCCAGCCTCTACAACCCTGACTATTGGTTCGCGTTTCGCCGCAACGACCATGGCTCTCATATCGCTAAAAGCCCCATAGCCCCTGCCGGAGATTTCCTTGCGCCAATAGTGCATACTGTTGGCTCTCGCCTCACCTTCCCTGTCCAAATTGACACTAAAATTCCCGGACGATTTCGGGTTCCCAAACTCGAACAGTTCCTCCTAAAACCCGTTCAACTCAGTCTTCGTCGTAGGTATAGAGATGTAAAAAACGGTTTTTTTCAGATGTGAAAAAAACATGAAAAAAAACCTAGAGAAAAACGGTTTTTTTTTGTTTTTTTTTTCAAAATGAAATTTTGAGTAAAATATATATTAATAATAAAGTGAAATGTAGAATATATTAAATTTTTCATCATTGAAATTTTTGACCGAGACAAAAAAATCTGATTTCTTATTATATGGTAGTTTCCACATTAGAAACCAGTAGCAATGTAAAACTTCTACACCAATACAAAAAATTTAAGGATAAAAAAAATTGTTTTGCGATTCTTCGGATAGCTGTATCTTTGTTAAAAATGGTCGAATTGGAGCCGTAAAAAAAGCAATTTGAAGCTTGAAGTTTATAGTTTTGAGATTTTTAGATGAAAAATGTGTAACGCTCAATCCTAACAAATACCGTAATAAAATTGTCTATCTGGTCCACGGAATGTTCTGACTTAACCACTACAAGAATTTGCTATTGTTTTTTTGAAAAAAAATCCATACTCTACATGAATTTGAAAAATCATGAAAAAAGTGCTTTTGGTAACTTTTTGAAAAATCAAGCGCTGAATCAAAAATATTATATGTAGTTACTTTTTTTAGGACCAAATCAAAACAAGCGCGGCCCTTATTGGTCAATTCGGTGGTGGTGGCGCGTGCATAGCGCGAGACTGTATTTACATTTACTAATTGTTATTTAGTGGTTAATTTTAGTCCATGAAACCTAAAAAATTAGGCAAATGGGACTAATCTTGAAAAAAAACCTAAAATGTGAAAAAAAAACCGTTTGAAAAAAAAACAATGAAAAAAACCTAAAAAAAAACAATGAAAAAAACCTGAAAAAAAACAAAAAAAACGGACCGTTTTTTTTCAAGTCGCATCTCTACGTAGGTACTTAAAAAGTGGCCGAAATGGAGAAGTGGATACACAGCAAACGGACAAATATAGAAGTGTATAGAACTAGAGTGTCCCAAAAAAAACCAATGCACTTCTATATTTTTCCGTTTGCCGTGTAAAGTGGCGACTTACGTTGAGGAATTTCCCCGCTTCGATGGATTTTTGCACGTAAGACTCGTGCAGTATCCATTTGCCGGCCGCCATGCAGGAGAGAGTTTTCTCGTTCCGCGCCGGTTTCGGGCAGATCAGGTGCGTGCAGTTGGGATCGTAGCTGGCCAATTCGGAAACGATCGCGCCGAGACTTTCCAGCTTTTCCGCGTACGATTGCCGCTGATCGTTGTCGATGCCGGATATCATGAATATTTTCACCCGCGTCTCTTCCTGCAGGAAAAAAAATGCGTTAGTTATTTTTATTATATGTGTTTAGTTAAAAAAAAATTGTTATATTTATCGAAATTTATAATCAATTTTACAAAACCAAAAGGTTAATTTAATATTAATGTATAAGATTAAAAATACCTTAATGTTTTAATTGAAACATATAAATAGGTTAGTTCTTTTAATCAATTTTACAGTTATTGTAATTACAGAAAATAACAAAAATATTAAATTAAAAACAGCTGTAGTATTTAGTTATAATAACTAAATAGGTTTATAAAAACAACTACCTATAACTACCTTGGTTAAATTCTGAAGGTTATTTTTTAGACATCTGCCAGAGGAAAGTTAACGAGTTTTACGTTGTTTGTTTAAAGACATTGCATGTTTGCATAAGTGCGGTCGTGATTTTTGTGATTTTTAGAATAAGTAAGTAAAACAATTGTTAATTAATATATTTATAAAATTTAATGAAACATCTTGTAAATACAAGTTGTATATTTTTTCTTTCTAACTACTAATGAGATTCATAAATTTCAAGATCATAAAGGGTGTTCATCAGCCTATTGTCAGCACAATCCAAACAAGGTCTGTTTGATCTGTTCGATTTTTTATAAGCCTGTTTACAATTATCGTGCTGTAAGTTTGTGCTTTTTATACAAATTTATAAACGTTATTAGTTAGTTTTTATTGGTTTTATCGAGAAAAACCGTAATAATTTTGATATATAGAAGTAAAATTTTTACTGTTTGCCGCTATCTGTTAAATAACATTAATCACAGATCGAGCACATTGTTGTATGAATTGTGTACAACAATGCGCTCGATCTGTCAGTTATAAAAGTCAGTGTTATTTTGTCACAGATTAATTAACATGTCTTTTGAGTTGATAAAAGTAAAGTTAACTAGTTGGGGACTGGTACATCTAGTTGAAAAATTTCCAGGTCTAGAATATTTCATTAGGAAAGTAAATATTGGGTTTTAAAAGTAATAATTGTTTTTAGAAGAAGCAGTAGATGATGAGGCTTTTATTAGACTTACTCCTGCCCTTATTGACAAATTAGGATTGAAAGTACATAGGTTAGCCAAGTTTAATAAAAATTTTAATGAATTTAAGAATAATACTTTGCTGCCTATTGACGATATTGAATCTTATTCAAGATATTGTAGAAAATACAGTTTTGGGTATTTTATTAATGCAGTTTATTATTTGCTAAAATAACTTTTTATATTTTTTTTAGAGGTCATCCCTACACCCTATAACTAATGAAGAGCTTATGTAAGCTTTTCATTAGAGTTATAGGGTGTAGGGATGACCTCTAAAAAAATTATACACGTGATTAAATTTGATGATATTATACGAAATGTTACTTTTAATATGATTAAAATAAACGATTTATTTTTTATTAATAAAGCGCCAAATATTTAATTTAGCCCAGTTCGTATTTTTCTACTTTTACAACGATTTGTTGCCGCACTACTTGTTTATTTAGATGTTAGAAAAGATCCTGAGGCTATATCTATAGTTTAATTTTTTAGTTTAGGGATTTTCAGTTTTTAGGTTTTAAAATACTGCTTTTTTTATCGAAAAATTTATTTCATTAAACTAAAAAATTAAATATCCTCAGAATTTCCTTTTTATAAACAAATAGTTTTACCAATTTGCATGTATCTTAAGTTTATGATCTCTTAATATTTAAAAAAAATAATTATTTGATTTGTTTAGACATCCTTAGCATAAATAAAAATTATTTTATGAGATAAATGTTTCATTTACAATTAAATATATGCATGCATACTCTTTACAAAACTTTAAAAAGAGCAACAAAACTGTTTACTAAGAATAAACAGGTAAGTATAATTAAAACAACTATAATTTTAGATTAAATTTTAATTAAGTAAAATGATTAATTTAAATATTTAACATTTATTGTTACTATCATGTTTTCTTAGTTTTTTTTATTAAAAAATAATAATTAAAAGCACTACATTTTGTACAAATTATGTGAAATTAAAATAAACAATGATCGTTGAGTTAAAATAACCAAATTTTTCTGGTTACAAAATAACTAAACTGATTGGTTGAATCAAGAATATAATTTTAACTGAACCCAGTTTAGTAAAAAAGATTAAATAGTTCTGTTGGCGCATATATGATTAATTTTTTTAATTAAAATAACTAAACTTTTTTTTCCGTGTGCTAGGGAAAAAGTTGAGCGGTTTTAAACGAATGGGGTAGTTAAATTTTTTCTGACCTATACTTTTTATGGTTTTATTCAAGGCGTTCTGTAATTTTAAACATTTCTGTGAAATCGGAATTTCAATTGAGTTTACCGTTTTCGAGATATTTACAAAAAAAAATATCCTAATTACGTCACTAGGCTATTGACAACGTTGCCAGCTTTTTCTACGGTTGCCAGTGTGTTTAGTTTAAGATTCTTACGGTAGATGGCGCCACGTTATAATATTTTAGTTTTAAAACCACTTGATCTATAATTTTAGTTGAGAAGAAGAAGAAGAATTGATTTTTTGACGTTTATTTTTTTCGGGTTATGTTTTTTTTAATTTAGATTATTGAAAATCAATGTTATTTGTAATTGATATTAGATAAGTGATTTATTAATAACGGACTCCAAAGCAGAGGAATCTTGTGGAATGGTTGGTTACATTGAATATTGGAGCTTTTAAACAAATAAAGTAAGTACCTATAATTATAATCATATTTTGTCGTAAATGCATTTCATTGGTATAATGCCTAGTTCTTTATATTCTTTTAGATATATCTTGGACTCTAAAATATCAAACAGTAATATGATACCTCGTAATAAGGAAGATAGGTGACCATCTTTCACTCAACTGACAGTGACAGTATTTGTACATAACCTCTTCGGGTATTTTCTGACATAACCGAATGAAATCATTAACAAGACAACTTGACAACAGGGTAATTTTCAACCAATAGAAATCTTAGAATGTTGGTCACATTGCGAGGTTTGTGACGTCATAAAAATTTATATTTTTTGTAAATATCTCGAAAACGGTAAACTCAATTGAAATTCTGATTTCACAGAAATGTTTAATATTACAAAACGCCTTGAATAAAACCATAAAAAGTATAGGTCAGAAAAAATTTAACTACCCCATTATGACAAAAAATTATACATTTTTGGAAATACCACAAATGCCTCCTGACTTTTTTCTTTGGACAAATTGAAGAGTAAATTTTTAAAATTTCCAAAATATTAAAAGATTTTGAAATTACAGAACCACTGAAATTTCCAAAATTGCAAAAAAAATTAAATTTTTAGTTTTTAAGAAATTTAAAAAAATAAATAATCTTTATTTGGCAGTTTTGCTATAAAAAACATTTTATAAATAAAAAGATATATGTATATAAAAAAGTGGAACATAAAAACACATTTTAAACCAAAATCAATTGATAGTCAAAAAACTTTAAACTAAAGCTTTTTAAGCTATTAATTTTTAAAATTTTTTGTTTAAATATTGTTAAAAATGTAACAATTAAAATAGAGTTGATGCATTTTTAATCCACAAATTACCACTTTAAATTTTAAAAGTAACATTCAATGTAATTTGAGAATTTTTGCATTAAAAATTTATTGACTATTTAAACTATTTAAACCATATTTGGCATGTTTTATGTGTTTTTATTTTAAAGTTTTACTTGGAATTTACAAAAATGTACCTACATATGAAGTTTTAATAAATTATGACAATCTTATTAAAATTTTTTAAATTTTAAAATTACAGAACTGCTAAAATTTTTAAAATTTCCAAAATTATTTAGAATTTTCAAAACTTTTTCCCAAATTTTCAGATTGGCAATTTTTTTTTTAATTTTAAAAATTTATGAAATATTAAAAAGTTATGACCAAAAAATTATAAATCTTATGGAGAAAGTTGCTAAAATTTTCAAAATTTACAAAATTGTCCAATTTACAGAAATTATGACAAAAAAACTATAAATCTTATTAAAATTTTTAAAATTTATTTTTTTAGAATTTTCAAAATTGTAAATTTTTAAAAATATTCAAAAATTATGATAAAAAAACTATAAACCTTATGCAGAAAGTTGCTAAAATTTACAAAATTTTAATTTATAAATCTTATGGAGAAAATTGCAAAATTTTTTTTAGAATTTCCAAAATTGTATAATTTCCAGAAATGCAAAAATTGACAAAAAATTTAAAAATTTTATTTTTCGGTTGTCCAAACATTTTAATAAGTTTTAATAAATTATGACAAAAAAACTATAAATCTTATCTATTAAAATTTCCAAAAAATTCATTTTTATAGAAACTTCAAATAATGGACTCGTCCGGCAATTTTTATGTCTTTATACACGGTGCTGTTCTGAGAGGTGATTTTTGGACTTTCTGTGAAACCTAATTTTTTTCTTATATTCTTGTTAATTAGGTCATAACTCGGTCATAACTAAAATTTTAAGAGCAAAAAAAAATTTTACGGTTAATTTTGATTTAATTGGATGTTTATTAAAAATATGTATGCACACTTTCAATTCTCCAATTAAAACTTGCGATTTTATTTAAATATTATCATAACTTTTTAAATCAGATTAAAGATTAGTTAATTTCCTAAAGAAAGGTCTATACATTTTTTATATCTTTTACTGTTTTGTTGTAATACACGTTTAAAGTTTTAATTTAAGGTTAAATGTATAGTATACATTTATTAAACAATAATTCTAAGGGTGCCACATTTTATTTAGGGCCGATTTATTCATTTTTGATTTATTTGACGAATAATTTCTTTGGATACTAGATATTGCCAAGACATGAAAGTTATCGGCCCGATAAACTTTACTAAAGATGAATAAACCGGTCCTTAGTTAAATTTCATGAATTTCTTCGTAACTTTTACTACAATTTTTCATTTTTGTTTATAAAAAACACTTTAAAAAACTAAACAAAAATTATAGAATACGTATACTGAAAATGACAATTCAAACGTCAAATAAATTTTTAATAGATCTAAGTTTCATGGCAACCTTTAAGGATATATTAATTAAGGGAACATAAATGTATACGTCAAAGGTTGGATTAAAAGTTTAAACGTTTATTGCAACAAAACAGTAAAATATATAAAAAAAATTGTAAAAACCTTTTTTTTAGTTATGCAAATATTAAATATTTAAATGAAATCGCTAGTTTTAATTGGATAATTGAAAGAGTGCATAATATTTTTAATAAGCAGCCAATTAAAACAATTCAAACAGTCAAATTTTTTTAATTTTGCTCTTAAAATTTTAGTTATGACCTAATTAACAAGAATATAAAAAAAATTAGGTTTCACAGAAAGTCCAAAAATCACCTCTCAGAACAGCACCGTGTATAACCTAGATGTAATAGTGAACAAAAATCTTACCGTTTTGGCAGTTTCCCTGTAATCCCATCCGACAGTGAACGCCTGAGAATCCTTTATTTCCATGTTGGCAACTGCAAATTTAAAATAAATAAAAACCGTAAAACATCAATTTGATTTTAACCTTCTTCCGGCACTGTCGACTGAAAAAGTCTGCTAGGCCTTCTGCTACTAGTTCCAGAACTCGAGTTCATCAATTCCTCCAGTTTTTCCAGTTTATTCTGTATCTCGGGATTTTCCTGCGGCTGTTCAAACACCTCCTAAAAAGTTACAGAATTGCCAATTTGTAGGTGATATTATTTGCGAAATAAATACGTCGGCAATTTCCATGACATCATCATCAAATGTATCCATATCCATATTTGTAGGTTCCACGTCGGGTTCTTTATAATCCACGCCTTTGCATATTTTATCCCTTAACCTCTTTTTTAACTCGCTCAAGGGCTGAAAGGAGTAAATATTCAAATAGTCACATTTTTGAAATAATTTAAACCAATAATTTTATAGGATAAAATATTAAAACTACAATTTTTAAAAACCATTATTTTAATCATTTGCATTTTATATTTTTGGATTATCAATTGATTTGAAATTTAAAAAAATTTAACTTTTCAAACTATTTTCTTAGAAAATGTTTAATATATGTTTTATAAGAATTTACAAAACTTACAAAATTTTAAAAATTTCTAAATTTTTAGAATTGCAATTTTTAATTTAAAAAATTTATGAAATATTACAAAATTATGACCAAAAAACTGTAAATGTTAGGGAGAATTGCCAAAACTTGTGTTTTAAATTTTCAAAATTGTCTAATTTTCAGAATTGCAACAAAAAAATCAGTTTTCTTTAGAATTTATAAAACTTGTGTTTAAAATTTTCAAAATTGTCTAATTTTCAGAATTGCAACAAAAAAATCAGTTTTCAAAAAATGTATGAAGTTTTAATAAATGATGACAATCTTATTAAAATTTCCAAAATTTGTTTAGAATTTACAAAACTTAAAAAATTGTAAAAATTTCTAAAATTGCCAAATTTTCAGACTTGCAATTTTTGTTTAATTTTAAAAATTTAAGAAATAATAAAAAAAATTGACCAAAAAATTATAAATCTTACTGCTAAAATTTACAAAATTTGATTTTATAAATCTTATGGAGAAAATTGCTAAAATTTTCAAAATTTTAACTTTTTAGAAATTCCAAAATTTAAACAAATTATGACAAAAAAACAAAAAATTGCAAATACTTTTCATAACTGGACCGCAAATGACGTTTCAGAAGTAATAACTTGCTTGAAAAATTTCCAAAATTTTTTTTTTGCATTTCCAACCAATACTTATAATATTTACAAAATTATCACAACTTCCTAAAATTTCCAAAATTGTGGAAAAAAATTAAATTTTTAGTTTTCGGTTTTTAATTTTTTTTTTTAATTTATGAAATTTTAAATAATAAATAAATAATCCTTATTTGGCAGTTTTTCTATAAAAAAACATTTCATAGAGAAAAAATAGATGTATATAAAAAGTGGAACATAAAAATATGTACATTTAAACTTAAAAAAATATTGTTAATAATGTATCAATTTAAATTTGTTAAAAATAAAAGTTATTGGTAAAGAGTAATTTAAATGATGGTCAATAAATTTTTAATCAAAAAATTACCACTTTAAAATTTAAAACTACAATTTTTAAAAACCAATACTTTAAACTTAAACTTTTACATTTGCATTTTATATTATAAATATTTTTTGATTATCAATTGTTTTTAGATTAAAAAAAATTAACTTTTTAAACTATTTTGGTAGAAAATGTTTTGTATTTTTATTTTAAAGTTTTACTTAGAAATTACAAAACTTACAAAAATGTACATATCGCTCATCCGGAAGAAAACGGTCACAACTCAAAAAAGTTAAATTTTCAGGAGAAGCAATTTAAAGTTGCAAATAATTTAATTTATCGAACTGTTGATGTTTATGGATTTTTTTGTAAAAAAGTAATATTTATTTTAAAACATGGCTTTTTTAAAAGTACTTTGTTTTAATCTGAATTACTTTAAATTTTTTGTTTGTTAATGAGAAAAACAAATCCTTTCAATGACAGAGATGTGTCACTTTTCTACTAAATTTGATGCAAATTTTGTTTCCAAATTCATTAAATAAATCCCTCAAACATTGTATTAAACATTTTATTTATTGAAAATATGAACAGTTTAAAAAAAGAACGTACCTAAACATTGAGTTATCAAAACGGAATATAATAATTTACCTACTATAATTCGGTAGATTGCTAGAAAGGAACATTGTAACAAAAAAGGACACAAATAAAAATATGACCGTTATCAATTGAAAGTAAAACAAAAATCACTGTTATAACCCGAGATGTGACGTTTTTCCCGAAATAAATCGTTTGTCTCGCTTTGACGTATGAATAAAGACTGAAAAGTGTCGCTTTAGTTCTGTGAAGTTATGCATTTTCGCGCTAGGGATGAAGTGACACAAGTTCCATCTCTCGGGTTATACTAAAAGTTTAGATGAGACATTTTTCTACAACATAGAATATGATGTTTGGAATTAATTTCAATTAAAAACTCAATTTTTGGATTTTCTGAGTTGTGACGGTTTTCTTCCGGATGAGCGATATGAAGTTTTAATAAATTATGACATTCTTATTAAAAGTTTCTAAATTTTAAAATTACAGAACTGCTAAAATTTTCAGAATTTATTTAGAATTTACAGAACTTCAAAAATTGTAAAAATTTCTAAATTTTTTTTAAAATTTTTAAAATTTATGAAATATTAAAAAATTATTACCAAAAAGTTATTAGATTTAATTTTATGGAGAAAATTGCTAACATTTTCAAAATTTCCAAAATTGTCTAATTTACAGACTTGCAGAAAAAAAATAAAATTTTTGGTTTTACAAAAATTGTGATAAAAAAACCATAAACCTTATAGATAAAGTTGCTAAAATTTACAAAATTTTAATTTATAAATCTTATGGAGAAAATTGCTAAAATTTCCAAAATTAAATTTTTAAAATTGTCTAATTTTCAGACTTGCAAAAAAATAAAAAATTTGGTTTTTAAAAAATTGTTAATAAATTATGACAAAAAAACTGTATGTAAAACTTATTTTTTTTAGAATTTTTAAAACTTGAAATATTAAAAAATTATGAGTTTTCCAAAAATTTTAAAAATTTAAAGACCGCCCTTGAAATTTGAAATAATGGACTCGCTCGCTCAAGGGGTGAAAGGAAAAAATATTCGCATGTTTGAAATATCATTTCATTTCAAAATATCACTCACCGTACTGGTTCTTCTCGGGGTGGGAGGAGGGGGGACATACTCGGGAAACTGGTAAATGCACTTCAGGAGCCGCTTCCTCAACTCCTTGTTGACTGTCGGAGTTAAGAACCTCTCCAGTGGCGTATCGGGCGTTTTGATGTTGAAAAACTTGTCGTACACCACCGGGGAATTGTCGGGGGTTCCCAGCAGGTTATTGCTCCTCACTTCCTGCATAATTTTGGAAACCGGCGTCACCTGACTGCAGCCTCCCGAAGACAAGTCAAAGTTTCTCTTTGCCGGGGTCATATCTAAATTAAACAATGGGGTAGTTAAATTTTTTCTGACCCATACTTTTTATGGTTTTATTCAAGGCGTTTTGTAATTTTAAACATTTCTGTGAAATCGGAATTTCAATTGAGTTTACCGTTTTCGAGATATTTACGAAAAAAATCTCCCAATTACGTCACTAGGCTATTGACAACGTTGCCAGCTTTTTCTTTGGTTGCCAGTGTGTTTAGTTTAAGATTCTTACGATAGATGGCGCCACGTTATAATATTTTAGTTTTAAAACCACTTGATCTATAATTTTAGTTGAGAAGAAGAAGAATTGATTTTTGACGTTTCTTTTTTTCGGGTTATGTTTTTTTTTAATTTAGATTATTGAAAATCAATGTTATTGTTATGTTTTTTGTAATTGATATTAGATAAGTGATTTATTAATAACGGACTCCAAAGCAGAGGAATCTTGTGGAATGGTTGGTTACATTGAACATTGGAGCTTTTAAACAAATAAAGTAAATACCTATAATTATAATCATATTTTGTCGTAAATGCATTTCATTAGTATAATGCCTAGTTCTTTATATTCTTTTAGATATATCTTGGACTCTAAAATATCAAACAGTAATATGATACCTCGTAATAAGGAAGATATATACCTATAGGTACTCAATGAATTTGGTGACCATCTTTCACTCAACTGACAGTGACAGTATTTGTACATAACCTCTTCGGGTATTTTCTGACATAACCGAATGAAATCATTAACAAGACAACTTGACAACAGGGTAATTTTCAACCAATAGAAATCTTAGAATGTTGGTCACATGGCGAGGTTTGTGACGCAGGGTTCCCACCAAGAAAATAAAACAAAATTCCCTGACTTTTCCAGGTTTTCCAGACCAATTTTCATCAATTTCCAGCAATAATTATAGGTACTATGCTCCACACCTCAAAGTCCCACCATGTGACCAAGTACGGAACGCAGTCTTTTGAAAATTTGGCATTTAAGGCTTTTCAGGTTATGTATCTGTCAAAGTATAGTCAATGAAAGAAATCATATTTATAGTGATACCGCTTATGTTTAAGCGTTAAAAGTTAATAAATCTTTATAGTATCACAATAACATGGTTGGTTTAAGAATTTACGAATATAAATACTGCATTTAATAAAATTTCAAAGTGTAAGGTGCAATATAAGTGATATTTTTGTGCATTGAGTCTAAATTTCTCCATAAAATAGTTTTAACTAGACAAAATTTATTAAAAAAAAAATCTAACTTCTCTATTATGAAATAAGAATATCTGTATTTGATATATCAAAGGTAGGTTAATGTATTAGAACAAAAAATTTCATCTAATTTTGTATTTTAAGGTTAGAAAAATCTATTTTGACCAAAATAAATAAGTGGATTATTTGGAAGAGTGTGTTAATTTGGTCAAAAATAAATATAGGTATACTAAATAATTGTTGAATATGGTTCAAATTAAAATGAAGCTCTTATACTTCTAATGACAAAACTTGTGCATACCTCTCGGCATACCTACTTTAAGTTATGTAGATTATAAGAAAACAAACAATTTTTAGAGAAACTTGCAATGTGAAAATATTTAATACTCCCATGACATGTGATTTATTAAAATTTTTAAAGTTATACTGATTTTTTGATGTAGATCAAATTCAGTCGAAGCTTTTTAACTATTTGTATTGACAAAACTTTATGTAGGTACACTTTAAGCTGGATAAGAAAAACTACCACATTTTTAAATACCATATTATACAGACTAATAATCCAAAATACTTATTTATTTTGGTCAAAATAAATTTTTCTAATCTTAAAATTACAAAATTAGATGATATTTTTGTTATAATATATTAACCTACCTTTAATACAGATATTCTTATTCCATAATAGAGAAGCTAGATTTTTTTAAATAAATTCTGTTTAGTTAAAATTATTTCATGGAGAAAACCAGATATTTGGACCAAATGCACAAAAATATTACTTATTTGGCACCATACACTTTGGAATTTCATTAAATGCAGTATTTATATTCTTAAATTCTTAAACCATCCATTGTTAATCTAATGTTATAAAGATTTATACATTTTTAACGCCTAAACATAACATTATTTCTTTCGTTGACTATACTTTGACAGATACATAACCTGAAAAGCCTTAAATGCCAAATTTTCAAAAGACTGCGTTCCGTACGTGGTCACGTGGTGGGAATTTGAGGTGTGGAGCATAGTACATCGACCATTCCAAGCCCATGGACAGGACACATCAGAAACATGTCTAAATATATTCTTGTTACTTCCTTAAGTTTACTTATTTTTTCTACGAGTATTTATGAGAAGTATTAGCCAAATTTGGCTAATACTTCTCATAAATACTCGTAGAAAAAATAAGTAAACTTAAGGAAGTAACAAGAATATATTTAGACATGTTTCTGATGTGTCCTGTCCATGGGCTTGGAATGGCCGACATGTAAAGTAAAAATATATTTTATTTTTCTTTTTACAATTTTTTTTAACATTTCTTAAAATATAATAAAAAAATTAAACAGAACATTCATAAAAAATTTGAAAGCAAACAAACTTAGTTTATAAGGTCATACATTTTATATTATAGTATTTGCGCAAATGATTTATTTTAGTTTCAATGCCCGGCTATATTATTTGTAAAAAATAATTTTCGGCCAGTAATAAAAATGCAAACAATTTTCGGAAAAATCAAGAAAAATTAGTTAAATTCCCTGACTTTTCGTAAAAATTAGTTAAATTCCCTGACTTTTCGTAAAATTCAGCAAATTCCCTGACTTTTCCCTGACTTTTTTACTAATATTTAATTTCCCTGACATTTCCAGGTTTTCCCTGTTTTCCAGGTGAGTGGGTACCCTGTGACGTCATAAAAATTTATATTTTTTATAAATATCTCGAAAACGGTAAACTCAATTGAAATTCCGATTTCACAGAAATGTTTAATATTACAAAACGCCTTGAATAAAACCATAAAAAGTATAGGTCAGAAAAAATTTAACTACCCCATTGTTTTGCATGCAAGGTCGCATATTTCGGCGGGTTTTTTACCTGCTACGTCGTTATTAAACTTTTGATGCACAGGTGTCGCTACTTGAGCGCTTTCAGGTTTTCCTAGAGGAGTTGACTTGGGAGTGCCATAATTTGGAGTGCCCAATGGAGTAGGTGCAGGTCTTTCAGGAGCTAAAAGTTTCGTTTGCTTAACATACCTAAGTCCGGAAAAGATTCGCGGTCTTTTATCTTTTACGTGACAAAAGTTATGTTAATACAACACCAAATATACGGCCCTTTTTCTTGATATCAGTGTACGGATGTTGTCCGTAAAAATTTAGAAATGTTCAGAAAAATTGTATTTTTTTCGTATTACCCTTTAAATAAAATGAAACAATGCAAAAGTCAATTTTTCTAAAAATTTCACAATTTTTTCCTTTTAAAATTTACAGAACTGCATACATTTTTAAAATTTACAAAATTTTAAAAAATTTTTTTTAGAATTTCCAAAATGTCTTAATGGGCGTTTCTCTGTAAACTGGGCAACTTGAAGTAAGAAATTGTCTAGGCAAGTTTTTTTGTTATATTTTTGTTGTATTTAATAAATGTTATTCGAGGAATAAATATCGGTCTATTTATTAGTAAACGGCAGATGAACCAAAAATATTCCTATTACTTTGGAAAACATTGAGCATTTTCTGAAAAATCTATACAGGGGACTGTTTATAAAATCCGGAGACAAAGTTTAGATGACTTTTTTAGAATTACAAAATAATAATTATAAAAAATAAATAAGTCACAGTAACAAGCAAACAATATTGGTTGAATAATTAAACAATTAGGTTGATTCCAATAGTTACTGTCTTTAATTAATTTAGTCTGAAGTGACCATTTTGCTTTGGTGACACGTCAGGGGACTGGTTTTTAAGGATTATAAAAACCATTTTGATACATTAAAGTTTATTTTATTGGATTTTGAACGTCGAGCATAGGTAGATTAGGTTATTATCTTTTGAAGTTATCTACGAAATATTTATGATCTGTTATTTTTCTAAACAATATTAGCTTGAGACAATGAGTTGCCCAGTTTACAGAGAAACGCCCTAATATATCATTTTTGAAAATCTTATGGAGAAAATTGCTAAAATTGTCTAATTTTCAGAATTTCAAAATTGCAACAAAAAATTTAGTTTTCGGTTTTCCAAAAATGTACCTATAAAGTTTTAATAAATTATAATAATAATAATTTAATTATTACAAAAAAAACTATAGGTAAATCCTATTAAAATTTTCTAAATTTTAGAATTTACAAAACTAACAAAATTGTCATATTCCTAAATTTACAAAATTTTCATAATTTTTTTACCAAAAAACTATAAAGAAAATTGCTGAAAATTTTCAAAATATCCAAATTGTCTAATTTTCAGGATTTGCAAAATTTTTAAAAAATGTATTAAATGTATTTTGTATTAAAAAAATTATAGAATTTACAAAAATTTTTATTTTTTTTTAATTTCCAATACTTTATATCATATGTTTGTATCACTATTATGTTTGTATTGAATGTAAAAATTATTATTTTGTAATTTATATACTACTATTTTATAAAATTATTAATTAATTTTAACATTATCCATCAAAATGGAAATTTTTAGATGGAAATAAACAGTATTATTATTATTATTATTATTACTTATAAAATTTCCAAAATTATCCAATTTTCAGAATTGCAAAAAACCATGAAGCTTATTAAAATTTTCTAAATTTTAGAATTTACAATTTTCCAAATTTTAGAATTTATAAAAGGAACAATATTTATAAAATTTACAATATTTTCATAATTGAAATTTTTTTTACCAAAAAACTAAAAACTTAAATTGTCATATTTCTAAAGTTTTTAAAATTTCCAAAATTGCTTAATTTTCGGAATTACAAAAATTGCAACAAAAAAATTAATTTTCGGTTTTCCAAAAACTTATAGTTTTAATAAATTATTTCAAAAAAACTATAAATCTTCTAAATTTTAGTTGTCCAATTTTTAAAAAATTTAAATAATTTAAAAAATTATGACCAAAAATCTATAAATCTTATGGAGAAAATTGCTAAAATTAGAATTTCCAATACTTATAAAGTTTCCAAAATTGTCTAACATTCAGAATTGCAAAAAACCATGAAGCTTATTAAAATTTTCTAAATTTTAGAATTTCAAAACTTACAAAATTGTCTAATTTTTAATTTTAAAAATGTATGAAATATTGAAAAAATCTATAAAACTTTTTTTAGAATTTCCAAAATTGCAAAAAACTTTTTAGTTTTCGGTTTTCCAAAAATTTTAAAAAATTATTAAAAAAAACGATGAAGCCTATTAAAATTTTCTAAATTTTAGAATTTACAATTTTTTTCCTTTTTAGAATTTTCAAAATTGCCCAATTTCAAAAACAAATTTTAGTTTTCGGTTTTCCAAAAATGTATGAAGTTTTAATAAATTATTACAAAAAAACTACATTTGTTATTAAAATTATCTAAATTTCTAAAATTATAAAATTTTAATAAATTATGACCAAAAAACTAAAAATCTTATGAAAAAAATTTAGAATTTCCAAAAGTAACAATATTTCTAAAATTTACAATATTTCCAAAATTGCCTAATTTTCAGAATTGCAAAAATTGGAAAAAATATTTAAAATTTTTAGTTTTTGGTTTTCCAAAAATTTTAAAAATTTATTAAGTTTTAAGATTTCATTACAAAAAACCATAAATCTTACTGACTAAAAACTAAACTAAAAAACTAAAAACAGAATAGAAAAAAATGGCTCACCTTTGGACTCTCCGAGCAAAAAAGGAGTCTCCAAGACGGCCAGCCCCGTCCTGGCCACCTCCAAAAGCCAGTCCTTGGAGACGGCCGGCAGGCCCCATTTAATCGCGGCCGAGTACTTTTTCCCCGAGGCGTCCAGACTCACCAGGTGCGTAGAACCCAGGACGCCCTTCTCCACCGAGGTATAGCGCGCGAACTGATCCTGGCACTTGCCCCCCAGCGCGACTATGAGGTTCCGCAAAAAGTTGCGCTCGTAGCTGCAAACCCCGCTGCAGGTGATGACGCAGTTCTCCAGGGGGCTGGAGTTTTGCAGCACAAAGGGCTGATGGTAGTACAGCACCTTAAAACATGCCGCGATGAGTTGACGTTCGAATATCAGGGCCAATTTAGAAATTTTATTTGGGAATTTAGGAGGTTTTTTGGAGAATTTTAGGAGAAATAAAGTATTCAATTGAATTTATGTAGTTAAATAAAAACAACTCTACACTGTACCTACTTAAAAAATAAGAAAAAATAAATCATTATTTATTATTAAATTAAAAAACTTTTTTGGTACTCGATTTCGATTGATTATTCCTTATATCAACGCTTAAATGCTTATATAGTTACGTTAGTGTGTGTATTTTATCAAAGGGATCATGGTGAATTATTGTGTTTTTAATTGTAAATAAAATTCAACAACTAAATCGTTGTATTTTCATGTTTTGCCAAATGATAATGATAATGATAACTTTACCTAATTTAATTCATATTTAAGTTTAGACATTTTTAAGAAATTAGTAAAAAATAATTTTTGCACAAACATAACCTTAAAATCAACCATTTTTATGTTTGAGTTCTCTAAAAAAACGCCGACAACTGCATTGTAAACAACAAAATATACCTACGAATTCATGGCAACATAATATTATATATAATACATAATAAAATGGTAATTTACCGTTGAGTGGAGACGTTTTAAATAATGCTAAATGCTGTTTAAATTTAGACGACTTTTACTGAATTGAAATGTTTACACTTTTACTAAAATGTGTATTTATTGTATCTAATAGGTACAATTTATATTTACAGAGACTGTATGCAATTTATTTCTTCATTCAGATTAACACTGTTTATTGGAAAACCGGTAAAAACTCAAGCCAGGATTTCCTCTCGAAATACACCCAACAACACAACAATTCGAGCCACGGTTTTTTTTCGATATTTTTTAACATTTTCCGGCTTTATTCTCAAAAACACTCGTTTGTAACATAAGCGTTTGACAGCTGATTATTAAAAGTTGTAATTTTGTTACGATGATAACAGGTGAGTGGTGGCGCTACTAGCGATACTTCTTAAGCGTATTGACTAGTTTTTTAGCCAAATCGCTTGAAGAATTTTTTTAAAATAAAATTAAAAGTGAGATAAAATTACTACTTTTGTATATATGTTACCGGCAATGTGAAAAATCCGACAATGTGCGAAATGTCTAGATACTCTGGAAACTGATCAATTTACCAGACATTGTGCAAAATCACTATCATGTTGGGCAATCTGCAAATTTACTACGCTATTTTAGGCAATCTGCAAAATGTCTGATGCGATAGTCAATCTGGGGATTAAAGGTTTTTACTTCTCACATTGACTAGGCAGTATGCGCAACACTAATTTACGATAGAAATGTAAAATTGAAAAAATGATTAAATACCCGTTAAAAAAAAACGTTTTTAAATGTTTTTTTAAATATTTTTCCTTTATTCCTTATGTCAAAAGGTATTCAGTATTTTAATATATATATTATATATTAAAATACTGAATACCTTTTGACATAAGGAATAAAGGAAAAATATTTAAAAAAACATTTTTCCAAAGATAAAGAAAAAATATGCATTAGAAGTTTATCTCTGCACACCTGTATTTTGTGAGTACATAGATACCAACCAACAAAGTAGCTATGCGTTGCCAGATGTAAAAAATTGTTCTTAAAAATTTTCTTGCAAAAAATAAATAAAAACTCAATAAATACAAAAGTTTTATGCCCTTAAAGCTCTAATACCCTTCTGTATTTTATTTACTGATCCAGCTATTAGCTTAAGCAATGATTAGAAAATTTAGTATCTTTGAAATTTGAAATCCATAACCACAAAATTAATTTTTTCATCAGTTTTTTTCTCTGTTTACTCAGATGAAATTGGGACCAGTTCACAGGTTAAACTTTAAACATTTAATTTGTGTAAATAAATCCAAAAGCACTTCCCTTAGTTAAGATATTTACAATTTGAAAACATAACCTAAAATTTGAAAGAAATTCACTAGATTCTGTCATAAAAGTTGGCAGATTTTGTTTGAATTTTCCTTCAGTACAAAAATGACATAACCAACAATTAATAAAAACGCCAAATTGACAATTTGCATTGTTAATTTTGTCATTTTTGTAATTAAGCTAAATTTAAACAATGTTTGTCAACTTTTTTGAGAGATTTTGGAAACACTGTTGTTACCAACCATAACATAATAAATCCACCAGATTAACCTAAAGTTCCTAGACGATCAGTGGCGTACTTTTTGGTAGGATAAAGGTTATTATAAATTATTTTTAGACTTTGGAATTTAGAAAAAAAAAGTTTCAGGTGCTTCTTTATGGACCCTAATGAACAACCCATTTTAATTTATAACATTAATTACATAACACCCTGTATTATATTCAATTTTTAAGAGTTTTAGGAGGTTGATGTCAATTTCGGGAGTTTTTAGGATTGAAGCGGAATTTTGGGGATTTATGAGTTTTAGGAGGTGTGGAGATTCGTTACCTCGCGCACTTCGTTCTCCTCTATGCACTCGGCCACCCACAGGTCGGTCACCACCTCGGCGGCGGACTGGCGGATTTCGGCGTCGTTGAAAACCGGCAACACCGCGTAGTCCAGCACGCCTTTGAAGGACTTTGCGACGATTTCGCCGCCGCAACTTTTTATCTGTTCCGACAAAATTTCCACTTCGTCGGCTTTGAAGCCGGCCAGCGCGAATTTAAGACCTAAGAAACAGACGAAAATGCAATTGTTGATTTATGCCAGTTTCACATGTTTTAAACACATATAAAACATTTTTTACCAAAATGGTTAATTTTAAGAAAAATTGACATTTTTTTCCATTTTATCAAAGGGTAATCGAAAAAAAAATGTAAAGTAAATTTTTCTTAAAACTGGACAATTGATTATAATCATACAATAATAATTATAATATATATTCCTTTTCTTTTAATTCAGTGTGCAAAAAAACATATTTTTTCCAAAAAAGACAATATTAGCAAGGCCGAAAAAAACAGGTTTTTCCAATTTTAATACAATGAATTTTACTAATTTATGAAATATTAAAAAATTGTGACTAAAAAACTAAATCTTATGGAGAAGATTGCTATAATTTTCAAAATTTACAAAAATTTTAATTTTTTTCTAGAATTTTCAATACTTATAAAATTTCCAAAATTGTGTATTTCTCGGAATTGCAAAAATTGCAAAAATGTATGAAGTTTTAATAAATTATTACAAAAAAACTATATTTCTTATTAAAATTTCCTAAATTTTAAAACACACAAAACTTTAAAATTAAATTAATTAATTAAAAGTTTATGAATTTTTAAAAAATTATGACTAAAAAACTAAATCTTAAGGAGAAAAAGGCTAAGATTATCAAAATTTCCAAAAATTTTAATTTTTTTTAGTATTTCCAAAATTGTGTAATTCTCGGAATTGAAAAAATTGCAAAAAATACCAAATTTTTAGTTTTCGGTTTTCAAAATTTTTTAAAAATTTATAGATTATTACAAAAAAACTATGAAGCTTATTAAAATTTCCTAAATGCTAAAATTAAGAATTTACAAATTTTTTTACCATAAAACTATAAATCTTATGGAGAAAATTGCTAAAATTTCCAATAATTATAATTTTTTTCCAAAAATTGTGTATTTCTCGGAAAACATCAAATTTTTAGTTTTCGGTTTTTAAAAATTTATTAAGTTTTAATAAATTATTACAAAAAACTATGAAGCTTATTAAAATTTCCTAAATGCTCAAATTTAGAATTTACAATTTTTTTTACCAAAAAACTATAAATCTTATGGAGAAAATTGATAAAATTTTCAAAAAGTATGATTTTTTTCTAGAATTTCCAATACTTATAAAATTGTCTAATTCTCGGAATTGCAAAAAACTTCAAATTTTTAGTTTTAATAAATTATTACAAGAAAACTATGAAGCTTATTAAAATTTCCTAAATTTTAAAATGTACAGAATTGCTAAAAATGTCAATTTACAAATTTTTGTACCAAAAAACTGCTAAAATTTCCAAAAAACTTATTTTTTTAGAACTAAATTTCCAAAATTGTGTAATTCTCGGAATTGCAAAAATTGTAAAAAACATCAAATTTTTAGTTTTCGGTTTTATCCAATTTTCAGAATTGTAAAAATTGCATACATTTTTTTTTCCAAAAATGTATGAAGTTTTAATGAATTTTTACAAAAAAACTACAAACATAAAAATTGTCTTAATTTCTAAAATTTTCAGAATTGCAAATATTTTAAATTTTAAATAATTAAAAAATTATGACCAAAAAAGTATAAATCTTATGGAGAAAATTGCTAAAATTTTTAAAATTTCCAAATTTTTAACTTGATTAGAATTTTTTTGTTTTATTTAAAACTGATTTATAAAATTATAATTTTGTAATTTAACTTTATAAATTTTTCATTATTTTGTAATTGGATATTTTCAATGAAATCCTTTTTGCAAAAAAGACCCAACCGACAGTAAATTCAACGTTTACGTTTATTTTTTTTTAAATAAATTAAATTGAAATATTGCCAAGCTAAAAAAGCCAATATTTCCAAGGCCAAAAATCAATTTTCCCGTTTTTTTTTTCGACACAAGTCAAAGTTTAACATTCTGCGTTCGAAAAAAATCGTTATCCTGTACAGTGTAGTTATATTATATTTACCTTCAAATACGTCGCAAGGCTGTACGGTGTCATCATCGGTTAAGTTACTGCCCAAAGTGGTTTGCTGGGCGCTTATTTCCGGTTCCGGTGGTGGGGGCATCGTCGACAATCGCGGCGCTTCGTTTTCCTTCGTGCTCGTGAATTTGGAATCGTTTTTTAGAAGCTGCGCCAGCGTATCCTCATCGGCTACGATAAATTTGAACGATGAAAAAATAAATTTTATCTCCACGCGGTCTATAATTTAAACTTTATTGTTGTCAACATTCGATAAAGAAATACCTTGTTATGGCCTAGGCCGATAAAAATTTTTATGAGGCAAGTAATTAGTTCGATTTTTTCTCGCTAGGGGTATTGTTTTGACAAATTAATCCTTTTCGTTTGTTTTACTGTTAATGTTTAATATTTTTCATTAAATTATTGTAAAATTAAATATGAATAATAAAACAAAAAGTGAGGTTAGGCAACCAAGAAAACGCACGATTCTTTTTCTACGATTTAAATTATCTTTAAGTTTTAATTTGCTTTAAGTTTTCAGTGAAATTAAATGTTAAACACAGCTTAAACATTCCAAACTACCTATTTTTTAAATAAAAATCCAAACAAATTGAAGTTAGATACCTACCTATTTATTAAACAATTAATTGAATTCAATGTAATAGCAAAAATCCATTTCTACTTAAATCATGTTGCTAGGTATTGTCAAACTATTACTGCTTCTAAAAGCAATAATAATTATTGTACATTTAATTTAATCTTTAGCTAATAAATAAATGAGATTCTAAAAAAGTGAGGTTAGGTCGCTTTGATGTTGAATTAAATTGACCTATATAAAGTGCTTTGAAGATAAAATGTTGTATGCCATTCGGCCAAGAAGTGCCTTTTTGTGCTTCGCTTCAAACCTTGAGCTTAGCACAAAAAGCCTTTCTTCTTAACCTAATGACATAAATAACTATTATCTGGCATTTTACATACCTGTATTCATGGGTTTGAGGTATTGTTGCATAATATCCGGCTCGTCTGGTTGAGCAGGGAGAAGGACAGTTTCCTTTGCTGCCTCATTTTCAGTCATGGTTCTATCGGATTTCAGTAACTTTAACCCCTTAAAAACGAATTGAAACATTGAATGTGCACTAGGGTGATTCGTTTCCGCAAAGTTTTTGTTTTCTTCGGTGCTCAAGCAAAATATTAATCTGCATATAGAAAAAAAAATGCTCAACAAGTTTGAGCTCTTAATATCAATTTTAAGTACTTACTATTTAAATTTAAAGTTTTACCGTTTAAAATGCATGTAAAAAATATTTTTTTTTTTCAAATTTCTAATGCTTACCCACCTTTGACAATATTGCAAATCGGTTTAATACACCTTATGGGGAATTTCACGCTCTTTAAAATTGCTTTTGAGTTTTTTTTTGTAACTCGCATTGGTTCACCAATAGGAGTGGTCAAAGGACAGTTTTTGAAAAAAATCGTTTTTTTTTTAAATTTTTTTTAACAAACCGCAAAAAGTAGGGAGAAAAAAGGGCTGAATCATAAAAAAAAAAGTTATCCAACCAATATTTAATGAATTTACAGCCATTTTTATAACTGAAAACGTAAGAAATTGATAATTACCAACTCATAATGTTATTTAGATTGATTTTTTCTATTTATTATCATTATATTTCCCTACACTAAGAAGTTTTTTAAAATTATTGATTTCTCACTTATAATGAATATGAAAACAACAGATAAATTCATAAAAAAACAATAAGAAAATTGTAACGTGGATTTTGCAATTTTTCAACGTTTCTGTCATATAGCAAAAATATATAAATGAAGATTATTTAATTTTTTGAAGCGAAATTTGAAATATGTTACATAACCTTCTGTATATTCCGATTAAAGTTTTGTTGTTTTTTTATGAATTTATGTGTTGTTTTCATATTCATTATCGGTGAGAAATCATAATAATTTTAAAAAAGTTCTTAGTGTATGGAAATATAATGATAATAAATAGAAAAAATCAATCTAAATAACATTATGGGTTGGTATTTATCAATTTCTTACGTTTTCAGTTATAAAAATGGCAGTAAATTCATTAAATATTGGTTGGATAACTTTTTTTTATGAATCAGCCCTTTTTTCTCACTACTTTTGGCGATTTGCTCGAAAAAATAAAAAAAAACGATTTTTTTCAAAAACTGTCCTTTGACGACTCCTACTGGTGAACCAATGCGAGTTACAAAAAAAAACTCAAAAGCAATTTTAAAGAGCGTGAAATTCCCCATGAGGTGTATTAAACCGATTTGCAATATTGTCAAAGGTGGGTAAGCATTAGAAATTTGAAAAAAAATATATATTTTTTACATGCATTTTAAACGGTAAAACTTTAAATTTAAATAGTAAGTGCTTAAAATTAATATTAAGAGCTCAAACTTGTTGAGAATTTTTTTTTCTATATGTTATTTTTGCGGAAATGAATCAACCTAATGGCGTATGCAAAAATCTCACCTTTCTGCTTAAGGGCGAGCACATGTCGCTCTTGTCGGCATTGTCGAAACCGACGAGGAAGTCCTCCTCAGGCGCGGGTTCCCGCTTCTCCATGCTCGCGACGAGCCATCTGAGCGAAACGAGCGCGCACGCGTAGCCCTTGCTTTTGATGATTTTCACGTCGTGACACGTGACGTCGCCCACGATCACGTGCGTCACGCGGTCCGTGATCGAGTCGTATCGCGTGGCGCCGCTCAGGTTCAGGATTTTGCACAGCTTTTCCCTGTGCTCGCTGTCGAAACCCGCCACGTACACCTGCACGAAACGCGTAACCGTAATTAAATACCATTTTTTTTATTTCGTCCGTGACGTGGTCAAAATTGGACAAAATCAAATTTTACTATATTTTATTAAATCTCTTTGTTTATTTTTTATTACCTACTATTATTATAAATATAGTATATTGGTACAGTAGGAAACTTACTACCTATTATACAGACTGTATAGAATCAAGTAAGTAAGGCTGGAGACAAGGATGACAAATTATATTCTGATCAGAGAAAAAGAAACAAACTTTATTTGGGCGTGGTTTAAACCAAGCCATTCGTAATTACGAACCATAGTTGCCAGGTTGTTTTAAATCAGAAGAGAACGATTATAATTATTTAATAAATAGTTCAATTTTATTTGTTTGAAACTTTAAAAATAACAAAAAAAATTAATATGTCCAAAATAATTTGATTTAGTTAATTTTCTTACTTTTAATATTAAAAAATAAGAAAAACAACCCTTTTAGAAAACAATAATAGCATATGGCAACAGCGCGGCATGCAGCCAGATACAAGGGCATGCAGTTTGATCTACTGTGTTTGTTCAGTAGCTCCGACGCTGTCGTAGGGAAATGTGTATAGTACATTTTCGCCATTAACTGGAATTTAATGGATTTTACACAATACTTAGTTTTTATTTGCAGAAATGCATTAAAGGCGGCTGCACAATTACACGGGAACGCTAACGAAGACGAGAACGGAAACTAAAACGAAAACGAAAAGATTCACAAGATTCACAATTAACATAATTATTTTAATTCTTAGGTTAATATATTTTGGGGATATTTAATTTATTTGGTATTTATAATAGAAATATACGTACGATCATACTGCAGATGTTCAGCTATTAAAAGCTAACTATTTTTCTTTAATAATTAATCTTTATACTCTTTTAACAGGCGATCGTACAGATGTGGGAACTTTTTTACTAATAAAATAATTAATTCGTCGTTCATTTTCATTAATTTATTAACACAGAACGTATTGATAAAACAAATAGCGCGAATGTCAGAAATAATTTGACAGATTAAACTCATTTTCTATTGGTTTCGATAATGCTGCGTTTCTATTGGCTACCGGGAACGAGAAACTTAAAACTTAACCAACTTTCTAGTTTCCGTTCGCGGGATGTTTCTCGTTCTCGTTACCGAAAATTTGTTGTGCATGTGTACATTGACTTATGTGCGTTTAATTTTTTTCTCGTTACCGTTCTCATTTTCGTTTCCGTTCCCGAGTAATTGTGCAGCAGCCTTAAAACAAAACAAACGAATTCGATAAAAATAAATAAAATTCTCAAACAAAAATAATTCTAAAATAACGAAAATAACTTTTTTTCTAAATTAAATGTTCAAAAAGACCACCAGCAGCAGTTAAACAATACCCTAGCCTACCTCGAGTACTTTCAGAATTCGGTAAAAACTCTATACTGTTTAAGGGAGCATCTGTTTATAACAAATTACCAAACAATATAAAAGAACTTGAAGGATTTAAATTTAAAAAGCATATGTCGTCTTGTGTGGCGAATTTTATTGAATAAACAATGATATTTTTTCTTTTTTCTGTGATATTATATTTAAATGATATGTTCCTATTTAGAATTAAAATGTATTAATAAAGTAAAATTAATTTAGATTTAATAAATGTATTAAGAATTAAAAAATATTTATTAAATTGTATGATTAGAGGTGTCCCTCTATAAACTGTATGTTTCTTGGGATGAAAATAAAGTATTTTATTATTATTATTTATTATTTATTATCATAAAAATTCCTGCGCACGTTAAACAGCATTTCAGGATATTTAATAATGAAAAAACGTTTGAAAAATAACTTTTAGGTGAATTTTTTTGTAGTAAATAAAAAATATGCTGTTAAAGACCTTATTTTTGTTAGTATACCCTGAAAATTGTGTACAAATCAAATGAAAAGTAACGAAGATACAGCGCTTTAAAGCCAGTAAAAATGGCCCCTTTTGGATTATTTTGCTGAAAAGTGGTCATTTTTGACGAAAATTTATCTAAAAGTTATAATTCGAACGTTTTTTTTATTATTAAATAAACGAGCTTTAAAAATATTTTCTCGAAAAACCCTCGAAATATAAGTTGAAGTAAGTCTATCCAAAATTTCATAAGGATTAATAAAGGCGTTTTAGTTAGATTTTTGTTTACAGTTGTTGCAATAATTATGGCCAATACTGTATGCACATATTTTTTATTTATTTTTCGTTTATGACAAAATATGATATATTATAATTTTATTTATCTCCACGCGATCTATAATTTAAACTGTATTGTTGTCAACATTCGATAAAGAAATAACTTGTTATGGCCTATGCCAAAAAGTGAGGTTAGGCAACCAAGAAAACGCACGATTCTTTTTCTACGATTTAAATTATCTTTAAGTTTTAATTTGCTTTAAGTTTTCAGTGAAATTAAATGTTAAACACAGCTTAAACATTCCAAACGACCTATTTTTTAAATAAAAATCCAAACAAATTGAAATTAGATATATATATATCTACCTATTTATTAAACAATTAATTGAATTCAATATAATAGCAAAAATCCATTTCTACTTAAATCATGTAGCTAGGTATTGTCAAACTATTACTGCTTCTAAAAGCAATAATAAATATTGTACATTTAATGTAATCTTTAGCTAATAAATAAATAAGATTCTAAAAAAGTTAGGTTAGGCCGCTTTGATGTTGAATTAAATTGACCTATATAAAGTGCTTTGAAGAAAAAATGTTGTATGCCATTTGGCCAAGAAGTGCATCAAACCTTGAGCTTAGCACAAAAAGCCTTACTTCTTAGGGGACTTCTTAAAAAGTAAGGGTGGAACTAAAAGAGCACTTTTTTTTTTAACCTAATGACATAAATAACTATTGTTTCATTTATTTTGTTATAATACAAGAATAAAGGTATTAAAAAACAAAGTTTTAATTTGCTTATCACTTATTCCCAATTTTTATTATTATTATTATTATTACTTATTCCCAATTTTTATTATTATTATCACTTATTCCCAATTTTTATTATTATTATTAAACGTTTAAAAACAAGTACAGAGACAGAGCAAAAAAAAACTAACACGGTTTTTTTAAATTAATTTGTGTTTAAATGATTTTGTCCAATTTTGTCCAGAACAATTGATTTTGTCCGGTTAAACCGGAAGTGATATCAACTCTGGTTTTTCATTTTTATATTCTACGTAAAATTCTAGAAATACTAAAATTTGATTATTTTTTTATTTTTGAATAAAATTAAATATCTTAAAAATAAAAAAACTAATCAAATTTTTGTATTTCTAGAATTTATTAAAAAAATTTAAAAAATAGTTTACATTGCCTTATAAGTTTTTCCATATACCATAAACTTCTAATAAACCTGTATATATTACTCAAGTTATTAAATAAAAAAAATAGTAAAAATATCTTACACTACATCCATCCAAGTACTGTCCTGCTCTTTTAGCTTTTCTAACGTCCAAATTGTCAATAAGCTGAATATGTTCATCATTTAATGAACCTAATAAAAAATACCACACAAGCATTTATTAACACATATTGATATTGACAAAATAAGTCGCACCTTTTCTTTTATTTGTGGAGGCATTTCCTCCCACACTATCTTCGAAATTTAAGGCCACGGCAACGCTTTCATCTATGGTGGTTCTATTTTCTTTACCGCTGCTTACGATTGCACTGATTGTGGAAAAATTCGGGTTAACAGATTCGTCGTTTTTTATCGGGGTCGATTGTCCTTTTTTGACCGGGAACAGTTTATGGGGAAGAGCGTATCCCTTTTTAACGCTCTCGGTGATCCAGTCCAATGTGACGCATTTTATGTTTTGCGACGCCACTGCGGCCTTGTATTTTTCGCTTGTGGAACCCCTGCGATAAATATTATACTGTTTGTGCGTTTTTTAATTTGCATTTATTTTTTTTTTTAAATTTGTTTTGTTCAGCCATAGGAAATTTTTGAAAAATGGACAGAAATGCGATAACTTGGCCAAAAATATTTTGATCATTGCCATTTTTTTTAATTGTAGGTTAACATAAAAAAAAATAAGGGAATTCACTGAACTTTTTTAATTGTTTTTTTCTACAAAACGCAAAATAAATTGAGGTGAAAATTTTGACATTGCCACATTTTTTTTAGTTTATATTTTTTTCGTTTAAAGATGATTATGTGAACAACTTTCACCAAAAGTCCCAAATTGGCTAAATTCGCATTTCGAGATTATTAATTTTTTAATAAAAATGCCATTTACTATAAAATGGTATTTTCGTAAGTAATATCATAAGGGCATTTAATTTTTCCGAAAAGAATCGAAAAAACACGTTGCTAAGTAATATTTTAACAAAAAGCATGAGTGCTGGTGGCAACAAAAATCCGAGTCGAAGAGGAGGATTTTTGCACCTGCACGAATGCATTTTGTTAAAAAATATTACTTAGCATTGTGTTTTTTCGATTCTTTTCACAGGAAAAATTAGATGCCCGAATGGTATTTGACAAGACTATTTCATGAGTAACAGTTAACAATTAAAATATAAATTGCAATTTTTGGTGACAACAGCTGTCAAGTTTTGCCGCGGGTAAACTCGAAAAAACTGCTGACAGGTGCTGTCACACAGTTTTTTCACCTAGAAACCATTTGTAATTCAAAATTGCGCGTTTGCGATTGGTGGAAATTAAGACGAGGGAAATAGTCATTAAAAAAATAATAATTCCGAAACGACTAATTATATTATTAACTTCAAACGAAAAAAATATGAAGAAAAAAAAAGTGGCAATGTCAAAATTTTAACCTCATTTTTTTGCCTTTCTTGGAAAAACAATTTAAAAAATTGAGTAGTTACTTAATTTTTTGTATTTTTTTGTATGTAGTAAACATTAACCTACAATTTAAAAAAATTGTAACGATAGAAAAATTTTTGGCCAAGTTCATTTTTCAAAAATTTTTACAAGTGACATTTTTGTGATAACTTGGCCAAAAAATTTTCGTTCGTTGCAATTTTTTTTTAATTGTAGATTAATGTGTACTAAGAACATACAAAAAAATAAAAAATAAAGTTAATCCACTCAATTTGTTTAATTGTTTTTTCTACAAAACGCAAAATAAATTGAGGTCAAAATTTTGATATTGCCACATTTATTTTTTACTTTATATTTTTCACGAATTTACTATACAATTGCATTTTCATTAAAAAAATAATTCCGAAACGACGAATTTATATTATTAACTTCAAACGAAAAAAATATGAAGAAAAAAAAAGTGGCAATGACAAAATTTTAACCTCATTTTTTTTTACTTTCTTGGAAAAACAATTAAAAAAAAATTGAGTGGTCACTTAATTTTTTGTAGTAAACATTAACCTACAATAAAAAAAAAATTGTAACGATCGAAAAATTTTTGGCCGTTTTAAGATAAAAAAAATAATTTTTGTCCATTTTTCAAAAAATTTCTATGGCTGAACAAAACAAATTTAAACAAAAAAGAAAAAATACGGGCCTTATCGATTTTGGTATTTTGCATTTCTTTACCAAAATCGATGAGGCCCGTAATTTTTCTTTTTTGTTTAAATTTGTTTTGTTCAGCCGTAGGAAATTTTTTAAAAATGGACAGAAAAATCAATTTTTCTCTTTTTACAAGTGACATTTTTGTGATAACTTGGCCAAAAAATTTTCGATCGTTGCAATTTTTTTTTAATTGTAGATTAATGAGTACTACATACAGAAAAATAAAAAATTAAGTGAATCCACTCAATTTTTTAATTGTTTTTTCTACAAAACGCAAAATAAATTGAGGTCAAAATTTTGATATTGCCACATTTATTTTTTACTTTATATTTTTCACGAATTTACTATAAAATTGCATTTTCATTAAAAAAATAATTCCGAAACGACGAATTTATATTATTAACTTCAAACGAAAAAAATATGAAGAAAAAAAAAGTGGCAATGTCAAAATTTTAACCTCATTTTTTTGCCTTTCTTGGAAAAACAATTTTAAAAAAATTGAGTGGTCACTTAATTTTTTGTAGTAAACATTAACCTACAATAAAAAAAATTGTAACGATCGAAAAATTTTTGGCCGAGTTTTAAGATAAAAAAAAAATAATTTTTGTCCATTTTTCAAAAATTTTCTAGGGCTGAACAAAACAAATTTAAACAAAAAAGAAAAAATACGGGCCTTATCGATTTTGGTATTTTGCATTTCTTTACCAAAATCGATGAGGCCCGTCATTTTTCTTTTTTGTTTAAATTTGTTTTGTTCAGCCGTAGGAAATTTTTTAAAGATGGACAGAAAAATCAATTTTTCTCTTTTTACAAGTGACATTTTTTCTTGAAAATGTGATAACTTGGCCAAAAATCGATCGTTGCAATTTTTTTTTAATTGTAGATTAATGTGTACTACATACAAAAAAATAAAAAATAAAGTGAATCCACTCAATTTTTTTAATTGATTTTTCTACAAAACGCAAAATAAATTGAGGTCAAAATTTTGATATTGCCACATTTATTTTTTACTTTATATTTTTCACGAATTTACTATAAAATTACATTTTCATTAAAAAAATAATTCCGAAACGACAAATTTATATTATTAACTTCAAAAGAAAAAAATATGAAGAAAAAAAAGTGGCAATGTCAAAATTTTAACCTAATTTTTTTTGCATTTCTTGGAAAAACAATTAAAAAAACAATTGAGTTGGTAGTCACTTAACTTTTTATATTTTTTGTATGCACTCATAAAAGGAGAAAAATTAATTTTTGACCATTTTTAAAAAATTTCCTACGGCTAAATAAAACAAATTTAAGCAAAAATAAAAAATACAGGTCTTATCAATTTTAGTAAAGAAACTGAAAAGAAATTCGTTAAAAAATGACAACTGTCAAGCGTTTTTAACCCCACTTTTTAACCAAATTTTTTTCCAATTTAATGCAATGCAAAAAAATGTTTTAAATGTAGAAATAAATAAATAATGGATGAATTCAGAATATCTATATATCATCTATAGAGAAAAATTTTACTCACTCAGTTCCTTTGCAGACTAAAACATCAGTGCTGGAAATACTCAATTTCCCTGTAAAATTTCCGCCATTTTCACTCACTATTCGGGTAAGCTCACTCCTTTCCGATGCTCTTGTAAAACCAGTGGAGCAGACTACAAGGTTATGAAGCGGCGGTACTTTAAATGACTGAAACTGTTCATCGTTTGCATGTACATTTCCTGACTGACTAGCCTCCCATACGGCATCAACCCATCCTGGTAGCAATATTTTAAGTCCAAGTTCCGCAGCTCTCTGCAAAACAGATAATAACCTAAATATAATTTTTAAAATTTGCTACTTACTGCATATTTCTCAGTTTGAACGCTTTCAGTAATCACATGAGTGGTAACACCCAATAAAGTGTCAATATAGCGCCCACCCATCAATTCAACTTTATTCTTTATATCCTTTTTAGTTTTTTTGGGCAAATAGGATCCAACAACTACACATTCAAACATTGCAATGTTGTAAATTGGCCACGTAAAATTGGGGATCGGTTTTCCTTCCATTAGGCATAAATAAACACACCACGGACCCAAAATTCTACTAAAGTTGAGAAATTCAAATCATAATTCCAATTCAAAGTAAAAAGTACTTACGCGCATTTAGTTTCGATCAATTTCTCATAGTTAACCCCAGAGAAATCTTCAAATATCACAAAATCAGTTTTACCCAGATCGGCACTGTCATATTCATCTTCTTTTACCCAGGAAACATTACGAACATTTTGTTTACAAACCTATAAAATATAATTTTAACAAAACTTGTTACAAAACCAAAAACAACTCACTTCATAAGCCTGTAACATAATATCTGTTGCCTCATTTTCATCTTTGTATTTACTGGGCAATATGAATATAATCCTTATATTATCCATGGCACTCAAAATGTTATTTGGAACAATAAACAATCACAAATTTCCAAGCCATTCAGTTCAAAACGTCAGTTTAAGAAATGGCGCAAATGTTCTTCAGATGGCGCCTTCAGGGTCACCAACATGAATTTCCGCAAGCTACCAACATAATACATAAAAAAATATAAAACGTTTAAAAATCCTTAAATAGGTATTTTATTTTACAAATTATTATTATTTTATCATACAAATTATTTTTAATTTAAAATTTAGGCAATATAGTTAAATAATTTTATTATTTTAGGAACTATATATTATTGATTTTCTGGTCCAGGCAGCTTCAGCTTTTGCTCATGATCAGAAAGTAAAATGTAGCAAAAATATTTGTCTGTAAAGAAAACCTCGTTTGATTTATTGTTAATCAAAATGAATTTTCATTGTAATACACTGTGCGTGAAAATAAAATACCGCCCTAAACAATGTTAAATAAAAATAAACAAATTTAAAAAAAATGTAATTAGGAAAATTTAATAAACTAAATAAAAATGATGTTGGGACGTAAACAGAGTTTAAAGGGGGAGCCTGTGCTGGCTGATTATGGCCCCGATGAAGCATTTAATGAAAGTGCTGATATCGAATGGGTAAATAAGGTAATAAATTGTACTTAAATTGCATTATTCTTTAAGTAATAATAAATGAATTTACAGAGATGGGTTAGAAGATTAATGAGATTATGTGCTTTACTAAGTTTGGCTTCTGTTAGTTGCAATACTCCGAAAACCTTTGAGAAATTTTATTTTATGCAAACTTTAACGTTCAGTATTGACTGTGTTGTAACATTTTTGTTTTCTGCTGAGATGATTGCCAAAATGCATATTAGAGGAATATTGAAGGTAAAATTGTGATTTAAAGTTAATTTTATTATATTTTGACACTGAAATTTATTTTTGTCACTTTTGACATTTATATATAGATATATATTAAAATAGATTTTCTACTCCCACCTTTAAAACGCCCTTTATCGTAAATGTTTCCATGACACTAAGTGACCTTTTAAATACACATTGACAAGTTGTGGCTTTACGGCGCTTTAGTCACGGGCTGAAGTTAGCAACAGGTTTTTAGTCACGGGGTGAAGTTAGTTTAAAGTGACCAGAATCTGTCAAAAAATAGAGGGACATTTTGTATGAATTTACCTTAATTACAAAATTGACACAATGATACAATGCAAATTGTAAATTTGACGTTACTTAATTATTGTTGATTGTGTCATTTTTGTTATTAAGGTTAATTTACACAAAATGTCCCGTTATTTTTTGACAGAATCTGGTCACTTTAAGTTAGTTTTAAGTTAGTTGACAGTTGTCAAATGTCATACAATCGTTAAAATAAAGTCCCTTTCTTGTAAAATAATATGTGAAAATGTGAAAATTATTTATCTCAATACAAAAATACAAAAATATTAAATAGTTTCTCAACGCCAATATTTGAAAAGTTTATATGAACATTGTACTGACCAGGGTGTCTTCCACCCTGGTACTGACCTTTTAATTTCGCCGGCAGTAAACTATAACTTAAATTCGGGCACGGACTCTACTGTAAAGTCCTCATAAAACTGTCAATTTTCAAAATGTGACATTTGACAGTTTCCCCTGTTGTTTCAAAGATGGAGCTCTATACAAATTTTTGATTTAAATCATTTTAAATAATAATAAGTATTTGTCGTAGAAAAAGTATAGTATGCACCTCTAGAGTGTGCCAAAAAAACTCGATATTTTTTTTCTTGCTCTCCACCCAAAATATCTTAGAATATGACCGTCCTTCATCGAATCTCAAGTTTTGCCGCTTAAATAGCACAGAAAACTGACTTTTTTACCTTATTTATTCTTGCAACCTAGGAAGAATTTTTTTTTTTCATAAAATCCATGACCAATTCTTACAAAGCATTAAATTTGGACAAAAAAATCTTATTAAGCCGAATTTCTATTTTCATTATTTGATTTTTTACAGAGCATTAAATTTAAAATGTTACGTTTTTTTGCCTTTTTCAGCTAAACTATTGAAGTTAGACGAAAAAGTCAAATGGCAATTTTTTAGCTTGTCTGATGGACCACAAAAAAGTTTTAGACGATTTTTTTGTATCGTCAATATTCTAAAAGTTACAGGCGTATAAAGTCATCATTTTTGTATTATTAACTTTTTGTTAGTGAAATATTAATGTTAGCACAAAAAGCCAATAGAGAATTATAAAAAAAATTAAATTTTCGGAAAAATTGTCCTAGTAAAATTTGATGTACTGTCAACCATTAAAATTAACTGACTTATTTAGGCTTATTTCGATGTTTTTTTAAGTAATCAGATAAACAATTGACAATCGAAACCATCGAAATAAGCTTAAATAAATCTGTAAATTTTAATGGTAGACAGTACATCAAATTTTACTAAGACAATTATTCCGAAAATTCAATTTTTTTATAATTTTCTGTTGGCTTTATGCTAACATTAATATTTCACTAACAAAAAGTTAATAATAAAAAAATGATGACTTTATACGCGTGTAACTTTTAGAATATTCACGATACAAAAAATTCGCTCGCCTTAAACTTTTTTGTGGTCCATCAGACAAGGTAAAAAATTGCCATTTGACTTTTTCATCTAACTTCAATAGTTTAGCTGAAAAAGGCAAAAAACCTAAAAATTTAAATTTAAAGCTCTGTAAAAAATCAAATAATGAAAATAGAAATTTGGCTTAATAAGAATTTTTCGTCCAAATTTAATGCTTTGTAAGATTCAGTCATGGATTTTATGAAAAAAAAAATTTCTTCCTAGGTTGCAAGAATAAATAAGGTAAAAAAGTTAGTTTTCTGTGCTATTTAAGCGGCAAAACTTCAGAATCGATGAAGGACCTCTTAAAATTGAAATTATGAGCTCCGCTTTTAACAGGATATTTGTTCGGACATATTTTACGATATTTTGGGTGGAGAGCAAGAAAACAAAAATATCGAGTTTTTTTGGCACACCCTAATGCACCTCGTTTATAAACTTTTCTATACACTCATTAACTTAAGCACTCGCTCGCAAGCTCGCTCGTGCCTAAATTAAATTAGTGTATAAAATGGCGTTAATCAAACTTGATACATAATATACTATTATTAGCTATAGCTATATCTATAGGTATTTTAAAAAATAACAATTTAAAAATATAAAACATCAAACGTAATTTAGGTTATCACATATAAATGTCACCACTTTTTTAATACTTTAAAAACTTTTTTTATTATTTTTATTTTTATAAAAAAACCTAAAATAGGTATCAATTTATAGAAAATAATAAATAAATGAAATAAAATTTTAATTCAAAAATTTGTTCATTATCAATTTTTTTTTAATTTAAAACAATAATTTTACGAATTTTCATGTTTTGTTAATTTTTAATTTCTGTATAATATAGTTTTTTTTTTTGATAAATTAGTTTAAAAAAAACAGGACTGAAAATCTTTTATGAAGAAAAACAATGCACTATTTCGTATATTTCAATTTTTCACCCATAATATGAATTATATCTAATGGAAAATTACATATTTGTAGAATATTAAACTGATTTCAACTTTAACAGCTTGAACAAAATTAATACCCCTACATCCCTGGTCCCTTTCGTGAGCAGGCTCAATACGTTAGACAAAATTCACCTACCCCTGCCATCTTGAAAATAAAAAGGACGCGTGTGACACTTTTACAGGGGCGTCGATATTTTTTTCTTTTGGGGCGGGGGGTAACATATAAGGAAAATAATTTTGCAAAACTTCTTATTGTTTATTTGCTTTTGTATATTGGGGAAAAGGATTATAAGGTACCAAAACACACAGGTCAGATAGATAAAAATTAAAATAAACAAATATCCAAATATAAAAATACAAGTAGACAAATAAATTGATATAAAATTATCACAAAAGTTGTTGGACAACGCAAATAAATGAATAATTTTAGGGAGAACGGCCATATTTCAAGGACCACTGGTGTCAATTTGATGGTAGTATGGTGTTTTTTCTTTGGCTATCCGTTATTTTGCAAACATTGGAGGTAATGGAAATTGTAGACATATACACGTATTTCTCTGTGATCCGAGCACCAAGACCTTTGATAATGATCAGATTTTTGAGAGTGTTTTTGAAATTCTCCATGCCAAAATCAAGGATCAATCAAATTTTCAAGTATTTTATTTTGTAATGTTTTGTTGGTTTTTTAAAAATGGTTTTTAGGCGCTCGAGTCAGCAAATCTATAACGTCACGTTATTTTTTTTGTTCTTCATGTCTTTGTATGGTCTACTGGGTGTGCAATTTTTTGGGGAGTTGAAAAATCACTGTGTTACAGAAAACACATCGGATCCGATGTACGTCTTAGCATTATATACACTCACAAGCAAAATAATCGATCCACACAAATTTTCGATGAATTTCAATCGCAAATAACTTTTTTATTTGATGTCGGATTTAAACGAATATTAAAGAATATTGTAGATACATTAATGGAGAATCGCTCACATTTTAAAAATTACTAAAAAATACACGTACGTTTATAATATACAGGTTAAAACAAAAATATGTTTTTACCATAAGTTTAAGACACTCTGTAGAGTGGCAAAACCGTACATTTTTCTAAATTAAGTTTTATTTATCAAGTCACATCTATTCTTAACAGTTTTGTTTTTGGTTCACCTCGATATATTTATTTTTGTGGAAAATATAGATTTTTTAAAAAAACATTGCAATTTTAAATATTTTTCTGTATGAAGAACTAAAGTTAATATGGTCCATCCATAGCCTATGGAGGATGACAGTGAGAGTTTTCTTGAATCATCTCATACTTGGACATGTCATACACGGCTTTCAAAAGCTATCAAATTGTTTTTTGTAAATTAATGTGTTAATTTTGAGGTGTCTTCTTACTTTTAAAAATGTCTCCGACTGATGTTGCCCTTTGTACTTTACTTCTTGTGACGTTTAAAACACTTGCCTCGTAATACTGTGACCGTCCATCCTGGATTAAATTAATGGCTCTGGCAACATCAGTCGGAGACATATCCATTTTTTAAAGTAAGAAGACACCTCAAAATTTAAACATTTATTTGCAAAAAACAATTTGATAGCTTTTGAAAGCCGTGTATGACATGTCCAAGTATGAGATGATTCAAGAAAACTCTCACTGTCATCCTCCATAGGCTATGGATGGACCATATTAACTTTAGTTCTTCATACAGAAAAATATTTAAAATTGCAATGTTTTTTAAAAAAATCCATATTTTCCACAAAAATAAATATATCGAGGTGAACCAAAAACAAAACTGTTAAGAATAGATGTGTCTTGATAAATAAAACTTAATTTAGAACAATATACGGTTTTGCCACTCTACAGAGTGTCTTAAACTTATGGTAAAAAACATATTTTTGTTTAAACCTGTATATTATAAACGTACGTCTATTTTTTAGTAATTTTTTAAAATGTGTGCGATTGTCCATTAATTTATCTACAATATTTTTTAATATTCGTTTAAATCCGACATCAAATAAAAAAGTTATTTGCGATTGAAATTCATCGAAAATTTGTGTGGATCGATTATTTTGCCTGTGAGTGTATTTAAAATAAAATATTCCAAGAATCTAGAAATCAAATTAAATTTAATTCTAGGAAAGTTACGTTAAACAGCTTGGCTATCCCAGACACTTTTTGTTCAGTGGATCCAACCTCAGGTTACCAATGTCCCAAAGGTATGAAATGCATGAAACTGGAAGGGGTTTCAAGATACACCATTGGATTTAACGGTTTTGACGAGTTCGGTAAGATATACAATAGGGTGATTCATTTCTGCAAAGTTTTTGTTTTCTTCGGTGCTCAAGCAAAATATTAATCTGCATATAGAAAAAAAAATTCTCAACAAGTTTGAGCTCTTAATATAAATTTTAAGAACTTACTATTTAAATTTAAAGTTTTACCGTTTAAAATGCATGTAAAAAATATATATATTTTTTCAAATTTCTAATGCTTACCCACCTTTGACAATATTGTAAATCGGTTTAATACACCTTATGGGGAATTTCACGCCCTTTAAAATTGCTTTTGAGTTTTTTTTTGTAACTCGCATTGGTTCACCAGTAGGAGTCGTCAAAGGACAGTTTTTTTTTAATTTTTTCTAATAAACCGCAAAAAGTAGGGAGAAAAAGGGCTGAATCATAAAGAAAAGTTATCCAACCAATATTTAATGAATTTACAGCCATTTTTATAACTGAAAACGTAAGAAATTGATAAATATTAACCCATAATGTTATTTAGATTGATTTTTTCTATTTATTATCATTATATTTCCCTACACTAAGAACTTTTTTAAAATTATTTTAATGAATAAGAAAACAACACATAAATTCATAAAAAAACAACCAAACTTTAATCGGAATATACAGAAGGTTATGTAACATATTTCAAATTTCGCTTCAAAAAATTAAATAATCTTCATTTATATTTTTTTCCTATATGACAGAAATGTTGAAAAATTGCAAAATCCACGTTACAATGTTCTTATTGTTATTTTATGAATTTATCTGTTGTTTTCATATTCATTATAAGTGAGAAATCATAATAATTTTAAAAAAGTTCTTAGTGTAGGGAAATATAATGATAATAAATAGAAAAAATCAATCTAAATAACATTATGGGTTGGTATTTATCAATTTCTTACGTTTTCAGTTATAAAAATGGCAGTAAATTCATTAAATATTGGTTGGATAACTTTTTTTTATTAATCAGCCCTTTTTTCTCACTACTTATGGCGATTTGCTCGAAAAAATAAAAAAAAAACGAGTTTTTTCAAAAACTGTCCTTTGACGACTCCTACTGGTGAACCAATGCGAGTTACAAAAAAAAACTCAAAAGCAATTTTAAAGAGCGTGAAATTCCCCATAAGGTGTATTAAACCGATTTGCAATATTGTCAAAGGTGGGTAAGCATTAGAAATTTGAAAAAAAATATATATTTTTTACATGCATTTTAAACGGTAAAACATGAAATTTAAATAGTAAGTGCTTAAAATTAATATTAAGAGCTCACTTGGTGAGAATGTTTTTTCCTATATGCAGATTAATATTTTGCTTGAGCACCGAAAAAAACAAAAACTTTGCGGAAATGAATCACCCTAATATACAATAAAACAAGTTTCTCTGAAAGACCAGATCTTTTTTAGTTACCAGTTTCTTCACTGTGTACCAGGCGTCGTCTCAAGAAGGATGGGTTTTTATAATGTACAGGGCGATAGATTCTCTACCGGGATGGAGAGCCATCCTGTATTTCAGCACCATGATCTTCTTTCTAGCTTGGCTGGTAAAAAACGTTTTCATTGCCGTTATAACGGAAACTTTCAACGAAATCAGAGTGCAGTTTCAACAGATGTGGGGGGTACGGGGACACATTCAAAATAGTTCAGCTTCACAGGTGAGTTTTTAGGTGGGTGTGTTTTTTCTTAATAGTCCAAGAATTTTTCCCACACGGAGAGAAATGTATAGTAAATTTTAGATAGTAAAAAAAATACAGTAAAATTTACTTTAACAAATTTTTAGGGTAACAATATTATATATTCGTCAATACAATATTAAGATTGTAATACAAAATACTATTTTTTATTATACAATTTTAGTATAGATTACAACACCAATATTACTAAATCATAAATGTATAATATATATTTTAATTTTTAATATGTTCGTATAGTAAATTGATTTTACTATCTACAAATAGTAATATTTACTATATGATTTAATCAAATGTAAGGTGTACATCTAATATTGTAATATATTACACATTAATAAAAAATATAGCAAAAATAAAGATACTTTATGTTTAAGGTAAATAAACAATATATTTAAATATAATATACAATATATGACATTTTAAACATTCAATTTTCTTAGTTTCTTCAATAAACTCTCTTGACCCATTACTGGTAATACCTATAAGAAATAATTGAACCTACTTGGTTGCATAGTATGTACCGATTGCGGCAAAGGCCACGTCGCGACGCGTCGTTAGACGGTGTGGATCACGTGATGTTCTTACATCTCGCCTCTGTTGGCTTACCAACCATGTTAAATAAGCTCAGGTATTTCTTTGTTTTGGGTGTGTTCCACTACTACAAGTTGCTCGACAGTGTCGTGTCGACACTGATGATACCCAATATAGGTCAAAACACCTGTCTGTCGGTATTTGAAGTTGATTTTAAAAAATATTTTTCCAAAGATTTTATTTTATTTATTTTATTTTTATTTATTTATTAAATATAACACTGTATCATAGTTAAACAAAACAGTTTAATAACTGGTACCGTCAAAACCATATTAATTTTATAAGTAGTTTTTCTTAATTGTCCATTCCATTATATAATTCTTATTTTTCCAATAATCATTTCCACATATCCATTTTTAAAAAATTTGCTAAAATAACTTAAATTTATATTTTTTAAAGACAATTTTGATTGATGTTTCTGACATTTTAATTATTAAAAAAATAAAAGACAAAATATGCATTAGAAGTTTTTTATATTTTTTGTGATACGCCACTGGTTACACACTTGGTTTATCTCTGCACACTTGTATTCTGTGAGTACATAGATACCAACCAACAAAGTAGCTACGCGTTGCCAGATGTAAAAAATTGTTACATAAAATTTTTCTTGCAAAAAATAAATACAAACTCAATAAATACAAAAGTTTTATGCCCTTAAAGCTCTAATACCCTTCTGTATTTATTTACTCATCCAGCTATTAGCTTAAGCAATGATTAGAAAATTTAGTACCTTTGAAATTTGAAATCCATAACCACAAAATTAATTTTTTCATCAGTTTTTTTCTTTCTGTTTACTCAGATGCAGTGCTGCCGCGAGCTTTTAATCGAATACTACTATTTTTGTCAGTGAAAATGTACTGTAATGTACTATAACCAAATTTATCCTAAAATGCTGTGCTATTACCATTAATTGATTTTTAATATATTTTTGTATATTAAATTAATAATTAAGGTGCTTTGACTGCTGAGGTCATTGGCACCAAACATATTATTATTATTGTAATTAATATGGGGGGGGTTGATAAAAACAATTATTTTACTTAACTCTTTATAAATTAATAATTAATAAAATATAAATTAAAAAAATCAACAAAGTATGTATTAAACTATATGGGTTTGGTTTGGTTTTTTAAATTAATAAATAATAAAATATAAATTTAAAAAATCAACAAAGTATGTATTAAACTATATTATAAATATAAAACATAAAATAAATAACTTTAAACATTTTCGAAAACCCTCATTTTGAGAGTTCTGTAATGTATACCTACCATTTTAGTAAAATTTTATAAAATGTACTGTAAATCATGTTATTTTTAGATAAATGTACTTTTCATGAAAATTCAAGCAAAAATGTACTGTAAATAGTACAAATGTACTAGAACGGCAGCACTGCTCAGATGAAATTGGGACCAGTTCACAGGTTAAACTAAACATTTAATTTGTGTAAATAAATCCAAAAGCACTTCCCTTAGTCGAGATATTTACAATTTGAGCACATAACCTAAAATTTGAAAGAAATGCACTAGATTCTGTCCATAGATGACCGAAGGTCATAAAAGTTGGCAGATTTTGTTTGAATTTACCTTCAGTACAAAAATGACATAACCAACAATTAATATGTAATTAAGCTAATTTTAAACAATGTTTGTCAACTTCTTTGACAGATTTTGGAAACACTGTTGTTACCAACCATAACATAATAAATCCACCAGATTAACCTAAAGTTCCTAGGATCAGTGGCGTACTTTTTGGTAGGATAAAGGTTATTATAAATTATTTTTAGACTTTGGAATTTAGAAAAAAAAAGTTTCAGGTGCTTCTTTATGTACCCTAAGGAACAACCCATTTTAATATATAACATTAATTACATAACACCCTGTATTTTACCTTAAGGTTTAACATACATGGATATTTAAAAATTACTAAATATGCATAGTATCTGGCAATATACAAGATAGTTGTCCCAAATAGTAATATAAATTATAGTAAAGGGTATTATAATTATGGTAATCAGTATTATACTTTTCTCTCCGTGCATTTAGATTCTCATAGGCGACGACAGGGGTTGGAAGTTAGTGACCCTGGACGAAAACAAACACGGGGGCCTCGCCCCGGAGTTTTGCCACAAAATTTTGGCCTCGCCCCATTTCAGGCTTCTCGTGATGGGAATAATACTAGCGAACGCGATAGTAACGGCTACGATGAACTTCAAACACGACCAGAGACCCAGACACGTTTTCTACGAGAATTACTACTACATGGAGCTGGGTTTCACAGCTCTGCTGAACCTGGAGACGATCTTCAAAGTGTGGTGTTTGGGTTGGAGGGGGTACTGGAAGCACTCCATACACAAGTTCGAGTTATTGCTCGCCATAGGTACAACCTTGCACATCATACCGGGATTCTACATGTCCGGGTTCACCTATTTCCAAGTGCTGAGAGTGGTGAGACAAGGGTTGCAACTTTTCATGAAAAGTTGGGTTTTATTTTTCAGAAAAGTTCGGAAAAGTTGGAAAAGATGGAAAAGTTGAGTTTTTTGTAATGTAAACGTATAAAACATAAATAATGCTTGTCAACCTTTTTTTAGGAAATTAACTAATCTTTAATCTGATTTAAAAAGTTATGATAATATTTAAATAAAATCGCAATTTTTAATTGGAAAATTGAAAGTGTGCATACATATTTTTAATAAACATCCAATTAAAACAAAATTAACCGTCAAATTTTTTTTAATTTGCTCTTAAAATTTAAGTTATGACCTAATTAACAAGAATATAAAAAAAAATAGGTTTCGCAATAAGTCCAAAAATCACCTCTCAGAACAGCACCGTGCATTGTTCATTGGCTCCCACCTAATAACTTGGGGTGCCGAACTTTTCCAACTTTTACAACAACTTTTCCAACTTTTCGACCGAACTTTTCCTTGTTTGCAACACTAGGTGAGACTCATCAAGGCTTCGCCTCTGCTGGAGGACTTCGTGTACAAAATCTTCGGTCCGGGGAAAAAGTTGGGCAGCTTGATCATCTTCACCATGTGCTTGCTGATAATATCTTCGAGCATTTCGATGCAGCTTTTCTGTTTTCTCGACTTCACCAAGTTCGAAACGTTCGCGGAGGCTTTCATGTCCATGTTCCAGATTCTCACCCAGGAAGCATGGGTGGAAGTCATGGACGAGACGATGCTACGTACAAGATCCATGTTGACGCCTCTTGTGGCTTTGTACTTCATTCTGTACCATCTGTTTGTCACGTTGGTACGTATTCAGGAGTACCTCACAGCAAACGGAAAAATATATGTGTTTTTTTACTTTTTAACTTAAATCACTTAGTATGGCCCTGATAGCACAGTTTATTCTAAGACCCTAGTAGCAATGGAATATTGGACAAGATTCTTTGTCAAGATACTTGGAGAAGCACTTTGTAAAGAATTGGACAATTCTTGACCAAGACTCTTGATCAAAATTCTTTATCCAGACTGGTGGCAGACTTGGACAAGTCTGTGACCAGAATTTGACCAGATTCTTGGCCAAGAATTTTTACACGATTACACGTTAAATAGGAACTTTCAATTCAAGATTTTTGGTCAATACAAAATTTTGTTGAACTTAAAAAGTTAAGAATGTACTAAAACATTAATTTTCCACGATTTCTCTCCAGTAAATTCGGTTTTTATCCATAAATCTGGTAAACAATAGAATTGAAAACGAAACAAATTTTGAAAGAGTTAAAGTTTTTAATTTTCTATGTTAAAAAAAAACCAGGTGCCCGTAAAAATAAACATGTATTTTATAATATTTCATGTTCATAAAGAGTAAACTCTAGTTATGCGTCAGAGCTGACACACACTTTTTTTTTAATTTTTGATTTTTAGAAATAATTTTTATTTTTCAAAAAATCAATTTTTTTCTCAGCTAGAAGACGAATCCAATAAGCTCTTATTCGTATTTTCACCTAAACAAAAAAACTATACTCATTTCCTACAGAGAACTCACTTCTCGACTAGTATACATTATTGTGAATGATACTACTGTAGAATGAGAACCTCTACTCTATAGGATAGTCCCAAAGTTTAGCAATAGATGGCCTCAGATTTCTGGTCAAATTCTTGTCAAATTCTGGCCACAGTCTGGCTCAAGTCTTGCCCAATAATCTTGGCCAAGAATCTGGAACAATTCTTGAGCAAAAATCTGTCCAAAGTATCTTGACCCATGCTGGGCCAAGACTTTTCCGGAATTGCTACTAGGGGAATGTTTTTTAAACCTTCCAGTGGGAATATTCTTAGGATCATGCTATATTTCTTCTAGTCATGTTCTAAGAATGTTTTTTAAACCTTTCAGTGAGAATATTCTTAGGATCATGCTATATTTCTTCACTGAGAAAAAAATGGGACAAATAAACTGTTTACCTAATACTTTTATTTGTAGTGAATATATTGTTTATTACCTCTAAATAGTCGAAATAATAACGATAAATATACTTTAGTAAAACTTTATGTGTCGGGAATAAAAATATATTTAGGATAAATAAACTGTACCCTTGTCCCATATTTAAATATTTTTTTTATTTGGGAGCAATAAACTTTTTTCTCCGTGTTCTAAAGAACACGCTTAAAAGAAGTATAGCATAATCCTAAGAATATTCTCACTGGCCTATAGGCAGGTTCTTAGAAGGTGCAAAATTTAGTTGTAAAAATTAATCCACTCTAAACATATGCTTAGAATGTTGAGAAAGTAATTGCTATAGAAAGTTCATTTAGGAATATTCCTGGAACATTCTGTTAAGCATATTCAGTTCAGTTAGGTACCTATATAATAGTTAAATAACCATAATTTACGTATGAAGGTACCTATACTTAGTATTAAATTCTAAGTAAAAATCACAACCCAAAATATTTTTTTATAGTTATTTGTCAAATTAAAACAATATTCGATAAGAAAAATACTTTTACTATAGGTATCTAAATTATCCGGCTTTTATAAAATCTTCTATCCAACTTAAATACAATGAAAAATGTTTTTTTATGAAGAACTATTTTTTTTTCTTTTATAAAGAATTATTTTATAAGGAAACATTTTGTTTTAAACATTAAAAATAAATATTTATTAATTTGTATACCGATTTTTTATATCTTAATTAACATTTTTATGTAAAATAATCCTAACTATCTTCAACTTCAATCTAATCTGACTTATCCCACAAAATTTTCCAATTTTACTTTTTATGAAATAATGTCATACAATTTATGGTTTAGAGGTCAAATTGTTTATTTAATATTTTTAAATAAATATATATTAATACGTCGCAAAATTTTTTAAGGGGACGACAAATACATTTCACTGTCATATTATGACATATTTGGAAATATTCTCAAAAGCTTCCTAGAAGCTCCATAAGAAACCTTTTAAGAACATTCCAAAAACGTATTCTTAAAATGTTCTTAGAATGCTTTTTAGGAAGATTTTAAGAAGCTTCTAAGAATCTAATTGCATCATTAAAAGGGTATCTATTGAATGTTTTAAACGTCCCTAAGAACATTCTTAGCAATAAGGGAAGGTTCTAAGAATATTCCATTATTCCGGGTCATATCTTCTTAGAAGATTCTTAGAATCAAATTTTGCTATCAGGGGAAAATCTAAAACAATGCTTGTAGATTGTGTTAAGTTTGTTCGTGGCCGTAATTTTGGATAACTTGGAATTGGATGAAGACATAAAAAAATTGAAGCAGTTGAAGTACAGGGAACAGAGCGCTGAAATCAAGGAGACTCTCCCGTTCAGGTTGAGGATTTTCGAAAAATTCCCCGATAGCCCCCTTATGGTGACTCTCCACAAAGTGCCATCCGATTTTAGCTTGCCAAAGGTTTTTGTCCCTATCACGGTGCTGTTCTGAGAGGAGATTTTTGGACTTTCTGTGAAACCAAATTTTTTTTTATATTCTTGTTAATTAAGTCATAACTAAAATTTTAAGAGCAAAATAAAAAAAATTTGACGGTTTGAATTGTTTTAATTGGATGTTTATTAAAAATATGTATGCACACTTTCAATTCTCCAATTAAAACTTGCGATTTTATATATTATCATAACTTTTTAAATCAGATTAAAGATTAGATTTCCTAAAAAAAGGTCCATACATTTTTTATACCTTTTACTGTTTTGTTGTAATACACGTTTAAAGTTTTAATTTAAGGTTAAATGTATAGTATACATTTATTAAACAATAATTCTAAGGGTGTCACATTTTATTTAGGGCCGATTTATTCATTTTTGATTTATTTGACGAATAATTTCTTTGGATACTAGATATTGCCAAGACATGGCAGTTATCGGCCCGATAAACTTTACTAAAGATGAATAAACCGGTCCTTAGTTAAATTTCATGAATTTCTTCGTAACTTTTACTACAATTTTTCATTTTTGTTTATAAAAAACACTTTAAAAAACTAAACAAAAATTATAGAATACGTATACTGAAAATGACAATTCAAACGTCAAATAAATTTTTAATAGATCTAAGTTTCATGGCAACCTTTAAGGATATATTAATTAAGGGAACATAAATGTATACGTCAAAGGTTAGATTAAAAGTTTGAACGTTTATTGCAACAAAACAGTAAAATATATAAAAAAAATTGTAAAAAACTTTTTTTTAGTTATGCAAATATTAAATATTTAAATTAAATCGCTAGTTTTAATTGGATAATTGAAAGAGTGCATAATATTTTTAATAAACAGCCAATTAAAACAATTCAAACCGTCAATTTTTTTTTGTTTTGCTCTTAAAATTTTAGTTATGACCTAATTAACAAGAATATAAAAAAAAATAGGTTTCACAGAAAGTCCAAAAATCACCTCTCAGAACAGCACCGTGCTATTTGTTTGGTTGGGTTTAACAGGTTTTGATATTTTAGATAAGGGAGAGTTTCATGCGGCAATTTGTGTACGAAAATGAGGAGGACGAGAATTTGGAGGGTGGTATAAAAAAATTAAACGAGGATGTGTTCGATACCAAGGTTATATACCGCAAACAAAAACCTTTAAGAGTGCTAAGTAAGTTACCGAAGGTACGCGTCGTGAATATATCCCTAAAGAAAACCTCAATTTCTCAAATAATAAAGTAAGCAATTTCTGTATTTTTTTTACCAAAACTGAATATTAATCTTCTAGCGATTCAAACAACCAACGACTGATGCTTGGAGACTCCTCCATTATACCAGTGCCGGGCGTAAAAGGCCAGTTAAAACCACAGGGCACAATTAACAGCATGAAACAGTTACGTATTGATCATAAGAAGTGAGTGGTATAATTGGCAAACTAAATTTTTATCGCACACCTAATTGGCACAAAAATTAGACTAGACACAAAACACAATAGTTACACTAGTTTACAAAATCGAAAAAAATTCTGCCCACCATATCTCATTATAATTTTCCTATGTATTTTGAACCACTAAACACGTTTTTAAGTATAGCTTGAAATTCGTTTTTATGTCAAAAATTGTTGTCGAAAAATTTTATATCGTCCTGGGAAAGGTGTCAATCAAACAGATAACTTCAGTTTGAAACAAGCTAATGTTGATAAAATTACATGAAAAAATGGTGAAGTTATGAATTTTTTAGTGGAAGACCAAAATTCAGCTTTTTGACGATTTTTATTTTATTTTGTAATATGTTTATTCTTTAATGAAAACCTAAATAAAGTGCATGATTGGAATTTTTTGAGTTTTTTACGTTCTTTTTTCACCGAAAACATTATTCAAAATTTAAATTTGACATGACTCCGCAAACGTGAATTCTTTTCTCGTGTTGGCATAGTGACATTTTACTGATATTTTTTGATATTTCAACAAGGTATTTTTATCATGGTTTTATTTAGTTAATAAAAAGTGTAAAATGAGTAAAAGAAGTAGAGAGTTCGAGTGCGTAAATAACCCGCAAAATCTGGGCGACGTTAGTGATGAGCACGGAGAACGTTTTTACCAGCAAATGATGGGTGATTACATTTGGTCCCTCATACGAGAAACGGAATACGAAAGAAATTTTTTTATACCTATGCTTATTACAACAAAATAAAACTTTTAATTTCTTCAATGTTCAATATTTATTGTTTAATATTCAATAAATAATTTAATTTCAATATTTAATGTTTTAAATAAAAATCAATGTTCAAAATTAAATTTGATATAATTCAAAAAAATTAAGAAAAAATGTAAAAATTCTCGAAATCCACTGAAAAATTCATAATTTCGCCATTTATCCATGGATTTTTATAAACAGCAGCTTATTTTTTCCTTTATACTTAAAATAAATCAAACTGGAATTATCTTTTCGATTTCTATCTTTCCCAAAAAGATATGAAAATTTTCGACCTCGATTTTCGTAAAAAATCAACTTCATAAAATCGCCAGTATCGAACTACTGAGCCGATACCAAAACTATACAAGAGAAAGTTGTAGAGGGCTCAATTACCTTTGATTTAAGTACCTTTTTGGTCAAATCGATCAATTAGAACTCGAAGTATACTCTAAAACGTCAAAACACCTCAGAAAACTAAAAAAAAACAATGGGGTAGTTAAATTTTTTCTGACCTATACTTATTATGGTTTTATTCAAGTCGTTTTGTAATATTAAACATTTCTGTGAAATCAGAATTTCAATTGAGTTTACCGTTTTCAAGATATTTACAAAAAATATAAATTTTTATGACGTCACAAACCTCGCCATGTGACCAACATTCTAAGATTTCTGGTTGAAAATTACCCTGTTGTCAAGTTGTCTTGTTAATGATTTCATTCGGTTATGTCAGAAAATACCCGAAGAGGTTATGTACAAATACTGTCACTCTCAGTTGAGTGAAAGATGGTCACCAAATTCATTAAGTACCTATCTTCCTTATTACGAGGTATCATATTACTGTTTGATATTTAAGAGTCCAAGATATATCTAAAAGAATATAAAGAACTAGGCATTATACTAATGAAATGCATTTACGACAAAATATGATTATAATTATAGGTACTTACTTTATTTGTTTAAAAGCTCCAATGTTCAATGTAACCAACCATTCCACAAGATTCCTCTGCTTTGGAGTCCTTTATTAATAAATCACTTATTTAATATCAATTACAAATAACATAACAATAACATCGATTTTCAATAATCTAAATTTAAAAAAAAAACATAACCCGTCAAAAAATCAATTCTTCTTCTTCTTCTCAACTAAAATTATAGATCAAGTGGTTTTAAAACTAAAATATTATAACGTGGCGCCATCTATCGTAAGAATCTTAAACTAAACACACTGGCAACCATAGAAAAAGCTGGCAACGTTGTCAATAGCCTAGTGACGTAATTAGGAGATTTTTTTTGTAAATATCTCGAAAACGGTAAACTCAATTGAAATTCCGATTTCACAAAAATTTTTAATATTACAAAACGCCTTGAATAAAACCATAAAAAGTATAGGTCAGAAAAAATTTAACTACCCCATTCATATCTCGAAAACGCTTCCATGAAAAAAAGTGTGATTTTCGCGTTTAGTGAGCCAAACTACACAAGAAAATCACAGTGAGACTTGGTGGGCAAAATGGCTGTAAACTAGTGTTATCAACCGAACCGGTAGAAACATAGTTTTCTATTGCTAAAATATTTTTGCAGATTCGGTTCGAGATCCATAAGACGAAGCGTTCGAAGCGGTTCTATTAAGCTAAAGCAAACGTACGAACACTTAATGGAAAACGGGGACATTGGGGTTAATAGAGTAACCTCAAATCGAGCCAGACCGCATGATTTGGATATTAAGTTGTTACAAGCGAAAAGACAGCAAGCCGAAATGAGAAGGTAACGAAGAAAACGAGTTATCTTACGCCTAACCGTTGAAATTGTAGAAATCAAAGGGAAGAAGATTTAAGAGAGAACCATCCCTTTTTCGACACACCTCTATTCGCTGTACCTAGGGAGAGCAGGTTCAGAAAACTTTGCCAATTGATTGTGTACGCTAGGTACGATGCTAGGCTGAAAGATCCACTAACAGGCAAAGAAAGAAAAGTCCAATACAAGAGTTTGCAGTAAGTACAGTTTAATCAAAAATGTTTCCAAAGGTTCAACAATAAGAACCCATTTGGTAATGCCAGATGTGGCTAGTTTCACCAACCTGTGAAGATAAAGGTCTTCCTAAGCAAAATTATCAATTTTTTTTTAAATACTATTGGTTTAATTCTTACTTAATAAAACTTTGTTATACACAGCAAACGAAAAAATATAGAAGTGTTTAGGATGACTCCCCGTTTGTAAAAGTAAAAATTACGAAAAACAAATACATATCTGAATTTTAGATACCTTGAAGATCACCCTTCATCAAACCGCATAACAATCGGAGACACCAAACACAAGTTATTCACTTTTAAACAATAAACAATTTTCCAAAGCGATCGCGTGTAAAGTACCTTCAACTGAAAGCGTCAAGTTTAAACTGATGTACAAGACAAAATATACGTATTTTATATAAATTTTTTTCAATACACAATGGAGACAGGTATTAACTACCCATCTAACTCAAAATTTATATGAAAAAAAAAATGTCAATTTTGAGGTTTTGCCGATATTTTCCAGAATTGAAACACTGCGCGTCATCCAATACACTTCTATATTTTTTCGTTTGCTATGTATACCATATAGTCCAAAAGACCAAAACAGTTGTAAAACATTTTTAGCAATTTCTTGGGACTGGTGACCTATTTGGATTGGCTCATGATAACAATGACAACCCTGTCGTGTCTTTCGATGATGTTCGAAACCCCGTTCTACAGAGTGATGGAGAATGTGAGCCTCCAAATTGCGGAATATTGCTTCGTGATATTCATGAGCATAGAGTTGGCTCTAAAAATTCTAGCGGATGGATTGTTTTTCACGCCCAAAGCGTACGTTAAAGACGTTGCCGCTCTTCTAGACGTTTTTATCTACTTGGTGAGCTTGATATTTCTATGCTGGATGCCTCAAAGTGTTCCTCCCAATTCGGGGGCGCAGCTTTTGATGATACTGCGATGCCTGAGGCCTTTGAGGATATTCACGCTTGTGCCTCACATGAAGAAAGTCGTCTATGAGTTGTGCAGAGGCTTTAAAGAGATACTATTGGTAAATAATAAAACTTTGAGTGTCCCTGATAGCACAGTTTATTCTAAGAATGTTTTTTAAACCTTCCAGTAAGAATATTCTTAGGATCATGCTATATTTCTTCTAAAGAACATGCTTAGAAGAAATATAGCATAATCCTAAGAATATTCTCACTGGCCTATAGGCAGGTTCTTAGAAGGTGCAAAGTTTAGTGGTAAAAATTAACCCACTCTAAACATATGCTTAGAATGTTGAGAAAGTAATTGCTATAGAAAGTTCATTTAGGAATATTCCTGGAACATTCTGTTAAGCATATTCAGTTCAGTTAGGTACCTATATAATAGTAAAATATACCATAATCTACGTATAAAGGTACCTATACTTAGTATTAAATACTAAGTAAAAAACACAACCCAAAATATTTTTTTATAGTTATTTGTCAAATTAAAACAATATTCGATAACAAAAATACTTTTACTATAGGTATCTAAATTATCCGGCTTTTACATAAAATCTTCTATCCAACTTAAATACAATGAAAAAAATTTTTTTTATGAAGAACTATTTGGTTTTTTCTTTTATGAAGAATTATTTTATAAGGAAATATTTTGTTTTTTAATATTTTATTTTGTTAAAAATAAATATTCAGGGCCGGATTTAGGACAGGGCCAGCGGGGCCACGGCCCCAGGGCCCCCACCATTTAGGGGCCCCCACCAATGCAATATGTAGCTTTTTAATGAAACGAATATGAAAAAAAATTATCAAAAAAATAAAAAATTGGGTCGGTTATACCGACTCAAAACAATTGCTCCTTTAGTGCTTTTCGTAACTTTTTTGTAAATACAGGCAAACAGTCGATTACTTATACCTAATCTAATATTAAAGTTAGTTTTTGTCCCAGATTTTTATTGGTACATTGGAGTGTTGTGGAATATTTTCCGGTGTTTCCGAAATAATGTTTCGTTCTTTTCTTTGGACAATAGTATATTAAAGTACAAGTTGCAGAAGGCCACATATTCTCGCACGAATTCGAAATTTGGCCTCGAGCGACGAAGGAGCGAGTGGACGAACGAATGAGTGCGAGAATAGCCTTCTGCAACGTGTGATTTATACTATTTTCTCGATTTTAACTTTTATTTAGGTTTTTTTAATTGTTTTGTGGTCGTTGTTAGTTAGGGGATTTTTCTCGCAAAATGTCAGTTGGCAACACAAAATGACAATATTTGTTATCCTGCACAAGTACAACCTGAACTGCACTTTTTTACATTCAACTTAAAATTTTGCATTAAAATGCATTGTTGGAGCAAACTTAATATTACAAAAACAATAATAAAGGCTTCATTTTCAATAAAAGTAATGAATTTGAGGTTATTAATCAGTTTGACATTTTGGGGGTACCAATACTTAAAAACTAAATGTTACCAAAAATCGTTTAAGAATGAGCTTCATTCTTCAACGATTTTGCGTGCGAGAATATGACATTCTTACATAAAAATCGAGAAAACATTTTTTTATTATTGATGATTTTGTATGAAAAACAGACAAATAATACGACTTTTGATGCACTTTTTTTCAGTTTGCGAAAAGTATTAAAATACAAACAAAACATACATCAATTTATATTTTACTTGAGTAAAATATATATAAGGTTATGTTCGTATTATTCAAAATATATAAAATATAAAGTATATACAAACACTTTCATTCACAATTCTATTCTACTATCTACCTACGTTTTTATAGTTTTGCATACGAATTTATAATTTCTCAGACTTGGGTAAAATGTATATGGTTATATAACATATAACGAACATATGTTCGTATTATTCAAAATATACAGGGTGATTCAGACTTGTGGTGACAAAAGCTCAGTGGAAATTCATCAAAATATGAAAAAAAGTTCCTATAAACACGTGTCCGAAAAAGCTTCATTATCGAGATACAGGGTTTTTCGTTTAAAAAAAATTAGTTTTGGCCGATTTTATTAAAAATTTATATGGTTTATTAAATAATAAATGATTCAAGGATAATAAAAAATCACGTTCCTCTAGCTTAAAAGTTTACCATGAGTTTTAAAGTGTCAATTTTTTTTAGAAATATTGAGGGCCCCCACCAAATGTCGGCCCCAGGGCCCCAAAACTCTTAATCCGGCCCTGTAAATATTTATTAATTTGTATACCGATTTTTTATATCTGAATTAACATTTGTATGTATAATAATCCCAACTATCTTCAACTTCAATCTAATCTGACTTATCCCACAAAATTTTACAATTTTACTTTTTATGAAATAATGTCATACAACTTAAGGTTTAGAGGTCAAATTGTTTATTTAATATTTTTAAATAAATATATATTAATACGTCGCAAATTTTTTTAAGGGGACGACAAATACATTTCACTGTCATATTATGACAGTGAGGCATATTTGTCGCCTCCTGAAGAATTTTACGAATGTAGAATCCAACATATTAGAACGTGAGTATCTGACATATTTGGAAATATTCTCAAAAGCTTCCTAGAAGCTCCATAAGAAACCTTCTAAGAACATTCCAAAAACGTATTCTTAAAATGTTCTTAGGATGCTTTTTAGGAAGGTTTTAAGAAGCTTCTAAGAATCTAATTGCATCATTAAAAGGGTATCTATTGAATGTTTTAAAAGTCCCTAAGAACATTCTTAGCAATAAGGGAAGGTTCTAAGAATATTCCATTATTCCGGGTCATATCTTCTTAGAAGATTCTTAGAATCAAATTTTGCTATCATGTGTCACGGTTGAATTACCAGTTGCGGGTCTTCTAGGTATCCACGCTTTTGATCTTGCTGATGTTTATATTTGCCAGCTACGGCGTTCAGTTGTATGGAGGGAGATTGGCCAGATGCAACGACCCCAGCATAGCGAAGCGGGAAGATTGCACTGGAATATTTTTGAGAAGGGTTTTCGTGACTAAAATGAAGTTTATACCAGGAGAGGGTGAAGGCTATCCGGCCATTTTGGTACCGAGAGTTTGGTAAGTTGGTTATAGGCATGGTACAAGAAAACAAGGCAAGATCATTTTTTTCTTTAGGGCCAATCCAAGAAGATTTAATTTTGATAACATTGGCGATGCCATGTTAACTCTATTTGAGGTTTTATCTTTCAAAGGTTGGCTGGATGTCAGAGATGTTTTGATTAAAGCACTTGGACCGGTAACATATTTTAACTAATTTCACAAAATTAGAATTGCTTTTGATAAAAATCTTCGGAAAGAAATATAATGTTTTGTGGTGCATATAAGTATCTAGACTAGGGTGATTCATTTCCGCAAAGTTTTTGTTTTCTTCGGTGCTCAAGCAAAATATTAATCTGCATATAGAAAAAAAATTCTCAACAAGTTTGAGCTCTTAATATAAATTTTAAGTACTTACTATTTCAATTTAAAGTTTTACCGTTTAAAATGCATGTAAAAATATATATTTTTTTTCAAATTTCTAATGCTTACCCACCTTTGACAATATTGCAAATCGGTTTAATACACCTTATGGGGAATTTCACGCTCTTTAAAATTGCTTTTGAGTTTTTTTTTGTAACTCGCATTGGTTCACCAGTAAGAGTCGTCAAAGGACAGTTTTTGAAAAAAATCGTTTTTTTTATTTTTTCGAGCAAATCGCCAAAAGTAGTGAGAAAAAAGGGCTGATTCATAAAAAAAAAGTTATCCAACCAATATTTAATGAATTTACTGCCATTTTTATAACTGAAAACGTAAGAAATTGATAAATACCAACCCATAATGTTATTTAGATTGATTTTTTCTATTTATTATCATTATATTTCCCTACACTAAGAACTTTTTTAAAATTATTATGATTTCTCACTCATAATGAATATGAAAACAACAGATAAATTCATAAAAAAACAATAAGAAAATTGTAACGTGGATTTTGCAATTTTTCAACATTTCTGTCATATAGCAAAAAAATATAAATGAAGAATATTTAATTTTTTGAAGCGAAATTTGAAATATGTTACATAACCTTCTGTATATTCCGATTAAAGTTTTATTGTTTTTTTTATGAATTTTTGTGTTGTTTTCATATTCATTATGAGTGAGAAATCATAATAATTTTAAAAAAGTTCTTAGTGTAGGGAAATATAATGATAATAAATAGAAAAAATCAATCTAAATAACATTATGGGTTGGTATTTATCAATTTCTTACGTTTTCAGTTATAAAAATGGCAGTAAATTCATTAAATATTGGTTGGATAACTTTTTTTTTATGAATCAGCCCTTTTTTCTCACTACTTTTGGCGATTTGCTCGAAAAAATAAAAAAAAACGATTTTTTTCAAAAACTGTCCTTTGACGACTCCTACTGGTGAACCAATGCGAGTTACAAAAAAAAACTCAAAAGCAATTTTAAAGAGCGTGAAATTCCCCATAAGGTGTTTTAAACCGATTTGCAATATTGTCAAAGGTGGGTAAGCATTAGAAATTTGAAAAAAAAAATATATTTTTTACATGCATTTTAAATGGTAAAACTTTAAATTTAAATAGTAAGTGCTTAAAATTAATATTAAGAGCTCAAACTTGGTGAGAATGTTTTTTCCTATATGCAGATTAATATTTTGCTTGAGAACCGAAAAAAACAAAAACTTTGCGGAAATGAATCACCCTAATCTAGACTTGTTTTAGGTTCATGCCATATACATCCACATATACATTTTCTCTGGATGTATGATTGGTTTGACACTATTCGTTGGTGTAGTCATTGCAAACTATTCGGAAAACAAAGGAACTGCTTTGCTTACTGTCGATCAACGTAGATGGTAAGTAGTATATTTTACAGTTATTATGTACGAATCTTAACTTATATTTCAAAGGTGCGATTTGAAAAAACGACTAAAAATCGCTCAGCCACTTCATCTTCCTCCAAGACCTGACGGGAAAAAATTCAGAGCCTTTATATATGACATCACACAAAACATCAAATTTAAGAGATGTGTAGCTGTGATGGTCTTGATAAATAGTGCGTTATTGGGAGTAACAGTACGTTGGCAACGCGTTGGTTTTTGAGCGTTTCTAATAATATTAATTGTAGTGGAACAAAGATGACTCTCACACCGACGTTCTGGCAACAGTTGGAATGTTCTGCACCTTTATATTTTTAGTGGAGGTGGTGATGAAAAATATTGCTTTCACACCAAGGGGATATTTGCAGTCCAGAAGAAACCGTTACGATCTTTTCGTTACCGTTACAGGTGTAACCTGGATGTTTTTCCATACAATGTTCAAGGTATATAAAGTGACATTTTTTATGCCCTTTTTCTGCAATCCTCTGAGAAATTGCAACAAATGGCAAATCAACAATTCTTAAACGTAACACAAAATTTTATTGTGGTAATTTTTAGAATGAGTTGACCTATTTTATCGGCTTCATGGTTGTCATACTGAGATTTTTTACCATAACCGGAAAACACGCGACTTTAAAAATGCTGATGTTAACCGTGGGTGTTTCCGTTTGCAAAAGTTTCTTCATTATTTTCGGGATGTTCCTGCTAGTATTCTCGTACGCACTTGCTGGAACAATTATTTTTGGTACTGTTAAATACGGCGAAGGAATTGGAAGGTAATATTCACCACCTTTAGGTTTTTTGAGTTCAATGCGTATTTTAGGCGGGCAAATTTTCGGTCTCCCGTAACAGGCGTCGCCATGTTGTTCCGTATTGTAACAGGGGAAGACTGGAACAAAATCATGCATGACTGCATGATACAGCCGCCATACTGTACGCCAGCTGAAAACTACTGGCAAACTGACTGCGGCAACTTTACTGGGTCATTGATCTACTTCTGCACATTCTATGTTATTATAACGTACATCGTTCTGAACTTACTAGTGGGTAAGTATATCTGCTACAGAGCAAACACAACCGTAAAAGTTCTATAATCCCTGATAGCACAGTTTATTCTAAGAATGTTTTTTAAACCTTCCAGTGGGAATATTCTTAGGATCATGCATTATTTCTTCTAGTCATGTTCTAAGAATGTTTTTTAAACCTTCCAGTGAGAATATTCTTAGGACCATGCATTATTTCTTCTAGTCATGTTCTAAGAATGTTTTTAAAACCTTCCAGTGAGAATATTCTTAGGATCATGCTATATTTCTTCCAAAGAACATGCTTAAAAGAAATATAGCATAATCCTAAGAATATTCTCTCTGGCCTATAGGCAGGTTCTTAGAAGGTGCAAAGTTTAGTGGTAAAAATTAATCCCCTCTAAACATATGCTTAGAATGTTGAGAAAGTAATTGCTATAGAAAGTTCATTTAGGAATATTCCTGGAACATTCATTTTTTATGAAGAACTATTTAAATAGGTTTTTTTCTTTTATGAAGAATTATTTTATAAGGAAATATTTTGTTTTTTTATATTTTATTTTATGTTAAAAATAAATATTTATTAATTTGTATACCGATTTTTTGTTTCTGAATTAACATTTTTATGTATAATAATCCTAACTATCTTCAACTTCAATCTAATCTGACTTATCCCACAAAATTTTTCAATTTTACGTTTTATGAAATAATGTCATACAACTTAGGGTTTAGAGGTCAAATTGTTTATTTAATATTTTTAAATAAATATATTATTATTATGTCGCAAAATTTTTTAAGGGGACGACAAATACATTTCACTGTCATATTATGACAGTGAGGCGTATTTGTCGCCTCCTGAAGAATTTTACGAATTTAGAATCCAACATATTAGAACGTGGGTATCTGACATATTTGGAAATATTCTCAAAAGCTTCCTAGAAGCTCCATAAGAAACCTTCTAAGAACATTCCAAAAACGTATTCTTAAAATGTTCTTGGGATGCTTTTTAGGAAGGTTTTAAGAAGCTTCTAAGAATCTAATTGCATAATTAAAAGGGTATCTATTGAATGTTTTAAAAGTCCCTAAGAACATTCTTAGCAATAAGGGAAGGTTCCAAGAATATTCCATTATTCCGGGTCATATCTTTGATTCTAAGATTCTTAGAATCAAATTTTGCTATCAGGGATGGTCCTTTATAAGTGCCTTTAGTGAACTAAAGGCTAGTATAGGTACCATTACACGGACCATTACATGTGGGAGGTCCTTACAAAAACCTACCAACATCCAATTTGCAGCTATTATCATGGAGAACTTCTCCCTCTTCTATTCTAACGAAGAGGACGCTTTGTTATCCTACGCGGACATAAGGAACTTTCAGAACACCTGGAACATAGTCGACATACATCAAAGAGGCGTAATCCCTGTCCGTAGAGTAAAATTTATTCTGCGACTGCTAAAAGGACGATTGGAAGTCGACCCTCAAAAAGACAGGCTACTTTTTAAACACATGTGCTACGAATTGGAGAGGCTACACAATGGGGAGGACGTTACGTTCCATGACGTCATAAAGTATGGAAACAAAAAAGTGTATATAGTAGGTATCTATGAAGTGTTCATTTTTAGTATGTTGTCTTATCGGTCAGTGGATATAAGGAAAGCACTGCAACTGGAAGAATTGCTTGCTAGAGAAGAGTTTGAGTACATAATTGAGGAAGAGGTTGCCAAACAAACTATAAGGACTTGGTTGGAGGGTTGTTTGAAGAAAATTAGATCAACCAGCGTATGTATATTTATATCCATCTCAAATCGACCAGGTAAATCGATTTGAGATGGAAAGGCCCAGTGCTGAAAATTATTTACATAACCACAAAGAGCATTTTTTATTTTAGAACAAACAAAACAGCCTTATAGCCGGTCTAAGGGCCACCAACGAAGCGGCAAATCTAGCGGACGCTGCTGAAGAAAGTAAAAATAACACCCCTGATAAGGAGGATGAAGAAGATAGAAAAGTAAGCTACGTGTATATGGGTGAAAATCAAAAAATCTTTGGAAAACGACCTACAACAATTAAAAAACTAAAATGTTGCTTTTTGTCCATTAAACTTTTTAATATTCTAAAATAAAGATTTCGCAACATAATAAAGCTTATCTTTGAGATCAAGGAAAGGTAGTTTTTTGTTATGTTGATAATTGTTGTCTTCTGATCTCAATTATGTCTAGTCGGTAACAGTATAGTTTGTCGGGAATAAAGGTTCAGTAAATGGAATAATAATCAAAATATATGTTTAAAAAAATACTTATAGTAAATACCATTATAATCAAAATTGCAAATATTGGTGTTATACATCAGAAAAATGTAACAAATCTCATATCGACATCAAAATTTTACCGCTAGAACAGTTACCGATTAGACATCGTAAAAAAATACGGTAGCGTTTTTATGCAAACAAGCCTAAATATATTTTTTTAATGCATAAACAGAAAAACTTACCTGGTTTGAATGACACATAAACACTAAATCTAGCACACTAACCAACAAATGACAGGTATTACGTATCCTGGCGGATTTTAGGCGAAATTACAGTTATCGTTACCGACAGGATGCGATCAAAGCAGACAGTCTGTTACCCAAAGGCTGGATCTTTAAAACCAAATTGTTTTTAAATAAAATGTAATTTATTTAATACTTGGTGTTAGTTTCTTTAAAGTGATTTACATTTGTCCTGTTTTTAAAAATGATTTGATTGAAAAATCTAGCGTAAAATTGTAAAACGTAATAAGGGACGCGTTACCGACGAGACAAAATAGCTCTTTGTTTTTCTTTTTAATCGATGTTTTTAAATCTGGGTAAATATTTAATATAAATCTCGTATAATTAACATGCAGAAATAATACTAATAAGTTTTGAGACACTTCACTTCTTTTTCTAATTTTTAATTAGCCAAAGACGCCTACCTAAACATTTTTTGATTTTTACCCATATGATGACTCCCCGTTTGAATACTAAATCTTAAAGTTTTATCAGAACTGTATTGAATCGTGATTTGTTTTTATATTTTTCGCCTCTATACCTATATATAGGTATAGGCATATATGCACGACTATAGTTAAAGTCAAACGCAATGGTGTCTTACAAGATACATTATTTTGATTTTCTATATTCAACAGAGAGGTAGAAACTCGACCCTGTCGAATGGTGCAGCAACTTCTGATTCTTATTCTCTTCAAAGACATAGAAACTCAAGCTTTTCGAATTTTGCTGGCAATGATTTTCGTTAATGTTCCCGAAAATTGTAAAAAAACAGCGCAATGCAATATCGCAACGGTTTCGACTTCTCTTTACTCTACCAAGTTATAGAAACTGGAGTCTCTCTAATACTGTTCTAGTCAATATTTCTGAGAGCATAAAAAGAGGGTGTAATTCAATATTGCAAGAAGTTTTGATCTTTTGATGGATGCAAGTATTTTGAATATTCTCATTTCTGCATATGATTTTGTTGAAAACAGTTCCTTTCTTTGGTTCCTTTGTCTGATTTTTGTTTACCGTAACAACTCAGGTATGTAAAGCACAGAGGATATGATGTAAAGTATATTTATGAATTATATAAAGTACCTATATTTGTATTAAAAATTTCAGAGGTTATGTGGAAAAAACGATCGATATGCTATTAAACTTTAATAATTTAGTAATGAGGTCTGTTGTTAGACCCTGCACTATCTCCACTGGTATATGTTAGTACAGCAATATTTAAATCTGGTTAATCAAAAAGTACACACCAGTGCAGGTTATTGTAGCATCTACGAACAAATGAATTAATGGCCCATTGGCAATTATTCCTTTAGGAAAAATATTCAACACAGATTAATTAATTAATAAAATGAAAAAAATCACAATCATGCCAATATATAGTTTTTTTTCAAGCATAAAATAATTTTCATATTAATATTAGTTCAAAAGTCAAATTACGACCTCTATAATGTGAAGAGTATTGAAACGCTCGACTGACGAATACAACTCTATACCGTGGCGAGGGTTTAGAAAACTGTATTCAAACGTGGCATCATCCAATACACTTCTATATTTTTCCGTTTGCTGTGGGGTCATTCCACGTTACTCGGGGATTTTTGTCCCGCCCGTCACAATTAAAAATTGTGAGTAAAAACCCCACGTTATAAAATTTATTTCAAAATATTGTTTATTATGGTTTAACTAAGTTATTAGCACAATAAAAATAATATTATAAAATATTAATTTAATAACTAGTGGGTTTTACTCACAATTTTTAATTGTGACGGGCGGGACAAAAATTACCGAGTAACGTGGAATGCCCCTGTGTACACTTAAAGAAAAAAACATAAAACATCAAAAACCTTATTTTAGGAAAGTGAAGGCCCCAAAAAGCAAAAAACCACGACGCTGCCCAGATCCGACAGCGTTGGAAGCAGTTCGGGGCGAAAGTACCTGGCACCGACCCTGTCGGATCCGTCTGCTAGACAGGAGAAAGAGAGAATATCGATGAAGAAGAAGAACACCAGACAGACAGGTAAAAAAACATCAATGGGGTAGTTAAATTTTTTCTGACCTATACTTTTTATGGTTTTATTCAAGGCGTTTTGTAATTTTAAACATTTCTGTAAAATCAGAATTTCAATTGAGTTTACCGTTTTCGAGATATTTACAAAAAATATAAATTTTTATGACGTCACAAACCTCGCCATGTGACCAACATTCTAAGATTTCTATTGGTTGAAAATTACCCTGTTGTCAAGCTGTCTTGTTAATGATTTCATTCGGTTATGTCAGAAAATACCCGAAGAGGTTATGTACAAATACTGTCACTGTCAGTTGAGTGAAAGATGGTCACCAAATCTATCTTCCTTATTACGAGGTATCATATTACTGTTTGATATTTTAGAGTCCAAGATATATCTAAAAGAATATAAAGAACTAGGCATTATACTAATGAAATGCATTTACGACAAAATATGATTATAATTATAGGTACTTACTTTATTTGTTTAAAAGCTCCAATGTTCAATGTAACCAACCATTCCACAAGATTCCTCTGCTTTGGAGTCCGTTATTAATAAATCACTTATCTAATATCAATTACAAATAACATAACAATAACATTGATTTTCAATAATCTAAATTTAAAAAAAAACAAAACCCAAAAAAAGAAACGTCAAAAAATCAATTCTTCTTCTCAACTAAAATTATAGATCAAGTGGTTTTAAAACTAAAATATTATAACATGGCTCCATCTATCGTAAGAATCTTAAACTAAACACACTGGCAACCATAGAAAAAGCTGGCAACGTTGTCAATAGCCTAGTGACGTAATTAGGAGATTTTTTTGTAAATATCTGGAAAACGGTAATTTCAATTGAAATTCCGATTTCACAGAAATGTTTAAAATTACAAAACGCCTTGAATAAAACCATAAAAAGTATAGGTCAGAAAAAATTTAACTACCCCATTATTGCGAACCCAGCAAATGTTGTGTATTTTCAGTGAACAAAAATCTGACTCACTTGAACGAGGCAGAAGCCAACCGGATGCCCCGTGAGGTTTTTAACAACAAAACGGCCGTTCCCAAGGCTTCGAACGCAATACACGAGATACGCGATTGGTGGAATGAACAGTTGGCCTACGCCTCTCAATCCAGTGATGAAGATTAATTAGATATTTGATGAAAATAGTTTTTTTGTTGAATTGTTGTTTGTTTAAATCGGTTGATAGTCTTTAGATAAATTATATTGTGATTATAATGTAGAATCATATAGGTACAAATTTTTTAAAGGTTATGTTATTTATATTATTTTCTTTACCTTTGTAGACAATTATAATAAAAATAATAAAAAAAGTATATTGTATGGTTAACAATGAAATAAATAGATAAAAATAGCGTTACAATTTAAATACCTACGTAGTGTTAAAAATCTTGAATTAGTTATACTATATTTAAACGAATTATTTAAAAAATTGTACAAAAGAGTAACATTTATTTTTGAAATATTTTTAACAACAGATTTCAACTCTTTTCTTGACAATATTGTGTAAATGGTATTAAGTAAAAGGTAAAAGGTAAAAGTATTAAATCTTACTGTTTCCAACAAATTATAGAAAATTGACTTAAACAAACTAATTAGAAAATAATAATATTAATAATAAATTTATTATTAATATTATTATTTTCTAAACTAAAAAGTTTGACTTTGAAATTTGAATTAAAACTTCGTAATTTTATCAAAATCCCATTAAAAAGTGTTTTAATAAAAACTATAAAACATGAAACTATTATTAAAAACAATAAATTTTCCACTTTTAATAAATTTCATAATCATGATTGCAATTCGAAAAACTACCTCTTTTTATTTTTTGATAACTAGATGGGCTTATAATAATAATAATAATAATTATAATCAAATGTGATAAAGGGTCACGGTGCTGTTCAGAGAGGTGATTTTTGGACTTTCTGTGAAACCTATTTTTTTTATATTCTTGTTAATTAGGTCATAACTAAAATTTTAAGTGCAAAATAAAAAAAATTTGACGGTTAATTTTTTTTAATCGGATTTTTATTAAAAATATGTATGCACACTTTTAATTTTCCAATTAAAACTTGCGATTTTATTTAAATATTATCATAACTTTTTAAATCAGATTAAAGATTAGTTAATTTCCTAAAAAAAGGTCTATACATTTTTTATATCTTTTTATATCTTTTACTGTTTGTTGTAATACACGTTTAAAGTTTTAATTTAAGGTTAAATGTAGTATACATTTATTAAACAATAATTCTAAGGGTGCCGATTTATTAATTTTTGATTTATTTGACGAATAATTTCTTTGGATACTAGATATTGCCAAGACATTAAAGTTATCGGCCCGATAAATTTTACTAAAGATGAATAAACCGGTCCTTAGTTAAATTTCATGAATTTCTTTGTAACTTTTACTACAATTTTTCATTTTTGTTTATAAAAAACACTTTAAAAAACTAAACAAAAATTATAGAATACGTATACTGAAAATGACAATTCAAACGTCAAATAAATTTTTAATAGATCTAAGTTTCATGGCAACCTTTAAGGATATATTAATTAAGGGAACATAAATGTATACGTCAAAGGTTAGATTAAAAGTTTGAACGTTTATTGCAACAAAACAGTAAAATATATAAAAAAAAATGTAAAAACCTTTTTTTTTTAGTTATGCAAATATTAAATATTTAAATTAAATCGCTAGTTTTAATTTGATAATTGAAAGAGTGCATAATATTTTTAATAAACAGCCAATTAAAACAATTCAAACCGTCAAATTTTTTTTATTTTGCTCTTAAAATTTTAGTTATGGCCTAATTAACAAGAATATAAAAAACAGAACAGCACCGTGGGGTATTATCCTGGATGCCAACCTGTAAAACCAAACGTTAGACATTTTTCGTTACATAGCTACATTGCGGTCAAAGCAACATCTTGGCGGGATGGAAAAGAAGTGGCAAGTGTATGGACTAGGTCATCACCCAACGCGAATGTCAGCCGCTCTAACGGTGCAGTTTGTGCAGAAATCGTCGTGTTAATGTTGTTTTGTCTGTGGCTAATCAAAAACCAGTGCACACCGATAAACAATTAGATCTAGTAACAACACTACCAAGGCAGTCATGTCTTTACGCAGACATGCAATTTGCCGTGTTGATTTTTGCCTGTTTCGCTGCCAATAATGCACAGTTTGTTGACAAACAACAGGGTAAGTGTCTATATTTGCATATTTAATTAATAATAACACAAATAAATGATTCAGCAAAATTTGAAAAAAATTAAAAGTTCGTGCTTGTAATCTTTGTCGCTAGTGCTATAAAGTCTGTCTTATACACTTTTATTATACTGATATAATACGATTGATTTCGTACCTATACTTGTAATTTTTTTGGAATTTTGAAAAAAATGTAAAAATTTTAAATGGCTAGGTTTACGAAAAAAATATAGGATACATTTTTGTAGAGAATTTAATTTCCTATAAAATGATGTATTGGGCTTGGTTTTATATTAATTTGTTAGTGAGTTATCAAAAAATCAATTATAAATAATCTGAATTTAATTTGATAAAATAAATTTTAGAAATATTAATTATTTAAAATATATTGAAATACATATTACTTACATATTATGAACTCATACCTATAGATTATGTAATACATATAATCTGGTTATTTAAAATTCCAAACAAAATCTAGGACAGCTACATTTTAGGCGCCTATTGCAATACATTTTATTGGTACATACATAGGTAATTTTTTAATGGTTTTTATTAATTAATATAGCAAAAAATATTTACTTCAAAAAACATTTTATGGTATGGTTATTAATTATAATTTTAATTTAATGATATAAGACATCTCTATGTACCACACAGAAAAAAATTTGTTAGATTTGGTTTAATAATTGTATATAATGTGGTAAAGTTGACCGGAACAATTTGTGGAAAATTGTAGTAAACTTATTATATTAAAAACTTACATAATTTATTTGACATTTGAACATAATATATTATATTAATCTAATCGGTTCATTTAATTTGTGTAAGTAAATAAATTTATCCAATTTATTTAAAAATTTGAATAATTTTTTTTTTGGGTGCTAAAAAGGAAAATGAAACTAAATTATTAATTTAGATACCTATGTATTCAGCGACTTATACTTATAAAAATATGGAAAATAGAATACCTAAACTTAATATAAACTAACACTGACAACACAAAATAAACATAACAAAACATAAACTACAAACTGAAATATAAAATTCGTATAGCTAATTCTAATAATATTGAGATATAATTCAAGAGCAATTCAATATTACAAAAGTCGATAGATTAAATATGTATTCAGCGACCAACACAAAAATTTTGTAAGGATAGAATTAAGTCAATATCAACTGAAAACAAAAATTAAAAACTAAAGTAGTAATAGTAAGCTGATCAATTGATATTAATATTATATTATTATTATTATATTAATTGATATTATCAAATATTTTTAACAACAGATTTCAAACGGATTTTTCTCTGTGCATCTGTCCAATTGTACTCAATTCTATTATATCTAATTATACCTATTGTTGAATAAGACTTTCAAAAAATTACTCGACCAAGTTGGTGTACACAATTTATTAAACCATAAGTACTGCAATTTAGTTCTATTATATTTCCGGTTATTGCGTAATATGTATAGGCATTTAAAAACGTTGAAAGTGTCCCATATACATAAGACTGCTGTAGCATCGTTATTTCTTATCTGATTTAAAAAAATCAAAAACCAGCTCATATTGTCCAATGTCTATGACGGTCTAGGATTTTGATGAAATTAAACTTTCTAAATCATTTATATGAATGATATCATAGTGATGATGAATATTATAATTTTTTAATAATATATTTTTTAGTTGAATATTTGGTCAAAAAATGGGCCCCATTGATATGGCTTTCCCCAGAAGAGAAATATATGCCTTTAAACGCAGAAAATTTTCTAAAGCACGTCTATATTGCGGATGAAGTTGGAAAATACCAAACAAATTTTAATTTGGAAAGTAATCTAAAAAATAGCTCAAAGTCTTTATATCTAGTCACCAAGAAATCAATAGGTAAGGTATTTAATTAATTACTATAATTATCAATTAATTTATTAATTATAAATATAAACGTCCAGGTAAAAGTAGTAAATGTTGGTATAGAAATAACTTTGTTTTAGATATTCTCAAGAAAACTAACCAATCCTTTATATTTGGAAAAAATCCCAATACAAATCATGTATCTGTCTATGCAATAGTTACTTATTGTTCACCTTACATATCTTTTCACACAAGAGACAAGGAAAACTTTCAAAATGAAGTCGACATAAATGCAAGAGCTGAACCAAATTTAAATTTCCATGTCACTTATTGGGTGTTTTATCCATACAATGAGGGAAAGGAAATATGCTTTTTAGGTAATAAATTAGACCAAAGTGATGAGTTAATTTTAACATTATTATTTAATTAGAGATATTTGAATTAATATGTAATAATCACAATCCACACAACAAACCCTGTTTTATCTTGTTAAGCGCATACTAAAAATCACTGCAACACTGCACAGAATCTAACGGCGGCCATTTTTATGTATATACAGATTAAAACTCGTTTTAAACGTTGTGTTTCCTACAGAGGCACTTGTAAGTCTCTAATGAGGCCTTTAAGTGCTAAGAACAACCATTTTAAACCTTATTCTATCAGGGCTGTCATCAAACTATCATATTTAAATTTGTGGGTTATGGTCAATTAACCTTAAAATTGAAATTTGACAGTTAACTGTTAACATTAAATTTAATGTCAGCCCTGATGGAATAAAGTTTATTTTTACCAAAAGTTTATTTTTACCAACGTTTAAAAGGATTATTAATCTGTATTAAGGCCACCAATTTTCCCTAAAAAAGAATGTCTCAAGTTAAAACTAACCTAAAAACCAAAACACTGACAGTGACAATGTCAACCATATAATTAAGGTCATTTTACACTACGATTTTATATAGAATTTCTAATATTAAACTGCACATTAAAGTTCCCCCACCTCTAATCATTCTGCTAAAACACGCCTGTGATTGGCTACTTTATTTTATTACACCCTGTATATTTACCCAATTTTTATATACTCTTCAATACGATATGATATGACTCTCTGGGTATTGGTTTTAATGAAACAATGGGGTAGTTAAATTTTTTCTGACCTATACTTTTATGGTTTTATTCAAGGCGTTTTGTAATATTAAACATTTCTGTGAAATCAGAATTTCAATTGAGTTTACCGTTTTCGAGATATTTACAAAAAATATAATTTTTTATGACGTCACAAACCTCGCTATGTGACCAACATTCTAAGATTTCTATTGGTTGAAAATTACCCTGTTGTCAAGTTGTCTTGTTAATGATTTAATTCGGTTATGTCAGAAAATACCCGAAGAGGTTATGTACAAATACTGTCACTGTCAGTTGAGTGAAAGATGGTCACCAAATTCATTAAGTACCTATCTTCCTTATTACGAGGTATCATATTACTGTTTGATATTTAAGAGTCCAAGATATATCTAAAAGAATATAAAGAACTAGGCATTATACTAATGAAATGCATTTACGACAAAATATGATTATAATTATAGGTACTTACTTTATTTGTTTAAAAGCTCCAATGTTCAATGTAACTAACCATTCCACAAGATTCCTCTGCTTTGGAGTCCGTTATTAATAAATCACTTATCTAATATCAATTACAAATAACATTGATTTTCAATAATCTAAATTTAAAAAAAACATAACCCGAAAAAAAGAAACGTCAAAAAATCAATTCTTCTTCTTCTTCTCAACTAAAATTATAGATCAAGTGGTTTTAAAACTAAAATATTATAACTACCCCATTGTTCTGTTTATTTTAGGAAAAGTTCCAACACCCTTGATATTCGACACGTGTTTCGGAAACTTGAAGCCCATGGGCAATCACGTGGGCGACTGGGAACACATGAGCCTATCTTTCAAAGGCAAAACCTCGCCCAGTGAAATGTTCTTGGCCGTAAACGATGCGGGCGTTTACTACAGATACGACCCCAAACGGGGCGTGTTCAAATACAAATCGCAAGTGACGCGTAAAGGGGTGGTGCAGAGACCGAAATTCCCCGTCTTGGTGCGCACCCAGGGGGGGCACCCAGTGCTATTTTCCGCCCTGGGCTCCCACGGACTCTGGTCTTCCCCAGGAATACACGAATTCGTCAGGTTACCGAAATTATCCGATAAAAACGGTTATGGAGTTCCCTGGAAAACGTGGAACACCGTGCTTACGTACCACATGGGTCTCTCGAGGATTCCCGATTGGATGGTTTACAAGGGGAGGTGGGGGAACCCCAAGAGCAACTGTTTTTTGTTCAAGAAGTTGGGAATTTGCGAACACTCAGATGGCCCCTTAGGCATATTGAAAAGGGTTCAAGATTTTTATTGTTAATTGTTATGATGACATTGTGATATATTTTTACTTAAATAAACTTTCACTCTAGGTAAATGGATTTTTATTAGAAAAAAATAAGGCACGATTTAAACAATTTGTCGTACTTTTGATATGGCAACAGTGCTATATCTTCTGAATTTTTGAGGTTATGTTGTTCAGTGGCAATCTGTCATTTTTTATTTACAACCAAAAAGATTATTTTTCTTTGTTTTAACAACATACAGGGTGAGTTTTAAGTTGACGCGTTCCTTTTAACAGTGTGTAGAAATCAGCTAGACAAATAAATATTTTAAGTAACTTTTTTATCAAAACTCAAAAATAAAAAAGTTATAGCCCATCAAAGTTTAATTACATTTTAAGCCGATCCTGGCTATTGTTAACGAAAAACATAACCATAAAAATATCAAAATAAACAATGCAAAATGTCATATTTGACAACAAACATAACCATTTAAATCAAATTAACATTTTGCAATAAAAAATGTCATTATTTACTTTAGTGGCAGCATTTGCATTTTGACGACACTCTCCATAAATTAGTAACATTTCCACTAATTCATTATTGCTATAATTATGTACCATTTTTAACAATAATTGAGGCACAAAAAAACTGACATTTTTCATTGCTAAATGTCATTTTGATTTAAATGGTTATGTTTGTTGTCATAGATGACATTTTGCATTGTTTATTTTGTTATTTTTATTTTTATGGTTATTTTTTTTGTTAACAATAGCCAGGACCGGCTCAAAATTTAATTAAACTTGGAAGGCCTATAACCAGAGATATATCTCTGCCTATAACTCTCTTATTTTTTAGTTTTGACAAAAAAATTACTTAAAATATTTATTTGTTTATCTGATTTCTACACGCTGTTAAAAGGAACGCGTCAACTTAAAACTTTTTAACAATTTGTCGTACTTACATTTTCTCTTCTTTTCGTCTTTATCACTGATGTTTTTAACGAAAACTTTTGCTTAGCACTGTTGCTATTCCTTCTGAATTTTTGAGGTTATGTTATTTCAGTGGCATCTGTCATTTCTTATTTACAAACAAAAAGCTTGTTTTTCTTTGATTTAAACTTTCTAAGGTTTTAACAACATGAGTAAACCTGTGGTAATTAGTGGAGAGGCTTCAGAAACCGATAGCGAAGATGACGTTAAAATAATACCTGAAGTAAGGATTGTAACCTTAATTTAACACATGAAAATTTAGGTCGTTTTTTTAGAAAAATATGGCAATGTCAGTGCACGGGGCAGTAATAAATGGGGAAGATTCGGAATCAGAAAACGGTTATTGAAGTAAAAAACAATAAGGTATGTTCTGAATTATTGTATTTTCAGAAAACGATGGCAGTATATGCAGTGCCGAGTCTGCTTTAAACCAGTCAAACTTAAACGAGGACCTCAAACCAGTTAAATACGACTCACTGCTACATCAAAAACTAAGTAAATAAAATACGTTGTGGGTGCCCAGAAATAATAAGCACAATAAAATAGAAAATATTAATAAATTATGTCTTTATTACATTATTTACTACATATACTAAAGTAAACAATAGGGTCCATCAGCCTGTAAGAAAACATTTTAATTATTTCTGGACACCTTGTTAAGGGTGTCCCAGCTAAACTTGAATTTTGAATTTAAAAATTCAATTTTTTCACAAATATTTTTTTTGTAAAATTATAGAGGAATGTAACATTAAACTCCGGGAAGATATGGAGTCGCAGTGTGACCATGTTATAGAGGAAGCCGCTAAAAGTTTAAACACAATCGATCAACAGTTGTTACGATCTCAAGTAACATTGCAAAATGCTGCAACTGCTATAAAATCATTGGGAGCAACATCACTTTCATTAAAAAATAAGTTGCAGTCATTATTGTCAGCTAAATTCCTACCAAATATTACTGTTAGCAAATAGATCACATTTATCTATAAATTTATATAAAGTTTTATTTTATATAGGTAGACTTAAATAGTTCTAATTTTTTAGTACATACCTTGGATTTTTTTTGCTCTTTTCGAGGTGTTTTACTTCTTTTTCTTCTATAAAAAAAATATTTATTAAATGAGAATGGTTTTCAATAGGTAGGTACTAAGAAAACTTACTTTGGTATTTTAGATGACTTTTTAAAACTAAGGCCAAAAATAAAAAAATACAATAATAATAATGATAAAATAAACTTTATACTTACGTAGATTTTTTTTTTGTAAAACTTTTTTCCTCATTTTTATTACAATATTTAGTACTATCTGCAATGCTAAAAAAATAAATAATTAATTAAAAAATCATAACACTATATTTATTTTACCTTTCATTTTTTTTGGCAACTGTTGTACATCTGCAAAATATATTGATCAAACATTTTATGTGGGTTTATACAGGGTTTTCCGAAAATCAATTTTTAAACTTGTCGGAAGACCCTGTATATGTATATGTACTTTAAATTTGCCCGCAAACCGGTTATTTCTTGTCCTCGTTTAGAAGGCGTTTTACTTCTTCTGTTAACAAAATATGTATTTAATAAAGTTGGTTATACATAAATTTAGATTTAAATTTATAATAAAAATTAAAAAACCTACCTACCTATAGGTACACCTTGGATTTTTACATTCAACTGTTTTGGTTTTTAAATTTTGCCTAAAAAAATATTAATAAATATAAAATGATTATATTATCAGTCAATTACCTTTTTATAGTATTTCCAATGTCAAAATCTTTTGCCGAATGTTTCATATTCGGGCTTTTTATTGAGTTTGTCTTGGGTTCTTTTATAATTCTAAAAATAATTGTTTTTAAAGTAATAAACTGGTATAATATAAAATTAAAAGTTTTTCTTGTAACGCTAATATTTTAAATGCTTTTCCACTTAGCAAAGTATCATCTAAAAGATGTATAATAGATATCGAGAGATACGATGTCTAAAGATATGCCCCTGTAAGATATCTAAAATACATCTTCTGCGCTGTTTTTAGCCCTCTATAAGATATCTGAAATAAGATATCTGCATTCAGAAAATATATATTCAGATATATCGTAAAGATTTGTACCTAGTTTTTGACAGTATTGTGGATAGTTATACTTTAACACACTGATTAGTTTGCCATTATTCGTTATTATTATTTGAATATCTGCAGCCTGTTGTTATTTATGGTTAACCATCGTGCGTAAACCTCGGTGAGAGGTATCGATAATATATATGTTTATTAATTTGTTATTTAATAAAATATTTAAGATTTTTTGTAGCAATTATGTTTATTATTTTTCCTATTAGGTAAATAATAGAATATTAAAGAACTGCCATAAGACGTCAAAAGGTCTTATGACATGAGTTCTTTATGCTATTTTATCTATTTTACAAAAATTCTATAAAAAAAATAATTTTATACCTTAAATTAATTTGATCGAATTTTACTTTAGATACCCAAGTAACACGACGTGACGGCATTCTACTAGATTTCACGAAATCGTCACGCTCGTTCTTTATAAAGTACATTTTTATATAAATACGTTATCACAATGAAGGTGACGCCTGCGTCACTTTTAAATTTTTGACGGAACCGTGAAGATTTTTCGTTATAAAGTAACTTTTTAAATAGATACTTCATAGAAAATTTGTGACGTTTGCAGTGCACTTTATTCGTGTCGGAACCGTGAAGATTTTTCGTTATAAAGTAACTTTTTAAATAGATACTTCATAGAAAATTTGTGACGTTTGCAGTGCACTTTATTCGTGTCGGAACCGTGAAGATTTTTCGTTATAAAGTAACTTTTTAAATAGATACTTCATAGAAAATTTGTGACGTTTGCAGTGCACTTTTTTCGTGACGGAACCGTGAAGATTTTTCGTTATAAAGTAACTTTTTAAATAGATACTTCATAGAAAATTTGTGACGTTTGCAGTGCACTTTATTCGTGACGGAACCGTGAAGATTTTTCGTTATAAAGTAACTTTTTAAATAGATACTTCATAGAAAATTTGTGACGTTTGCAGTGCACTTTATTCGTGACGTTTTCGTGTTTTTAGGAACGAGATCTCTCGAGAGAGGGCGTTCTATAACCTTCTTTATCTCTGTCAGATTCTCTGGTCAGCCATTTTCATTGTCGTTGTTTTGTAGAGACGCTGCCCCAAAAACGTGCTGCGTTTTTGTTGTTTTTATTGTTATCATTTGTTCTTATTCATTGGTTTATAGATATCATTTGTTCTTATTCATTGGTTCATTGGTTTATAGATAAGGTGAGTTTTTAGTATAGTTTAGTTTTTGTGTCTGGTGGTTATTCTAAAGAAAATATTTTAATTTGTATTTTATCAAAATTCTCTGTTTAATTTAAATACCTATGTGATGTGGCAATAAATAGCCAAAGAAATATTTATTTTGTTATAAATTTTTTAGTATAGTTTAGTTTTTGTGTCTGGTGGTTATTCTAAAGAAAATATTTTAATTTGTATTTTATCAAAATTCTCTGTTTAATTTAAATACCTATGTGATGTGGCAATAAATAGCCAAAGAAATATTTATTTTGTTATAAATTTTTTAGTATAGTTTAGTTTTTGTGTCTGGTGGTTATTCTAAAGAAAATATTTTAATTTGTATTTTATCAAAATTCTCTGTTTAATTTAAATACCTATGTGATGTGGCAATAAATAGCCAAAGAAGTATTTATTTTGTTATAAATTTTTTAGTATAGTTTAGTTTTTGTGTCTGGTGGTTAGGGTGAATCGCCCAGTTGTCGGCCACTTAACTGAATTTTCACATTAAATTGACGTTTAAAAAGAACTGGTTTCTTTAATTACATTTTGGATTATTTCATCTTATAGCCTTTAGTAAACTAAATTAAAATATTTCATTCAAAAATGTGAAATGTATCAATTTTTTTATTTTGGTAAATAAAATGTAAATAATGGACCTTTTACTAGTTCTCGGCCACTTGATTATTTTCTCGGTCATCAATATGCCAGTTCTTGGACGGGTGGCCGAAAAAAACCATTTTTCGACCCTGCTATTGAAAAATTCAAACAAAAGTAGAAAATAATTAAAAATTATAGGAAAATAATAACTTTATATTATTAAAAAAGGTCTACAAAAAAAATAACAATACAAAAATAAACCAAGATAGGTACCTACTTGAAACAAATACAAATAAAAAACTTTAAAACTTAACAAATATGGCAGGTACATATTCTTAAAAGCAATACTTGCTAGGTAGGTAAATGTTTTTAATGCTTAAAATTTATTTGCAGGAACTACATATAAAATCTTTAGTTGAAGCTTCATTATAGGGTAAATGAGATAGCTTAGTACAATTGCACAAATGAAACCACTTGGGGCATTTATCACAACCCAAGTTTTTCAAGGAATCATCTTCTGTATCGCTTATTAATTCATCTTCGCAAAGAGAACACATCAGTTTGGATTTCTTAGCTTCATTTTTTTTTTACTTATTTTTTTTGCATTTTTTGTGCTCTGTTTCTCCAGTCTTTCATCTTTTTTCTTCTGCTGAGCTTCTAGTTTGTTTATTTTTTCTTGTTCTTGCTTTATGATATGTTTTCTCCAAGCTTGGGATGAGATAGCACTTGGCAGTTTTTCTTTCTTTCCATTTTCTGAGCCTTTTATCCGGAAATCTGAGATGACGAGAAAATGGGCTTAACACTTCTTCCACCTCCACAGTTTTTATAGGGGTCTTTTTTTTAGGCCATTCAGGTGTTAAGTCATTACTTTCAGCTTGTAGCATTTTTAATGGCGATTTTTCTTTGTTTTTAATTTCTTCCGCCAATTCCATTTTACTACTTTTTTTCGAGCTTTCTTCTTTTTCTTTCTTCTTAAAAATTGTCCCTTCTTTTTTACTATCTTGTCCCTCTTTTTCTGTTGCTTGCTCCAAGTTATCACTTATTGCTTTAATTTTCTCCGTAGTGTCTGGTTCAATATTTTCTTTTTCTTCTTTAGATTTCTCTTACAGATTGTAGTGCTAGCTTAAGGTTTTCTTCTGAGTAGCTGAATAACTTTCTTGCCTGCTTCGACACATTTAATTTTTGGTCTTTCTTAATGCTGGCCATCTGAAAAAAAAACAGTTGGGTATACGTAAACAGTTTTTAGGATTCTTAAATTAGTTGTTGATAGGTACCTACAAGACAATAATAGTAAAAAAGAAAATTAAACCTTCAGGAGTTAAGGTACTGGCCGAGAAACGGCCAAAATACCTTTTCTCGGCCGCTCTTTTAAGCCTTTTTACATGGTGCGTTTTTGTAGATAGGCCGGCCGAAAACTGGCTATTTTATAGTAGTAAGTGTTTTAAATACACCAAAAAACGAGATACCCCCAATTGCGAAACAGTATATTAGAAAAAGAAGGAGAATACACTACTTTTAAGACCGGTTCTCGGCCACCCCGGGCGAGAAAGGGATTGGACGTTTTAATTAATCCAGTTTACCGGCCACCCAAAAAAACACTTAAAATCTATAATTTGTCATTTTTTTCAAATATAATAAAAATAGTTGAACATATTATTTATCTAAAATCATAAGAACTTACCTTTAAAACCAGTATTTCACAAAATATTCACTATTTCACTATGGGATGCACACTACGAAAATTTTAGTAAACAGCCATGCACAAACCTTCCATGAGCAACAACTTTTAACGGACGTTTCTTCGTCTTACCAAAGCTTGAAAAATGGCGCTTAGTTCAAAGTGGTGGGGATAAGAAGTCTGAAGTTAGGAGTATTTAAAAACCGCGGGAGCCGTCAAAAGCTTAAATAATTTATTTACTATATTCTCGAAAAATGGCCGAGAACTAGTGATGGCCGGCTGCGTTTTTGTTGTTTTTATTGTTATCATTTGTTCTTATTCATTGGTTTATAGATATCATTTGTTCTTATTCATTGGTTCATTGGTTTATAGATAAGGTGAGTTTTTAGTATAGTTTAGTTTTTGTGTCTGGTGGTTATTCTAAAGAAAATATTTTAATTTGTATTTTATCAAAATTCTCTGTTTAATTTAAATACCTATGTGATGTGGCAATAAATAGCCAAAGAAATATTTATTTTGTTATAAATTTTTTAGTATAGTTTAGTTTTTGTGTCTGGTGGTTATTCTAAAGAAAATATTTTAATTTGTATTTTATCAAAATTCTCTGTTTAATTTAAATACCTATGTGATGTGGCAATAAATAGCCAAAGAAATATTTATTTTGTTATAAATTTTTTAGTATAGTTTAGTTTTTGTGTCTGGTGGTTATTCTAAAGAAAATATTTTAATTTGTATTTTATCAAAATTCTCTGTTTAATTTAAATACCTATGTGATGTGGCAATAAATAGCCAAAGAAGTATTTATTTTGTTATAAATTTTTTAGTATAGTTTAGTTTTTGTGTCTGGTGGTTATTCTAAAGAAAATATTTTAATTTGTATTTTATCAAAATTCTCTGTTTAATTTAAATACCTATGTGATGTGGCAATAAATAGCCAAAGAAATATTTATTTTGTTATAAATTTTTTAGTATAGTTTAGTTTTTGTGTCTGGTAGTTATTCTAAAGAAAATATTTTAATTTGTATTTTATCAAAATTCTCTGTTTAATTTAAATACCTATGTGATGTGGCAATAAATAGCCAAAGAAGTATTTATTTTGTTATAAATTTTTTAGTATAGTTTAGTTTTTGTGTCTGTGGTGATTATTCTATACATAGAATATTTTTGTATGCCCACAAAAATGGGTCTTTGAACTTTAGTACATCTACATATGTAATTAAATGTACATTTTTTATTAATAAATAATTAATAATTAATTAATAAATGTGCCTTACTTATTTAGCAAAGGAAATTAATTTATGTAATTTGGTTATTATTATTTACTGTAAATGCGTACTTATATTAGATTTAATTATTGACCATGGTCGGTCAATAATGAAAGCTAAATTTCTGTAAAAAAAATTAGCTTTCATTATTGAGCGACCATGGACAATAATTAAATCTAATATAAGTACGCATTTACAGTAAATAATAATCGTCAATAATTCGTCACAACCCTGCAAAGCAGATTCTACCACGGATTTAGTGTCAAATTCGTCACATTATTGTGATAAAAAACATAAAGAAATTGTCACGACTTGTAGGCCCGCCTTCGTCACTAATTCGTCACAACCCTGCAAAGCAGATTCTACCACGGATTTAGTGTCAAATTCGTCACATTATTGTGATAAAAAAACATAAAGAAATTGTCACGACTTGTAGGCACGCCTTCGTGAAGATTTCGGGGGTTAAAATTAGTGCGGTTTGGCCACTGTATCAGTCACAGAATCTATAAATTTTCGGGATCACGTTGAGCTCACGACAAGTAGAAATCGTAACAAATTTTGCAACGATTTCTTCACGAGGTGTTACTTGGGTAGTTGGTATCACAGTTATTGGTTTGACAGTTAATGTCAAAATCAATTTGTCATGCCGTCCTTAATTTACTTATTTACAATAAGCGGCTGTTAATGTTAAAAAAAGGATTTTCTTTGGTGTTAAAAAAAAATTATTGCCAGAAAGCAATAATATTATTGTGACAGTTTTCTCTCATTCTAATTCTTGTAGGCTTTTTTATTGAATACAACTGTACTAGAAAAATCATAAAAATATAATGTCATTATGAACGCAAAATAGATAAAAATATTTTTTTAAATTAATTAATATTTTTATCTAATAGGATATATTTGCTATTACCTGATAGTATTTTCTTTTTCCAATTCGAATATGGAATTTCTACAATGAAAACCAATTCATTATAAAATTAATTTAAACTATAATTATAAATTATAAACAATAATTATTGTTTACCCTAAACAATCCTGTAGCCCCATGTGGTTTAAGCTAAAAATACAAATTTTAACCAATAATTAAAATAATAATAAACAAGTTGATTTCTGTAAAATATTGTTTGTGTTTGTTTCCTTACCTTACGTTAGCAAGCTCTATCGATGTTTCAGAACTAATTTTAATATCACTCCACCTAAGAAAATTTCGTTTAGGTAGTCAAAAAAAAGAAATATTTGTTTGTCACCTTTTTTGTGTTTCTTGCGGTTCAGTCCCGCTAAAAACATTTATTGCAACATTAAGTATTTTTTATCAGGCTTGTTCCTACCGAGCATTGGTACTGTCAAATGGACGTCAGGTAGTATAATGGCGAACATATTTTTTATTGCTCATCTCCCTGAGGTACATTTGACAGTCCACCTTGTTTAGGTATGGAAATATTATGGAATATACTACCTAATGTCCTTAGATGCATTTGGAATTTCTTCTGTTGTGTTGCTGTTTTCGCTTTAAAATAAATAAAGTGTAAAAGTTTATAAAAACATGTATGCTGGTTCTGACGTCACATGCGAACCAGAACAGTTTTGCGATTTCTTTTGAGTTTTTTTTCCGAAATTATTGTGTTTTTAAAGTGTACTTATAGTAACTTTTCACCCTAACCAATTTTTGTTGTTGAAAAAAGCAGTTTTGAGATTTGTTTTACTTTTCACAAATAACATTCCAACATTGGTTCGCACATGACGTCATACGTTGCAAAAGAGACATCTATAACATGTGCTTACATTGAAATAGTAGGTTTAAATTTGGGCCATGATTTATTGCCACAAATCCTTTTTATAACCTCGACGCATTCGCAAGGTTTATTGTAACATTTAGTTTTTTCGTTTTTTAGTTTTGACTCAATTTTCTCCAAACTTTTGCCTTTCTCCTGCCAACATACATTTTCCACTACATCCTGAATGTTGCTCAACGACTGCTTAACTTCAATGGATTCTTGGCACACTTTAGAAATGTGTTTTTTCAAAAGCTTCGCCTTTCTCTCTATCCACCGGTATACGTCCACATTTTGACATTTCGTGGTTTGTTTTTTCATTATTTCCATCAATTTGGGGCAAGAGCTACATACATCGTCCATCAACTTGTTTACATCCATCATTTTTGCATCGAATTCATCTTCTTTCTCCAAAAGCCTCGTTTTGAAAACATTCTCTTGAATTTCGGATAAAGATTTCAACTCTTTATACTTTTCTTCCAGTTCTTCCAAGTCTGTTACTTGTCTCTTGATTAGCGCGTCGTTTTCTGCGCAGACTTGCGTCTCCATCGTTTCTATCGCATCCAGTAGTTCGCATTTTTCACTTTCCAGCTGTTTGCTGATCATCCTGTACGTGTCCGCTTGAAGTTGCAAGTCCTGGACTTCAGCCTCCATACCGTCCTTTTCCTTCATTAAGTTTTCCACAATGGTTTGCATATCTAGGATGCTCTTGGCCATTTCTTGGCTTTCTTGGTTTGCTGTTTCCTTTTCCTTCATGACTTCTGCGTTTGAAGTCGTCAGATTTTGCAGTTGTGTTTCTAATTTAATTATTTTACTTCCGCATCTGCAAATAGCCAGTTCGCACTGTTCCCCGGTTGTTATCAATACTTTTTCAGCTTTTAAGGTTTCATTTTCAATTTTAAGGCGCTCGCAATACCCACGTGAACATTTTTCGTTGTTTTGTAAAGTTGTTTCCATATCTTTGTAGGAATCAATTTGACTCATCAACTCATTTTTCTCGGCTTCTAAATTATCAAATGCACATTGCATTTCGGTTGTTTTCAATACTTTTTCAGCATTTTCAGCCTTTAAGGTTTCATTTTCAATTTTAATGCGCTCGCAATATTCACTTGAACATTTTTCGTTGTTTTGTAAAATTGTTTCCATATCTTTGTAGGAATCAATTTGACCCATCAACTCATTTTTCTCGGCTTCTAAACTATCAATTGCACATTGCATTTCGTGAATGTTTTCGCACAATACTTTTCTTTCCTTTTTGCACTCTACACATTCTCTTGCTGGCAAATCGCATTGTTCACCATTATTTATCAGGACTTTTTTATTTTGAACATCAAGATCTTCTAACTTGGCTTTTAGGTCTTCATTTACTTTTTCTAAATATTCGTGTTCTTTTACGTTATTTTGTACAATTTCTTTGTATGTTTCAATTTGACCCACCAAATTCTGCCTTTCCGTTTCTGCGTCTTCAAGTTTACATTGCAAAGATTCAGTTTCTCTTCTTTCATCTTCACTTTGGCATAGTAGCTCATTTTTTTCATCGTCTATAACAGCAATTTTTTCCGACAATACTTCGTTGTTAAATTGTAATGTTTCATTTTTTATATTTGCTGTGTTTAGGGATTGCTCTAATCTCTCTATATCTTCTTTATATAAATCAATTTGACTTATCAAATCCTGCCTTTCTGTTTCTATATTTTCAATCTTATATTGCAAAGAATTAGTTTCTTTTCTTTCATCATCAAATTTACATTGTAGCTCATTTTTTTCTTCTTCCAAGTCAGCAGTTTTTCCTGACAACACTTGGTAATTCACTTTTAATGTTTCATTTTCCATGCTTACTTTAGTCAGGGATTGCTGTAATCTTTCTATTTCTTTGTCTAGTTCTTCATTTGTATTCAATTTAGTAATTTCGGATTTTAAATAGGCGTATTCATCTTCGTATGTCGCTATTTGTTTGTTGTATGTTTTAATGTCTTCTTTAAGGTTTATAATTTCTTTTTCATACAGTTCTGCCTTTTCTTTTTGGGAGACATTGTCCATCTTTATATTTTCATTTTCTTCCTGTAGTGATTTAAGTTTTTGTTCATTTTCCAATAGTAGTTTTTGAACTTTCTCGATTTCTTTTCTGTTCCTTTCAGCTTCAGCAGCGTTTTGCTTGCACTCGCATAGCATAGCATAGCTCATACGCAATTCTTCATTCTGTTCTGAAAAATCGTCTTGATCTGTGCATATCTTAATGTCTGTCACAGTTGAGGTATGGGTGTGATAACATGGCGATTCCGCTTGGCTGTACACGTCTAGGCTTTTTTTGTTGTCCGTCAAAGTTGAGGTATCAACGCGCTTGCACGGCTCAACTTGAATATTGATTAATTCCTCTTCTTTATCCTTCAACTCTGCTTCTAAATTTGCAACCTTCTTGTCGAGACATTTGGATTCCTTCTGCAGTTTCTCAATGAGAAAATCTTTTTCTCTGGATGAGGTGTTTTTAAATAGGGCGCTGAGTTTGATGATTTCGTTCCTGTAGAAATCCTTATCTTTAACTATGCTGTTGATCGTTTGTATGAGGTTTTGTATATCATTTTGGCAGTTGCACGAGTCTCCTACAGACTCATTCTGATTGAATTCATCGAAAAACTTAAGCCCAAACTCCAATTTTCCTATAACGTCTGTGTATTCGCTTATAAGGTCCTCCATCTTCATCAGTTTGTTTCTATTCAGTCCGCAGGATTCGCAGCATGCATCATTTTTTACAAATTCAATTGGTTGAGGACAAATGCAATTGACCAATTCTTGATCAGAGTATGTAAGAATTTCTTTTTCGTTGCATGTGGTGTTTGATACTGAGCAGGTTATACCTATATCGCTAAAATACATCCAGTTGTAATTATTCACCATCTAGAATGATAAATCAATGTGTTACCAATTGTGTGAAACCTTCTGACTAAAGATACTAGACTTGGAACAATGAAATGAAACCCTTTCTTCTTCAAGCTAAAAAATTGATAAAAAAACGTTACAATGGGGTAGTTACATTTTTTCTGATCTATACTTTTTATGTTTTTATTCAAGGCGTTTTGTAATTTTAAACATTTCTGTGAAATCGGAATTTCAATTGAGTACCGTTTTCGAGATATTTACAAAAGAAAAATTTCCTAATTACGTCACTAGGCTATTGACAACGTTGCCAGCTTTTTCTATGGTTGCCAGTGTGTTTAGTTTAAGATTCTTACGATAGATGGCGCCACGTTATAATATTTTAGTTTTAAAACCACTTGATCTATAATTTTAGTTGAGAAGAAGAAGAATTGATTTTTTGACGTTTCTTTTTTTCGGGTTGTTTTTTTAAAATTTAAATTATTGAAAATCAATGTTATTGTTATGTTATTTGTAATTAATATTAGATAAGTTATTTATTAATAACGGACTCCAAAGCAGAGGAATCTTGTGGAATGGTTGGTTACATTGAATATTGGAGCTTTTAAACAAATAAAGAAAGTACCTATAATTATAATCATATTATGTCGTAAATGCATTTCATTAGTATAATGCCTAGTTCTTTATATTTTTTTAGATATATCTTGGACTCTAAAATATCAAACAGTAATATGATACCTCGTAATAAGGAAGATAGGTACTTAATGAATTTGGTGACCATCTTTCACTCAACTGACAGTGACAGTATTTGTACATAACCTCTTCGGGTATTTTCTGACATAACCGAATGAAATCATTAACAAGACAACTTGACAACAGGGTAATTTTCAACCAATAGAAATCTTAGAATGTTGGTCACATGGCGAGGTTTGTGACGTCATAAAAATTTATATTTTTTGTAAATATCTCGAAAACCGTAAACTCAATTGAAATTCTGATTTCACAGAAATGTTTAATATTACAAAACGCCTTGAATAAAACCATAAAAAGTATAGGTCAGAAAAAATTTAACTACCCCATTAGTATTAGGTATCTAAAGTTAAATTAAGTGAGAAGTGACAGCATACCTGGCGGAACAACCACCTGTTAAGAACAAATTTATAGCGGTCGTACTTTTAGTGAATCTTCTTTGAAGTCAGTACTGATAACTAAGCAATATGTGGAACTAAAGCACTTACTTTTTGGCAAATTTTCTTGGACTTTAAGAATCCCTGCTTTATAGAGCAATATTTGTATCTCAGTTGCTCTTTGATGTCGAGAGTGTCTTTGTGCCTCTCCTCCATGAGCTTGAGTTGCTCGCGAAGCATTTCAATGAGGACATTTTTGTTTTCCAGCGTTTTTTCTGCATCTAATAAACGCCTTTTTAAAAGATCACACTGATCTGAATACTGAAATAACAGACTTTGAACGATTTTAAATACTTTTTTCACTACTCACTGGGTCGGTACAATCCATAAAACTCATTGTTAAGGTTCGGTTTTTAAGTTTTTAAGACATGTTTTTAGTAAAGTATAACCTAAATTTAACATTGACACATTCAAAGTCTTTTTTAACCAAAATGTCAGTGGTTTTCTATGGGTTTGTATGTTTTAAGACGATTTTTTCTTTACCACACTGCTTGGTATAAGTGTACGTATTACGTCTTCTACATATACAGGGTGATTCACTTGAAACTTTGTAGGTACTATTTTTATTTAAGGTAAAAAAACATTATTTTGTATTTAGTTATAAATAATAATTATTATTGAGGTATAGAAACAATTTATAGTTTAGCATTATTTAATCAATTTAGTTCGAATATTAATTTGCAAACAAAAAGACCTCCTTTCGTTAAGCAGTTATTCATAATGGATTTTTTAACAGTGGAAGAAAAATAGAAATGATTTTGATTTATGGAGAAGCAGGCAGGAATCTTGATGATGCTGTTAATATCTACGCTCAGCGTTTTCCGGATAAAATTCGATCACGTACTTCATTTCACCGTACAGTCGAGCAGTTTACTACAAACGGGAGTGTTAAATCGAAAAAAAGTAAATGAAATGTATACGAAAAATACGTTTTAATCTTAAATTTACATGGTAAATTATTATACTTGATTATTCTTAATAAAGCATTACATAATTTAAAAATCACAATTTTATTTTGGTCCTATCATATCGAACAAAACAGTCATGATTTAAACATATTTGATTTGTTAGCACTACAAATTTTTCCATCATTTAGCTTAGGAAAATCTTGTCTTTTAAGTTTTTTATTGAAATTTAAATTTGCAGCACACTTTCTTTGTTCTTCCGAGTCCTCCATTTTCGGGGCAGATTTTCCCAAATCGGTTGTATTTAGTTCTTCATTAATTAATGATGTTTTACAAAGACAGTCATCTATTATAGATTTCAAAGATTGGTTTTCCTGTTTTATTTTTGTAGATTTATCATTTTCCAATTCTTTGATTCTATTTTTTAAAACTGAATTCTCATTGTCTAATATGCGACACTTTTCCTCTTTCACCACCAAATCAATGATCAATTTATTACATTTCTCGATGTCGTTGCTTAGTATTAAACTGTTTTCTTTTAACTGTTTCTTTTCCATTTCAATTTTTTTTATTACATCCAGTAAGGATTGAACCTGTGTCTTTAAACAAAGATTATCCTGCTTAAGTTTTTCGTATAACCCTTGTTGTTCCGTTATATTATGTAGATTATTTTTACAAGATTCTATTTGTATTTTTAGATCTTTGTTCTGATTTAAGAGTTCAGTATTTTGTTCCAAATTTCTTCTTAAACTCGTTATTATTTCATTACATTTATTTACTTCAACCTTTAGGGCACAATTCTCTCTTATTAAATTATCATTTGTACATTGCACTATTTCCATATTTTCACTCTGTTTTGCTTTTTCCAGCTGTTTTAATTTGTTTTTTAATGATGAATTTTCTGACTTAACATGCAAATTTTTTTCTTGTTCAATCACCAAATCGACAATTACTTCACTGTACTTTTTCAATTCAGCTTTCATGCTGTTGACTTTACAATTGGACTCGTTTGTTGTTAATGCATTTTCGTCTATTGTCGATAGGGTCTGTGCCACTTTAAAATTGCCTGATTTAAAATTTAAACAACAAATTTTACACTCCAATTCTTTTATCCTGGTTAGGTATGAATCCTTCTGCAATTGCAACTCTTTTATTGCCAAATTACTTTCACATTTATCCTTGTTAAGAACTTTAATATCCGCATTTAAATCACGCTGTATCTTCATGTAGCTTTCCTCCTTTCGTTCAAACTCTTTAATTTTCGATTTCAAACCATTATTTTCACATTCCAGTATATTTATTTTATTGTTGGCTTCTAGCAAGGTAGTCTTTTCACGTGACAGCATAGTGGAGATGTCTTGTTTGAGTTTTTCAACCTCTTTTTTTAACTCTTGAATTTTAACTTTTGAAGAGTGTACACAGTTCACCTTCTTGATTTTTGCTTTGCAATCCGGGTTTTGACACCTCTCTCCCTTTTGTTTAGATTTTTTACTTTGTTCTTCCTTAAAAGATTTTTTAAACATTCATTTATAGTGGGTGAACCAACAAGTTCTTGAATTTTGAATAGGTGCAGTTCTTTATTCAAAATTGAAGTTCTTGTTGGATCACCATGGTGATCAGCTTTTACTTTAACTTCGAAATCTTGCCCATCACCATCCGAGTTGACTTTTTGTATACATTCCTCCAATACATCCAATTCACCTTCCAGATCTTCAATAACGTCTACGTATTGCACCACCAAAATATTTAGATCATTAATTGTTTTTTTGTATAGGTTACAAGATTTACAGAATGTGTAGTTGTTTCGTCCCATCTTGTTAATATTACATGTGCATTTACTTAAAAAGTTTTCTGGGATGTCTGTTTGACTGTAACAACTTCCTTTAGTTGTTTTGGAATCTGCTTTTATCTGAAACTATAAAATAAACTGAGATAATATGTAGTAGGTTTTTGTTGAGACCACGAGAAATAAACGTTAGGCCCCTACAGCATGTTCACCCTAATAGAGTATAGCACAGCAAACGGAAAAATATAGAAGTGTACCAACATATACCAGTGGAGATAGTGCAGGGTCTACCAACAGACCTCATTACCAATCTATTAAAGTTTAATAGCATATCGATCGTTTTTTTAACACAACCTCTGAAATTTTTAATACAAATATAGGTACTTTATATAATACCTACTTTACATCATATCCTCTGTGCTTTACATACCTGAGTTGTTGCGGTAAATAAAAATCAGACAAAGGAACCAAAGAAAGGAACTGTTTTCAACAAAATCATATGCAGAAATGAGAATATTCAAACTACTTGCATCCATCAAAAGATCAAAACTTCTTGCAATATTGAATTACACCCTCTTTTTATGCTCTCAGAAATATTGACCAGAACAGTATTAGAGAGACTCCAGTTTCTATAACTTGGTAGAGTAAAGAGAAGTCGAAACCGTTGCGATATTGCATTGCGCTGTTTTTTTATAATTCTCGGGGACATTAACGAAAATCATTGCCAGTAAAATTCGAAAAGCTCGAGTTTCTATGTCTCTGAAGAGAATAAGAATCCAAAGTTGCTGCACCATTGGACTGAACCCTTTTTCAATAATTTCTAGAGACATAAATGACTGCACCATTCGACAGGGTCGAGTTTCTACCTCTCTGTTGAATATAGAAAATCAAAATAACGTATCTTGTAAGACACCATAGGTATAGAGGCGAAAAATATAAAAACAAAGCACGATTCAATACAGTTCTGATAATACTTTAGGATTTAGTATTCACACTTCTATATTTTTCCGTTTGCTGTGATGGTACTTGCATTAAAAAATATTTCCTTCAAACTGCTGTAGTCTTCCTCAATGGTGCAATATTTGAGGTTCATTTCCTTCATATTGTTGAGGGTGTTCTTGTGGTTTGACTCCATGTTTTTGAGTTGAATTTTCATCAAGTCGATGATCTCATTTTTTTGTTGTACTGCGGCTTCATTTTGAGTGATTTTTCTTTTGAGCAAATCGAGCTCATCGATGCAGGAGCACTGGAATTGATTTTTGTAGTGATTTTATGATATCATCAGTGTACGCATTACGGTGTTAGTAGAGCTCATTTTAGGTTGAACTTTTAAGTCATTTTGAAAGTGACGTTTTGTTTCTTCGGTCAAACATGAATACTCGGAAGGAGAAAAAATTTAGACCAAACAAAATCCCGCGTTTTTTGCCCTCTAAAGCTACCCAGCAGCCAGCTCTTCGAGATCTGGAAGCTTACAATGAACATAGGTACAGAGTGAGTATTTGCGGTATCAATGGGTTTTTGTGCAAACGTTTTTGCGTTCTAGGTTTTTACCGCCCTACCCAAAATTGACGATCAACCTTGTAAATTTAAAGTGGCAGATTATTTGAAAAGTAGAAAGGCTTACGATGACGCCCGTAGACAGCAAACCATTGATAAAGAGAATAAGGCCATATTGAAAAAAATTGTTCACATAAATAGGACAGGGGTAAAAAATAATACCTACGGAAAAATATAGTGTATTTTATGACTTTAACTATGGTCGTGCATAGGTATAGAGGCAAAAAATATAAAAACAAAGCACGATTTAATACAGTTCTGATAAAACTTTAAGATTCCCTGATAGCACAGTTTATTCTAAGAATGTTTTTTAACCTTCCAGTGAGAATATTCTTAGGATCATGCTATATTTCTTCTAAAGAACATGCTTAGAAGAAATATATCATAATCCTAAGAATATTCTCACTGGCCTATAGGCAGGTTCTTAGAAGGTGCAAAGTTTAGTGGTAAAAATTAATCCACTCTAAACATATGCTTAGAATGTTGAGAAAGTAATTGCTATAGAAAGTTCATTTAGGAATATTCCTGGAACATTCTGTTAAGCATATTCAGTTCAGTTAGGTACCTATATAATAGTAAAATATACCATAATCTACGTATAAAGGTACCTATACTTAGTATTAAATACTAAGTAAAAAACACAACCCAAAATATTTTTTTATAGTTATTTGTCAAATTAAAACAATATTCGATAACAAAAATACTTTTACTATAGGTATCTAAATTATCCGGCTTTTACATAAAATCTTCTATCCAACTTAAATACAATGAAAAATGTTTTTTTATGAAGAACTATTTGGTTTTTTCTTTTATGAAGAATTATTTTATAAGGAAATATTATGTTTTTTAATATTTTATTTTGTTAAAAATAAATATTTATTAATTTGTATACCGATTTTTTATATCTGAATTAACATTTTTATGTATAATAATCCTAACTATCTTCAACTTCAATCTAATCTGACTTTTTATGAAATAATGTCATACAACTTATGGTTTAGAGGTCAAATTGTTTATTTAATATTTTTAAATAAATATATATTAATGTCGCAAAATTTTTTAAGGGGACAACAAATACATTTTACTGTCATATTATGACAGTGAGGCGTATTTGTCGCCTCCTGAAGAATTTTACGAATGTAGAATTCAACATATTAGAACGTGGGTATCTGACATATTTGGAAATATTCTCAAAAGCTTCCTAGAAGCTCCATAAGACACCTTCTAAGAACATTCCAAAAACGTATTCTTAAAATGTTCTTAGAATGCTTTTTAGGAAGGTTTTAAGAAGCTTCTAAGAATCTAATTGCATCATTAAAAGGGTATCTATTGAATGTTTTAAAAGTCCCTAAGAACATTCTTAGCAATAAGGGAAGGTTCTAAGAATATTCCATTATTCCGGGTCATATCTTCTTAGAAGATTCTTAGAATCAAATTTTGCTATCAGGGTTAAGTATTCAAACGGGGAGTCATCCTATACACTTCTAAATTTTTTCGTTTGCTGTGTATTTATTCATCTTATTTTATTTTTTGTAGGGTTTAGTTGATTGCTTCTATTACAAAGCCTGCATGTATAATAGCAATATTGAGGAACTCAACAACTCTTATGAAAAAATTAGAAAACATAATTTAAAGCTGTATAATAACCTTTTAAAAGCAGTATGTTTCAAACTCATTAAAATTCACAGGTCTACATTGTAGACTCTACAATATTAAGCCAACTTTCTATTCTAAAATTTTGTAGACCTGTTTGGGAATAAGCAAAGTCTTAATATAATAAAAATGATGTTTTAGAAATCTACGTATGAAAAAGAAAATATGGATAACTTGTGGAAAAAGGTTTACCATCAGATAGAACACAATTGCAAATACGATTTGGTAATCTTTAAAAAAGAATCAGAAGATAATAAATTAAAATTGTACCCTTCTTTGACTCAGAACTTGAACATTGAATTATCTACCGAAAATTCCAAACAATAGTAAATTTGCTTTTTTTAAATTTTAAATATTTATTTTACCTATATCACGGTGCTGTTCTGAGAGGTGATTTTTGGACTTTCTGTGAAACCTAATTTTTTTTATATTCTTGTTAATTAGCTCATAACAAAAATTTTAAGAGCAAAATAAAAAAAATTCGACGGTTTGAATTGTTTTAATTGGCTGTTTATTAAAAATATTATGCACTCTTTCAATTATCCAATTAAAACTAGCGATTTAATTTAAATATTTAATATTTGCATAACTAAAAAAAAGGTTTTTACAATTTTTTTTATATATTTTACTGTTTTGTTGCAATAAACGTTCAAACTTTTAATCTAACCTTTGACGTATACATTTATGTTCCCTTAATTAATATATCCTTAAAGGTTGCCATGAAACTTAGATCTATTAAAAATTTATTTGACGTTTGAATTGTCATTTTCAGTATACGTATTCTATAATTTTTGTTTAGTTTTTTAAAGTGTTTTTTATAAACAAAAATGAAAAATTGTAGTAAAAGTTACGAAGAAGTTCATGAAATTTAACTAAGGACCGGTTTATTCATCTTTAGTAAAGTTTATCGGGCCGATACCTTTCATGTCTTGGCAATATCTAGTATCCAAAGAAATTATTTGTCAAATAAATCAAAAATGAATAAATCGGCCCTAAGAATTATTGTTTAATAAATGTATACAGTATACTTTACATTTAACCTTAAATTAAAACTTTAAACGTGTATTACAACAAAACACTAAAAGATATAAAAAATGTATAGACCTTTTTTTAGGAAATTAACTAATCTGATTTAAAAAGTTATGATAATATTTAAATAAAATCGCAAGTTTTAATTGGAGAATTGAAAGTGTGCATACATAATTTTAATAAACATCCAATTAAAACAAAATTAACCGTCAAATTTTTTTTATTTTGCTCTTAAAATTTTAGTTATGACCTAATTAACAAGAATATAAAAAAAAATTAGGTTTCACAGAAAGTCCAAAAATCACCTCTCAGAACAGAACCGTGAAAAATAACTAACTAACTAACTAAAATATTATATTATTTCTAAAATAACATTTTTAGTTGTTATTTAGACTTTAGCGAAAAAAATGGTCGAAAAATTGGTCGAGTATACATTCAACTATACAGCAATATTGTTCCAAAGACCGTTCAAAATTTTTATGAGATGTGTTCTGGGCAAAATGAGTTCGGGTATACATACAAAAACGCGCTTGTGTACCGCATCAAAAAAGGGCATTACATGGAAACGGGCGATATTACTTACAACAACAGCCGGGGTGGAGTTTCTATATATGGAAAACGTTTTCGGGAGGAAAATCATGAATTGAAGCATTCAAGACCTGGTAATGATTTTTTTTTTAAATTTACTTCACAAAAATTTATAAAGCCGGTCCTGTGCCCATTTCAAAAATTTTAAATACGGCCCTGCTCTATTTTAACGCAAATGCATTTTTAGGTGTTCTATCGATGGTTCGAGTGGGAAAACGGTCCAATAATTCAAAATTCGTTATTACTTTTGCCCCCATGGAAATCCTTGATAAAAAGAATGTAGTTTTCGGGTCGATTTATAAAGGTATGAAAGTTTTAAAGATAATCCAAGGATATGCACGGAAAATTGGAAAACCCATGGCTGATATCATTATTTCAGATTGTAATGTGATAAATAAACAATAATATTTCATTTAAAAGTTTTAAATTAAAGCATATTATTAATAATTAAAATTTATAATGAGAATTATTATATTATAATAATTCTCATTATAAATTTAAATATTTAAGTTGGCAACAAATTTAACATTTAACTAATTTCTATAAGGTTGGTATCCTGAAACCACTATACAAACATCAAATTTTTATTGACAGCGTGTTTGTTGTTTAAGATTTAAACTTATTGTTGTTTTTTAATTGTAAAAAACCAACGCAATGTTATACTTGGAAGATTATTTGGAGAGTAAGTTTCGGTATTGGGCATATTAATAATTTTATAACCTAAAATGTGAAAAACCTTTTAGTGATTGAGCACTTACCTCAGGAATTAAGAGACAGGTTCACAGAGATCAGAGAAATGGATTTAACAGTGCATAGTAAGTTTTGTGTGTGTTTTATTGAAATATGTTATTAGTTTTGTTTTAGACAATACAGATGAATTGGAGAAACGAGTGAAAACCTTCTTCAGCGACTGCAAAAGACATGGTGAACTACCTCCAACGGTAGATATAGAATTTCAAGCTATAAGGAAAGAGTATTACAAAGCACTGGAAGATGCAGACGAAAAAGTTTGTTTAAATAATATTGTTTTGTTGAGTAAGTATTAACCATTAACTTTAGGTGCACGTTGCAAACCAAATGTACGATTTGGTTGATAAATACTTACGGAGGTTAGATACAGAGCTGCATAAGTTTAAATGTGAGCTGGAGGCAGACAATAAAGGTATTACGGAAGTTTTGGAGAAGAGGTCGTTTGAATTGGACACTCCGATGAGCAATTCAAGTATGACATCCCAGCAGCAAAAAGAAAATAGATATGAAAGGTACAATATAAATAAATATTTTCTACATTCTTTTAACCTTACTTTAATTATGAAGGTAATTAGTTAATTTGTAATATTATAAATGTGAAAGTGTGTTGCCCATATTACAACAGTAAAATAGATTACATTCACGTGTAATTTGGGTTGCCTACATTACTTCTTTGTTATTTTTTCTTAGAATCGCAGAAATTTTCGGAAAAATTGATTTTTTTTTATTTTATTTTAAGGGTAATACGAAGAAAATGCAAAAGTCAATTTTTCTGAAAATTTCCAAATTTATGCGGATAATATCTGTAGGTACACTGATATCAAGAAAAAAATGAATTTCTGACAGTATTAACATGATTTTCGTTATATTTTACACTTTGATTTATAAAATTAAAATTTTGCAATTTAACTTATAAATCATTCATTATTTTGTAATTCGATATTTTCAATGCCAAAACGACCGTTTACGTTTATTTTTTAAAACAAATTAATTTATTTAATGTTCTGTAATAAATGATATTTTTTTTTAATTAAAATAATGTTAAGTTGTTGATTGCTAATTTTTTTAAAATATGAATACCTATTCTCCAAAAAAAAATTCAATTTTTCCAAAAAAGAAAATTTTTTCAAGGCTTGGGAAAAAAACAGTTTTTCCCCAATTTTTCCGTTTGAAACCCCACTTGGGTATCATTTAAATTACTTTTTTACGACCTAAAAACAATTTTGAAAACAAATATTTTTAAATTTAAAGATGTTAGAAAAAAATCAATACCCAAGCAGCATTTTAAATAAAAGTATAGTTTTGAGGCAATGTTACCTTATTTAAGTAAATATTTTGTTAAATTAACCTTACTTTGAAGTAAAGTTATTTTATGTATGTTATTTTTATCTATTTTAACAACCCTTAAGTTTTAACACTTACAAGTATTATGAGGGACTTAATTTTTACGAAAGAAAATTACTTATAAGTGTATTTCACCTAAAGGAAAATTTAACGGTAATTTTAACGTCAGAATTTTTACATAATGGTAATGTTACTCATAAGTCATAATTTTACGATATTAAGACCACTTTATAACCGTAAATATTTCCTATTCTCCTGGTATTTTTTAGGGTTATTAGTGGTAATAAATACTACTAATATAGACTAAACAAGGAAAAATAACCTTAAAGTGAAAAATAAAACTTAAAGGGAAAATTTTTTTCAGGTCGCCATAATGAGTTTTTTAAGATGGCATCCATTACTTATCTAAACATTAATATAATATTGTTTCATAAATATTTTTCTAAAATGTAACAAAGAAAGTTTTAGTTATTAAAAAATGATTAAAACTAAATGATTTTTAAAAGATTTTATAAATTTTGTAGTTTTTAAGGTTTGTTGAATTTTTACCCAAGCAATAATTTTTCTTAAAACAGTAAAATTTTTAAGATGTATCGTGCCTATTTTTATCAATAATATAATGTGCGTTTGAGTTTTAATACAAAATATTATTAGTTTTGACAATTTAAGTTATATTTTTTAATTTTACTCTAGGGTGGCTTTTATTACTTTGTAAGAACCATTTTGTGAAATATAAATTAAAAGAACAAAGAAATTACGAATGTCAATGTTTTAGAAAGTAGTTTGTAATTGTAGCGTTATTTTTACGTAAATTTGCGGTATTTATATTTTTTTTATTACGTCATTCTCCTGGTAGATCAAAAAGGTTATTATGTAGGTAAAATAACGAAATAAACCATTCCCCAAATTTGGTAATTATTCGTATCTATAAAGCCGTTTTTGTTAGCTGTAAAAAATACTTTAAAGTTGACTTAGTAGTAAATGTTTAGTTATTTAAAGTTAAAGTGCTGCTTGGGTAATACATTAGACTTTAAACTCAAAATTGCATCATATTGGAATTGGATTTTTTTCAGTTCCAGTTCATTTAGGTACAGTAGACCCAGGACGGAAAAAAGGAGAGACAGTAGCGCCTCTTTCGGGGAGAAAAGGCAAGCTTTGACAGCCAGTCCTTCCGTACCTATAACCGATATAAGACTTGCAACTGTGCAGGCACCGCCCACCCCAGGTCAATCTTACGCTTTGGGGAGCCATAAGGGCGCCGGACCTGCAATTGCAGCTGCAGCTTCGCAGGCTATCGCAGCTACGCAACAAGTACGTTTAAAGTCTGTCTGTCTGTTCTTGCGTTTAATTCTACTTGGAATGTTAACATTCTTAAGGCATTCTTAAAACAGTTATATCCATGGTACAACAAAACAAGTTTGCGCACCATTTTAAGTCTAATAGTCTTTGCCGTTTTTCGAGTTATTAATAAAATAAAGTAGCCAGTCACAGGCGTGTTTTAGCAGAATGATTAGAGGTGGGAGAACTATGCACGGTGCTGTTCTGAGAGGTGATTTTTGGACTTTCTGTGAAACCTAATTTTTTTTTATATTCTTGTTAATTAGGTCATAACTAAAATTTTAAGAGCAAAATAAAAAAAATTTGACGGTTTGAATTGTTTTAATTAGCTGTTTATTAAAAATATTATGCACTCTTTCAATTATCCAATTAAAACTAGCGATTTAATTTAAATATTTAATATTTGCATAATTAAAAAAAGGTTTTTACAATTTTTTTTATATATTTTACTGTTTTGTTGCAATAAACGTTCAAACTTTTAATCTAACCTTTGACCTATACATTTATGTTCCCTTAATTAATATATCCTTAAAGGTTGCCATGAAACTTTAAAAATTTATTTGACGTTTGAATTGTCATTTTCAGTATACGTATTCTATAATTTTTGTTTAGTTTTTTAAAGTGTTTTTTATAAACAAAAATAAAAAATTGTAGTAAAAGTTACGAAGAAATTCATGAAATTTAACTAAGGACCGGTTTATTCATCTTTAGTAAAGTTTATCGGGCCGATAACTTTCATGTCTTGGCAATATCTAGTATCCAAAGAAATTATTCGTCAAATAAATCAAAAATGAATAAATCAAAAATGAATAAATCGGCCCTAAATAAAATGTATACTATATGTACATTTAACCTTAAATTAAAACTTTAAACGTGTATTACAACAAAACAGTAAAAGATATAAAAAATGTATAGACCTTTTTTTAGGAAATTAACTAATCTTTAATCTGATTTAAAAAGTTATGATAATATTTAAATGAAATCGCAAGTTTTAATTGGAGAATTGAAAGTGTGCATACATATTTTTAATAAACATCCAATTAAAGCAAAATTAACCGTCAAATTTTTTTTATTTTGCTCCTAAAATTTCAGTTATGACCTAATTAACAAGAATAAAAAAAAAATTAGGTTTCACAGAAAGTCCAAAAATCACCTCTTAGAACAGCACCGTGTAGGGACATGTTTTGGATTTACAGGTTTTTTTCTTTTGGCATTGTTTTTACAGATTTTTACTTGGCAGGTAGACATTTTTCACACTTTAACACACTTTAAAATAGCTTAAAAAACAAGTCACATCAAAATGTAAATAGTCAAACAGACGCGCAAAAACAAACCTTGTTTTCTTGTACCATGGTTGGTATCGAACTTGGCGAATTAAATTTATCGTTTTGAAGATGCAGCAAGGAAGAAGAACGGCCAGCTTGAAAGCTTCGTACGAAGCTATTAATCCTCCAACAGGTCACAGCAGCAGTAGCAGCAGCGAATTTAGTATTGGAAGAGAATTAGCTGGTGCCGCACAAACCGCCATTCAAGCCATACAACAGGACAGCGCAAACAACAAGAAAAAGCAAAAGTGAGTAAAAACGTTTATTTTTCCCTGTAGGTACCTTACCAGAAATTGGCAGCAATAATTGTAATGTTGATTTGGCAACAATTATTGCAATGTTGATTTTTCTCGAACCACTCATCTGATTTTGTTGATTTTTTATTTTAAACGTTGTAACGATGCTATGCAAGACATTTTTATGTTTACATATACAGGGTGCAAAAGTAATCCGAGACGTTGACTTTAAATATACGGACATAGTGCGTTTTTTTTAAACTTCATTTTGAAGAATGTGTTATAATATGGATAATAGATGCTTTGGAAACATATTTTATACAATTTAAATCTATTTTTTATTATTAAAAGAAAATACAATAGTTTTAACCAAACATATTTATTACAATATTTCTAGATGCTGGATGCTTTAAAAAATATTAATTACTACCCATTTTCCTATTAAAAAAAATACAATAATTAGTTTTAACCAAAAATATTTATTACAGTTTACTTAGTGTTAAAAAAATATTTAAAAGTAACTAAGATACTTTATCTTAAATACTTTTTATATTGGACAAAAAGTATCTTTAACTTAGTTACATTTGCAAAGTATCTTATAACTTTTATTTAAAAACGTATCTAAGTTACTGGGTAAAGTAACTAAGATACTTTTTAAAGTAACCAAGATTCTTTTTAAAGTGTAACTAACTTTCTTAGAAAATATTGAGGGAATTCCGGAATAATCCAAAGTAATTACCTAACTGACAACTTGTTGAATTTTCATAATTTTATAGTTTATATTCATACTTAAATTAACTTAGTCACTTATAAGTATCTTAGTTACTTAAAAGTATCTTAGTTACTCAAAAGTTTATATAATACTTTATCTTGGATACTTTTTATATTCGACAAAAAGTATCTTTAACTTAGTTACTTTGGAAAAGTATCTTGTAACTTGCATTTAAAAAGTATTTTAGTTACTGGGTAAAGTAACTAAGATACTTTTTAAAGTGTAACTTAGAAACCTTCTTCTACAAAAAATTGAGGGATTAATCCAAAGTAATTACCTAACTTACAACTTGTTGAATTTTCATAATTTTATAGTTTGTATTCAAACTTAAAAGTAACTTAGTTACTTAAAAGTATCTTACTTACTCAAAAGTATCTTAGATACTTTCAAAGAGTATCTTAGATACTTTAGGATAGTATATAGATACTTATTAAATCAACATTAAAATTCTGGTCAATTTCTGGTTTGTGTAATAATAAATGTCGTTTTAAACAATCTTTTCTTGACTAATGAAGGAAATGGGGGGGGTGGCAGCACCGCCAGCACGAGTTCCACCAGTTCCACCTCCACTTCCTCAGGTTCGGTGGTGGCGCCGCCCGCGGCGGTGGCCGCAACTGTCGAAGCCGGTCCTTCGGACGCGGCTGCGCAGGCCGCAGAAGTGACCGAGGCCGAATGGACGTACGACCCGAACGAACCTCGCTATTGCCTTTGCAATCAGGTCTCCTACGGCGACATGGTTGCCTGCGATAATGCGGACGTAAGTACCTGTTTAATGATTTTTGCAATTTTTCAAATTGTTGATATCTTCCCACAAAAATGCGTTTTTGAACTACATATAACTTTAAAAACGATTTCTAGGGCGATTAAAAACATTTTTACTATTAGTATATTAAAGATTTCGAATACTCGAATATTTAAATATGTATGGGTGGTGCAAAAAAACTTTTTTTCAAATACTTATGTTAATTTTTTATTTTTAATAAAAAAATTAAGAGCTCTCATCAAAAATTATAATAAATAATTTTTTCGCCACAGTAAATTTTTGTACACAAGTTTTAGCTTAAAAAATAATTTTAATGAGAAATGAATGATTATCGAATTACTCATTTTTAGTGGGCAAGGAAGACATATTTATTGCATGGCACATTTTTTCATTTTCTGTTTTGAATTGATTAATGGATACATTACATTTTTTCCAATGATTCCAATTACATTACTCATTTTTAATTTGTAATGGATATTTTAAAATTGTCAATTACAATTTTTTATGTTAATGAGTAATCTACTCATTACATTTTTTTTTCAATGAATAATGTATTTTTAAATTACTCATTTTTAATTTTTAATGGGTATTTTGAAATTTTCAATTACATTTTTTTATTTTATTGAGTAATTTACTTATTAAATTTTTTCCCAATGAGTAATGTATTCTTTTTTACACTACTAATTTTTAATTTGTAATGGGTATTTTGAAATTTGCAATTACAATTTTTATGTTAATAAGTAATGTATTCTTTTTTACATTACTTATTTTTAATTTGTAATGGGTATTTTGAAATTTTCAATTACAATTTTTTATGTTAATGATTAATCAGTCATTCCACGCTACTCGGGAATTTTTGTAGCGTCCGTTACAATAAAAAATTGTGAGTAAAACCACCGTAATTATTATGCTTATAAGTTTAACCACAATTATTACAAGCATAATAAACATGTTTGCAATATTAACTATTGTAACATTATTTAATTTAATTACGGTAGATTTTAATCACAATTTTTGATTGTAACGGACGCTACAAAAATTCCCGAGTAGCGTGGAATGGCTGTAATATACTCATTATATTTTTTCCAATGAGTAATGTATATTTTTTACATTACTCATTTATAATTTGTTATCTGTATTTTGAAATTTTCAATTACAATTTTTTATGTTAATGAGTAATTTACTCATTACATTTTTTCCAATGAGTAATGTATGCTTTTTTACACTACTAATTTTTAATTTGCATTGGTATTTTAAAATTTTCAATTACAATTTTTTATGTTAATGAGTAATTTATTCATTACATTTTATCCAATGAGTAGGTAATGTATTCTTTCTTACATTACTCATTTTTAATTTTTAATGGGTAGGTATTTTGAAATTTTCAATTACATTTTCTTAGGTTAATGAGTAATTTACTCATTTCATTTTTTCCAATGAGTAATGTATGCTTTTTTACACTACTCATTTTAAATTTGTAATTGGTATTTTAAAATTTTCAATTGCAATTTTTTATGTTAATGAGTAATTTACTCATTACATTTTTTCCAATGAGTAATGTATTCTTTTTTACATTACTCATTTTTAATATGTAATGGGTATTTTGAAATTTTCAATTACAATTTTTTATGTTAATGATTAATCAGCCATTCCACGCTATTTGGGAATTTTTGTAGCGTCCGTTACAATAAAAAATTGTGAGTAAAACCACCGTAATTATTATGCTTATAAGTTTAACCACAATTATTACAAGCATAATAAACATGTTTGCAATATTAACTATTGTAACATTATTTAATTTAATTACGGTAGATTTTAATCACAATTTTTGATTGTAACGGACGCTACAAAAATTCCCGAGTAGCGTGGAATGGCTGTAATATACTCATTATATTTTTTCCAATGAGTAATGTATATTTTTTACATTACTCATTTATAATTTGTTATCTGTATTTTGAAATTTTCAATTACAATTTTTTATGTTAATGAGTAATTTACTCATTACATTTTTTCCAATGAGTAATGTATGCTTTTTTACACTACTAATTTTTAATTTGCATTGGTATTTTAAAATTTTCAATTACAATTTTTTATGTTAATGAGTAATTTACTCATTACATTTTTTCCAATGAGTAATGTATTCTTTTTTACATTACTCATTTTTAATTTGCAATGACTATTTCCCTCGTCTTAATTTCCACCAATCACAAACGCGCAATTTTGAATTACAAATGGTTTCTAGGTGAAAAAACTGTGTGACAGCACCTGTCAGCAGTTTTTTCGAGTTTACCCGCGGCAAAACTTGACAGCTGTTGTCACCAAAAATTGCAATTTATATTTTAATTCTTAACTGTTACTCATGAAATAGTCTTGTCAAATACCATTCGGGCATCTAATTTTTCCTGTGAAAAAAATCGAAAAAACACAATGCTAAGTAATATTTTTGAACAAAATGCATTCGTGCAGGTGCAAAAATCCTCCTCTTCGACTCGGATTTTTGTTGCCACCAGCACTCATGCTTTTTGTTAAAATATTACTTAGCAACGTGTTTTTTCGATTCTTTTCGGAAAAATTAAATGCCCTTATGATATTACTTACGATTATTTTGAAATTTGCAATTACACATTACAAATTAAAAATGAGTAATGTAAAAAAGAATACATTACTTATTGGAAAAAATGTATTGAGTAATTAACTTAATTTTCATAAAAAAAAGTAATGCATAATGAAACCTTACTGCATTAAAAAATAATGCATCATGTGCGACTCTGTCTCTGGTTAAATAAGACACCTGTTTGCAGTGCCCATCGGAATGGTTCCACTACCCTTGCGTGGGCATCACCGCCCCCCCCAAAGGTAAGTGGTACTGTCCCCAGTGCACCGCCACGATGAAACGGAGGGGCGGCAGGAAGAACTGATAGCGGCGTTGCCATTCCCGGCTCAAGAGGATCGGGTTTGGTAAAAACAAACGTTAAATGCACGCGCCAAAACTTTTTTCCTATTCGGTGGTTATTTTTTTTGTTTTAATTGAAGGCCGACATTTTTTGTTTTTGTGAACTGTTTTTTTAACATGCCACTTACAAAACTAGCATTTTATACTTCTGATGTTTTTTTCTTCTAAATAATCTTTGGTGAATGATTGAAATTCTGAAAAATGTTTCAGCAGCAAAATATTCATCATAAAATAATCTCTCTAAGCAAACTTTTTTCCATTATGACTCTCCAATAAAAAAAATTAATAAATTAAATTTAATATGAAAGTTTTAATAATCTTGAATGTTTTTTTTCAAGTATTATAAAAAAATATTTGTTGCAATTTTAAATTAAGGTAAAATGTTGTGTGTTTTGTTATTAATAAAAGATCTACTTGAATGAGTAATATTTGTTTTTTTTATATTAAAAAGTTTATATTTCAGCTTTCCAAAAACAGAAAATTTTATGTGATATTTTCTATTAGATAAAAAATATCACATGAGAATTTTTATTGTGCGTGTTAATAAAATCATAGCAGTTATTTTAATTTTATTAAATTAAAAATATGTGTTTAGATTTTTAAATATCTACCTACTGTTTTTCATTCGCATATAAAAAATTCTTATATATTTTTTGTCTAATTAAAAATATTACTTTAGTGTTGACACATAAGAATAATCCTGGATAAAAAACGGCGCTCCAAATAAACGCATTAATAAAAAAAGTAAACCGTATTAATAAAAAAAATAAACGGTGTGCAGAATGAAAATACGATGGAATTATTTTTTTTGAATGGAAATTTAATTTAATATGCGTATTTTGTAATATTGCAAAATTATTTACAAAATTACCTTAATGAAATGAATTTGGCTAAGAGACAAAACATTGCATCCTCAACTCTTTTGATACGGAATTATTTGAACAATAATTTGGTAAAAACAAATAAATAAAAGACAACTTTAACAATGATTTGGAAGGATTAATAAAAAAAGTTACTCATGAAATCAGATACGTCTTGAAGAAATTAAAAGAACACTTTTTTTATAGGTTTTTAGTTAAAATTGTTAAATGTGTTAAAGAATATATACTTTAATTTGTAGTATTTTTTTAGTTAAAATGCAATAAAAATTGAGATATGCAAAATATTTTATACAAATAGTTTCTTCGTAAAATCCATTGCCTATAGTATACAACGATTATTTGTTTGTACTAACATTTATTTCGTATATGGGTAAATCTCACGAAATGTGTGATATTTAATAAAACTAAATGAGTTTGACCTACACTTTTATTGATAATAATAATAATAATAATAATTTTATTTGCAACTGTTTACAGCAAAGATTAGATGCCACAATTACATTTATATCTAGTACAGTAAAAAAAAATTAAATATTAAAAATAAAATTAACAACTTAAAGAGATAGATTCAAACATTTGCAAATAATGATTGAAGAGCAACATACCCATTTTATGGATTGCTGATCAAAGCTTCAACCATTTAAAACTAAACCTAATTCATCCTAACCCAACCTAACCTAACCTAACTTAACCTAGACCACTAACCTAACCTATCCTACACCACTTTACATGACCCTATATTTCCTAGATACACTACTATAATAAAATAAAAATAAAATAATAAAATAAAAAATAACAAACACAACAAAACGCATCAATCACAAATGGCTAAGCAATAACATTGATTTGCACCTCCTTTTAAATTGTACTTCATTTAGAAGCTTTAATTCCTTGGGTAACTTATTATATTCAATGTATATATTGTAGCTAAATGATCTTTTAAAAAAAGTTGTTTTATGAGGAGGAGGAGATATAAGTCCATTAAAACAAAGGCCTAAATTGTGTACGTCATGTCTAAATCTAATTTTACTATGTTGTGAAAAAGACAGAGACTATGAAGAAGCCTTCGTTTTGACATGTTAAGCCAATTTGCGTCCTTTAACTTATGAGACACTGGAAAACTGCGCCTGATGCCATATATAAATCGAAGGCAAGATTTTTGTACCCTTTCCACCTTATTAATGTACAACCTATCTAAACAAGATCCATAGACAGTGTCGCAAAAGTTAAAATGGGATAGAATCAGCAAGTCAGAAAGTTCAATTTTATTATTTTGAGATAATATGTGTCTGTGAGGATAAAGCAATTTTAAATTTAGATATGATTTTTTAATGCATTTATTAATATGTTTTTTAAAACGTAGATCAACATCCAATACAACTCCCAGATTTTTAGCTTCGTTACAAGGTAATAACTGTTTGTCATCCAGAACTAATTTCAGATGATATGACAGATATCTTTGATATTTTATAATATTAAGTAGATATTACAGCTCAGGTTCCAAATTTTTAATGGCAATTAATTATTTTTTACAACGTTTTAAAAGTCTAAAACCTATCCTCCGTGACTGTTAATCTTTCTATGTTAACCTATATGTTTTCAAATATCTGAGGTAGTAAAAGCATACTAAAAATATCAGTTCACTAAGTAAATAAAACACATCCAAAGTAATCGAATCAAATAGAAAATATTATTAAAAATTAAGAGAAATAATTTTCATAACCATTTTTGTAGGTGTTACAAAAATTGATTCTATCCTCTTAATCATTAATCATTTTTAATAAGCAAGAACCTCTGTTTACGACATTATAAAAACAGAAAATTAAAAAAAAAAAAAAAAATTTACTCAACGTCTTGAGGTGGCCCACTGATTTTTTAAATTAAATTTAAGTTAAAATTCTTTTGAATAAAAAAAAAATCTTCAAATTTATCTAAAAATAAACAAATTTGATCGTGTTCAACTCGAAATTCGCTCTATTGCCTCAGAAAAGCATGTTACTATTTTGGATTTTTTTTAAAAACAATAATAATGACCACAAAATTTTTTTAACTTCATAGCTGTTAATTAGCAAGAAAGAGGACACTCTGCAGTTTCCGGAACACTTTTGAAATTTTTTTTTATTCAAAAGAATTTTAACTTAAATTTAATTTAAAAAATCAGTGGGCCACCTCAAGACGTTAGGTAAAAAAATTTTTTTTTTTTCAAAAATTTTCTTTTTTTATAGGCTACAAATTCCACCCCCAGGCTAAGAAAATTTTTTTTTTTCGCTTCACCCTATTATAGATGCATGTGATTCCTGAAGGTCAGTTACAATTTATATGCAGATGAGAGTGTTGCTGTTTTATAATTTAAAAGTTTAAGTTCATTAATTTGCTATTTAAAAACCTATCCACCGTGAAGTGTTATATCTCTTTTTTTATAAATATTGTATGTATGTACCATTGTATTTTTAAAAAGTATTAAGGTGTCAAAAGATACAATAACTTATTTTAAATATACAAAGGGATGTTTAAAAAAACATACGAAATCCTAACCTCCGTGAAGCTATCTTCCGTGAAGCTCTAATATTCAAAATGTATGATTTCTTAAAATTCTTGCATTAGTGCAGAAGCACTTATGTTATGTTATTACTAGACCTGGTGGCTTCCCAAAAACCCTATTCTAGACTAACAGTGAATCAACCAAAAATAAATCTCAATATTAGACTATAAAAAAACATTTTGGTTATTCTGGAAGAGCCTGTATTTTATGTTACATTTTAAAACTGGGTTGTTACTTTTTGCCAATTCATGTCGCGTATCTTTTATTCTCCTTTCTAGATTGATATCTAAGTGAAGCAATAAATCAAGCATTACCAAGCCGCACTATAAAGACAAAGTTACAACAAGTTCCGGGTAGTATTTTTTGGAATTGCTGTTCTTTAATATTTAATAAATTTTTGTAGGAAAATATGGTTAAATTTAAATTTACTTAATGAAAAGTATGAAAAAATTGTATTTTATTTTTCATAGTGCGCCAGCCGTGTTGAAGGTTAGTTTGAGTTCACCGCTCCTTATATCAAGTTCCAGGTGCAATACTACCTATAGACATTTCAAAAACTTTCTAATGCAACACAATGTCATGGTTTTTATCTTAAAACTTTTATGATTCGCGACAATAAGCACTGATTTTGAAAGTCATTAAAGGTAAAAAAGGTAAAAATAAGTTTTTACCTTTAATAAAGTCCTAATTTTTAGCAAAATATTTCTTAAATTTAATTTAAAAAATTTATTAGATTTATGAATGTATAATTCTGTCAAAGCTCAAATAAAAAATTACCTACGTCTAATTGTCTGAAAAAACTGTATTAATTAAGCGAACTTTCCTAATTTTTCGACATCCCAATTTAATTAAAAACTCCTGCTTTTCCATTTTCACACATACATTTGAATGATGTTACAGTTAATTGGAAGAAATTTATATTTTAATTTTATGTGCGAATTATATTTATCTTGAATTCTCATAGTGTTCCTAATGTAATTACAAAATAACAATACTTATATAATCTTGCATATTTTCATATAAATTTCATAACAAAGTAAAATGTATGATACAAATTATTAGTTTTGCAAAAATTATAAGATTTTTCCCTATTTAATAAAAGCAAATCTTTAAAGAATATCGTACGAAATTTTTAATTTAAAAAATTTAATGTTTTTAGAATTTTATTATTCCTAAAAATACCTACACAAAAATGTAATCTAGAAAATTGTAATTTATGAAACATTATGGAAGGTTTTAAAAAGCTCATTTGAAAAAACTTATTGCTGAAATAATTACTTCACAATCTGAAATCAATTAAGTTATGAAATTATAAGAAATTGTAGATTTAATTTGCAACAAAGATACACAAAAACAAATAAAGGCTTTGCAATCGTATACAGTATTTTACTTGAAACTTGGAAATATCTCAGTTTTTTACGAAAATTAAAAAAAATCAATTTTGTTTGATTTTTCTTCCGTATACGATTCTGCAATAATTTTTCTATAGAAATATCACTTTTTTGGTAATAATTATCTTATTAAATAAAATCTGATTTTTTTAAGTACCCACGATTTTTTAACTAATATTTAGGTTTCCTTTTAGTTTTATACATTATTTCATTCGGTGATAATTAATCAATTGCTTATTAAAGGATTATTGTACTATTTTAATAAAAATACCTTATTTAAGGTAAAAAAACATTATATTTTGTCAATTAATTAATTTAATCCTAATTGAGGTATAAA